TGTATTTTTTTCCGCTGAATCCGAATCTGCCTTCAGATTTGGCCCAACGGGTCTGAGTTTTCGGGAAAATTCAAAAAACAGGTCAAAATTCACAAAAAACGTCATTTACGATCGACGAAAGTTATAAAAAGTCAAATTATTCTACCAGCTCACTAGACGTATGATTTTTCACTCGTTTAATTCCAATTTATCATCATAGTCAGACAAGCTGGTCCAATTTCAATCAAAAACAGAAAATAGATCAAAACTCCATTTTCATGGCATAATTCGTATTGCAGAATTCTGGATCCATCTTTTTATCCACCCACTGGATAGAAAGATGTATTCATACATCTTTCTATCCAGTCATTCATGCATGAATACGCATATTTACCCATCCACCTGTACCACCCATAAAACCCACCCATCCACCCATCTATCCATCTACTTTTTGTGCTGAGAGATGAGAAAACAACTTAAAAGATTGAGAATGCAATAAAACTTGTAGATTACTCTACTTTCTAAACAAAAGAAAACTAGAACTAAATTAAAACGTAACCCTTTACATAGATCCTTTGAAGAAAAGAGAACACGTTATAGCAACAAAAATGAGAATGATTTGTGGATATCGTTTTCTTTTGTTTAGAAAGTAGAGTAATCTACAAGTTTTATTGCATTCTCAATCTTCTAGGCTATCTTTCAGCACAAAAATTAGATGGATAGATGGGTGGATTTTATAGGTGGTACAGGTGGATGGATAAATATACGTATTAATGCATGAACGACTGGATAGAAAGATGTATGAATTCATAAATGGGTGGGTGGATAAAAAGATGGATGCAGAACTCTGCAACACGAATTATGCCATGAAAATGGCGTTTTGATCTATTTTATGTTTTTCAATGAAATTGGACCAGCTTGTCTGACTATGATGATAAATTGGAATTAAACGAGTGAAAAATCATACGTCTAGTGAGCTGGTAGAATAATTTGCTTTGATCGTAAATAACGTTTTTTATGAATTTTGACTTGTTTTTTGATTTTCCCGAAAAGTCAGACCCGTTGAGCCAAATCTGAAGCAGATTCGAATTCAGCGGAAAAAAATACATAGAAATACAAGGGTCTGAATACCAGATCCGATACTTTTTGTTTTTTTTATGGGGCTGTGTAATTTATCATTCCATTTTGAGTTAATTTCATTGGTTAATATTTATTTGTGGTATTCTATAAAATAATAAAAATTAAGTTTTTTCAGAAATATTACTATATCTTAAAAACTAACAATTTTAGATATAGAACATGCTTAATAAAAGTTGAAGTGGACCGATATGTGAATAAAATAGAACAATTAAACACAGGGTGTTCCGTTTGAAAAATTTTAGAAAATCAAGTTTAAACTTTCTAAAAATGATCGTATTCCAAAAAATGCCCTGTATAAAATATCGATATTAGCTAATATAGGAGTATTTGTCTAACATTTGCCTATAACTCTGTCCAATTACTTAGCTCCAAGTGTTAGTAGTTGAAAGTTAATACAACTTCTTCGAGGTCATGTTTGTTCCAAAATTCGAAGAACTTTCTACATTACTTGGCAACCCTTTACTAAAAAACTGTTTATATAGCCATATACAGAATTTTCTCGGAAATCCATGTTTAAAAATATACAGAGTGTTCTATTTAAAAAATGTAATGTAATCTTTGGCATGTTCCGTTTTTACTCATCGCCCTGTATGTCTCAAATTAATTTTGTAGTTTAGGTTTCTTGATTCTGTACAACTTTTATATAAACTTTTTTCTGTATTATGAGTAACAAGGGAGTTATTTTACTTTCTCACACTAATGGCCCGCCCTGTATACTTTAGATTTCAATAAGGGGTGAGGTATATGAGACCGTGACGATCAAAAAGTTATAGTAATTTTAAAATAGGTTATAAAAGCAAGCAAGCAAAAGTATAATTCAATGCTGATCGGGACATTAGCCCGCAGAGTAGTCGTTGTTTCTCCCAGTATCATGAGTTTAAAAATTGAAGATCACCAGTTTTTATATGGAAAAATATGAGAAATCCTCAGTTGTGATTTTCCAAAGTATGACCCCCAAAATAATGTAACCCAGACCATAAATCATCACAGAATCCGTAATCCCGTCCGGCTATTTCATAGAATCAGGAAACAGAATTGACAATGACACAGACAAGGAACCGGTAGCATTGAGGAAAAACACTAACACGTAAAAATCGCTGACCACATCACAATTCGACTTCCCCTCTTTGAAGAGTTAGAATAATTATTAGTAGCGCGAACAGCTCGCGACCATCACTTCACCATCAATAACACATGATCAGTACAACGAAAACTTCCCAGCTATTAAGCCGAGTTTGTAGCGAGAGCGCGCGTATTAGAATGAGGACTTCCTGGGGTTTGTTGGGAGTCCTTATTTTAAATTTTGGATGTGCCGCTGGCTTTGACAATGCAACTGTTGTGAAGATAGAAGTACATGTGAATCGGACGTCAGTACCGCCGCCACTGTTTGATCCCAATTTAAACGTAACGAAAGGTAAAGTGCCGCAAAAAATTCTAACAGTCTAATAATTAAGTTACTTTTCTTAATTTGCTTGTTTTTTTTTTATAAATATAGCAAAAATTCAATTGAGTACTAGGTTTGCAATGCAAACGCTGCCTATCTACAAAATTATAATCAAATTTAGGGTAAAAATAAACGTGATATAATTTGTCACAGATACAGGGCGTCAAAATTTTTAAAAAATATCACATCTAGGCAAATATCTCCAAATTGTTGAAGAAAAACTGCCTATAGGATTTTTTTGTTATAAATTCTAAAAAGCAAAAGTTTCAAAAAAATTGTTAGTGTAGAAATTAATTTTCTTTTTTTTTTTTTGGAGCAATAACACTGAAAATTATTTGGAAATAATTTTCTCCGATTTTTGTTGAGGGCGTGGTATTGCAAATAGTATTTTCCTAAAATCCAATTAAGAATCAAAAGCACCCATGAAATTTCCAAAATAGTCAGAGGCGTAGAAATTGTGGGTTTCTTAGTAGCAGTGTTTTCAGCATGTCCGTCACTGGTCTATACAGGGTGTTTTCTAAGTACGGTCCGTAACTTCAGGACACCAGTTCTTACGGTATTTAAAGAAAACAAGTTTCTATAAACATGTGGACGAAAACGCTTAGATTCCGAGATCAGGGTGTTGAAAATTTAACAAATATACAGGGTGTCCCGAAATTCATGCAACAAAACTTGGTCACAGATTTTCAAGACAAATTTAGGGGACCCGTATTTTTTATTTTTGCCAATTGGCCCCCTCTTTCGGAGTTACAGCCCCCTGAAGTCCGCCCCTAAGAATAATCTTTTTTTTATATGTCAGAACCCTGTTGTACGAGAATCACTAAATTTGGTACACAGGGGTGTTATGACATGTGGAATCTGATGGTGCTGCGTTTTTTGGCGGGGAACCCCCTTAAGACAATTTTTCGTGGGCCCCCTTGTCTTTGGAGCCAAAAAAATTAGGTTGCATATTTAAATTTCTTAAAAATTATCAGTCCACTTAAAGCCATTAAATTTAGAAACTTTTTGTCTCTTTATACTTTTTCCGTAAAGCGCAATGTTTTCGAGAAAAATGTCAAAATGTCATCCAATGCATATCGTGATTCGCTATTTTCCTCAAAAACATTGCGTTTTACGAAACAAATATCAAGAGACAAAAAAGTCTCTAAATCCAATGGCTTTCTAGCTAACTAATAATTAAAAAAAAATCATATTTGCGACCAAATTTTTTTGGTTCCAAAGACAATGGGGGCCACGGAAAAGTGTCTTAAGGGGGTTTCTCGTCAAAAAGCGTAGCACTGTGAGATTCCACATGCCATAAAACCCCTGTGTACCAAATTTAGTGATTCTCGTACAACATGGTTTTTGAGATATAAAAAAGACTTCTTAGGGGCAGATTTCTGGGGGCTGTAACTGGGAAATAGTGGGCCAGTTGGCAAAAAGAAAAAATACAGGTCCCCTAAATTTGTCTTAAGGATCTTTCACCAAATTTTGTTGCATGAATTTCGGAACACCCTGTATAATATTTGAAATTGATTTGGACCAGTCAATGTTAGGTTCTTAATTAAAGAGCTGCATTTTTAGTATAAAGTGAATTTTAGCCGTCACCAGTGGCGTAATTAGTCTTGAGTCAGTCGACGTTTTCGTCATAAAATGTAGAGTTCGAAAATAATAAAAATTTAAAAAAATCCATTGGCGCTTTAAATTTTATTACTCACGCCTAACTACGTTACTGTCGGCAGATAAAAATTGACTTTATATTAAAAATGCAGCTCTTTACCAACGTACAATAACTGCCAAATTTTAAGAACCTAACATTGACTGTTCCAATCAAATATTAACATATTTTTTTAAATTTTCAACACTCTGTATCTCGTAATCTAAGCGTTTCCGGCCATATATTTATGGGAACTTAGGAAACATCCTGTATAATTTTACACAAATTAAGTGAAGTGACTTTTACTTAGTCAAAGTTCTACACCCTGTATACTAAAACTTTAAAAATATACTCCAATTGTGACATTTAAAATTGCAAAATATCACAAGGATTCATTTAAGTAGGATCAGCATTTTATTGGTTTTTATTTATATATTTTCTTTAATCAATATATACCCCCAAGAAAAGTATATGCTAAACATTTACGTCAATAACAATTTAAAAAGTAATTATTCCAAAAATTTCCTTCGAATCCACATGTATCAACAGATCCGTGTGCGGTATTTTCATTTTTATTATTGTTCGTATATAAAAAGAAGCAAGATTACCAACAATAAAATTTATTTAAATATTTAATTTCAAAAATAAATTCCATGTAACAAACAGTTTATAATCTAAGAACTCTTAGGTATACGCAATATTTTTATTCGTAGAAGACGCAAATGAAGGAGATCCTATTTACTACTACACGACAGAAACCAGTGAAACAAGTGAAGACACAGTGGCTGAAACGAAATCCATTCCGAATATCAACAACCTTAATTTTCCCTACAACCTACAAATAATCAAGGAAGTTCTGAAACAATTGAAAAACGACAAGTGTGTTCGGGACACCACGTTGATCTTGGAAGGAATGACGCAACATGATAGATGGGCCTTAGAAAGTAAGTAGTTTTTTTATTCTTAAAATTTGTCCTATGATGCCGAAATAAAATCGACAAATTCGGTTTCCCGTAACTTTTATTAATTTTAAGAGGTTGTTAAAATTTAGCTGTCAAGCTGTCGGTTTGTGTTAATGTCTATTACTTTCGTTCCCCTTATTTGTTCGCACAAATCAAAAGTCGTTATTGTAACGTCAGTTTGAAAAATTACTCTTAGATTACTGTTATCAAACTCTACCATCTACGTGGTTAATATAATGGAAACATTCCATAATTAAATACTGTGAAATAAACTGCATATGTTAAATATACAGGGTGAGTCACCAACATGGAATAAATTCCGTATATCAAACACAAAATCGTTATAAGAAAATACTCAGACACGTCGATTAGTATTATTAGTAGCGCACTTTTTTATTCAAAAAAACATGTACAGGGTGTCACAACTAGGAGATACTACGTCATCGAAGATTTTTTGAGGAATGAAGTTATTTTTTGGGATTTTTTGAAGAATGTGTAAAATTAACATTCCACGAAATTTCAAACTTCATTCCTTGTCGTTCAAAAAATACAGCATGTTAAAAGTTATTCTTTAACCATTCTTAAAATTTTTAAAAATGTATGTTGTGCATTTAATTTGGTTCCAAAATAGAAGTTTTAATTTTGTTACACTTGTTTACTACAATTGATTCCATCTAAAATACCAATTTGATACTTTTAAAATTAAAAGAATAGTAAAATCTTTAATTTGCTGCATATTGATAAAAAAAATATTTATAAATTAGCGTTATAAATAATTTTGTGTTTGATATACCAAGTATATTCCATTTTTGTGACTCGCACTGTATAGATGATAGGTAGGTACTGTATTTTTCAGATTATCGCATTTATAACCTGAATTCACCCAAAACATGCAAATTTCCGTGATTGTTATTTATAAATAAATACCTTTGCAGCATAAAAATGCAGTTTAAATAATGAGTTACAAAATCAACAGTCAATTTGTGGGCAAACATTCAAAAAATTGCGCACAAAATGTTGGATACACAAAAACTTTTATTTTAAATCTAGCAGTCTATTTACGTTTCCCAACGCTTTTTTGAATGAGGGCGAGAAATTTATTTAAAAAATAATCATTAGAATATGGCACACAATACCCTATACAGGGTGTTTTCAAAAGACTGGCCCAGGGAATTACCGTGATTCAAGATACAGAAAGTTTTTAGAAGTTTTTATGTAAATAGCTCCGAAGATATTTGACGTAGACTGATGAATGTTGCGTTGACAATTTATCTCATTAAAAGTGAAAATTAACTGAACTAGTATACAAATATGTCAACAGTGACTAGAGGAACTGAGTATTTTGAATTTTACTACAAAAAAATGTCACAAAATGTAAACGTTATCCTTCTACTTTATTAACAAAACGAGCTACAGCAGAAAATCAAACATTTCTCGATCCAAAATAGGCAGATTTGTTAAGTATTAATTTTTTTTGTACCTAAACTCTAAAACTATTCGTTTCATAAAAAGTGTACAATATTTTTTGTCCGACATAGAATTTTGAATTAAATAACCAGAAAATGTGTAAAAAAATAATAGCCAAAAAAAAGCAAATACTTTGCTGCTTATTTGAAATTTCATCATATATTATTCCACATTTCTAAGGCACCTAGATTCCCAGATATTATTGTTTACAATATAAAATATCTTTGAAGTAAGATATGGTATTCCACAGGGTTCGGTCTTGGGTCCTTTACTTTTTTAATTTATGTAAATGATATTACTAACATTTTTGACAGTATTATAGTATTTTAAGTATATTTTTCGCAGATGACACCAGTGTTACTAACAACAGCAAATTCAAATTTATCCGTTTTTCTTAATGACATGTCTTTGTTGCAATCATTAGCAAACGATTGGTTTTTCAGTAATTAAATGACTGTTAACATGTCCAAGACTAAAACGATGATCCTCAGCTTTCGCAACATAAATAACATAAGCGACTTCACTAGATTATGTTAACTGTCATCAAAAGTCGACATTTTCGTTAAATTTTCAGTTGACAATGTGAGTCTTTTTTGTCACCTAGCTGCAAAATACTTTTACGTTCTGGAACGCCAAAGTCTTTTTCGTTCTAGAACATAAAACAAATGTCAAAAGAATGTGTCATTTATTCGAAACTTATTTATAATTTTATTAATTATTAAACAATATGCATTTTAATTCAATAACATTTCAATACAAAACAGTAACCATTATAAACAGGACGATTACAATTTATTTTGCACTATGTACATGTAAATTGAAAGTATCGATATTGTAGTGAGTTAAATTTATGCCAGATCCAGTGCTGTCAGTTACCGTAGCTTTTAGTTCTGGGTGTTCAATGAGGCTGCAGCTGTAATTGTTTAAGTTTACTGCGCACGTTGTATTATTGGCAAGTTCCGTAGGTTCTGCAGAAGACGATAACAATTTATTTGAAATTGAAATTTTATTTTGTATAGAATTTTTTATATACGTGTCCGCTACCGTATTAGAACGCCACTCCCCATGTCGTTTAATGGTGGTAATATCGGCCCCTGCGTCGGATGAGGTAAACTGAGATAAGTTGCTATTTCTTTTGGCACATTTCTTATTTTGTTGACGCCAACCACTTGATTAACACATTTTTCCCAGAGATACTTACGACCAATTTTTCCGAAAATTTAGTTAATAACTTTTTACCCTGTATATCTAACATTAAACTTGATTCAAAAGCTGAAAGAGCAATCATTTTTCCATTAATTATGTACTCTTGTTTCATTTCGGTAACTCGATCCGTTTTCGAGAAAAATCGATTTAATGAACACTATGTTTTGATAATACAAGAATTTAAAAGCGAAAGAAAACGTGTTTGTTCATGTTATTACAACAATTAACAATAAAACAAATGCAATACGTACAAATCGCTGCTAACGAAGTCAGACGGTGAATTCTTCGAACAATTAATCATTATTACGTATTGCATTTGTTTTATTGTTAATTGTTGTAATAACATGAAGAAACACTTGGTTTCTTTCGCTTTTAATTTCTCGTATTATGAAAACATAATGTTCGTTAAATCGATTTTTCTCGAAAACGGATCGAGATGCCGAAATTNCAGTTTTTTTACGCCAGTCGAAAAACTACTTTTTCATAATTTTGACCATTGTTTTAATAAAGTTTCCCAACTAGTCTCGAGTTGATTTTTTAATATTTTGTTTATAACACGTTTCTGAACAATATTCCGCAGAAAAACTTCTAATAGTATTTTTTTCCCGAAAAAAAACTATAATGATTGGCCTAAATGTGATATATAAAAATTAGTGGGATATGAAAAGAAAAGAGTGAGGTAACTAAGAAAAAATAATAAAATTGGAATGACAGCAGAAGTGGTAGAAATTATATTTTGAGTTTTAAAAAGGAAGATAATTTAATAACCATAGAGAAACGAGTGTAGTTAGTAAAGAAAACCATATACAAAAGGAATAGAAGAAAACAATCACAAGAACTAAATCGATTGAAGCCAAGAGAAGTCAAAGTAAGTCCAATAACGAAACAAGTTAAATGTTATAGAGGAATAACCAGTATCGAGTAGGCCGCACCTAATTAAAGTCATAGACGAGGGAGTAGTAATAAAGAAATATTGGAAAGAAGACAAATAACAAGGAATTGACAGATGACAAGACAAGGACAGAAGTTGTGCTAGACGGTTCAGAAAAGGATTAGAGGAGAGAAAGGACCAACAAGAGAAGAAATAAAAGTGTTAGACAGTGATCAAAAGGTATAAAACCTATTCAGCGATATATAAACATCAATAACACAATTGCGACATACGATAAATAATTAATTAAATTACAGAGTTATCATTTTTAATAAAGTACGTATTGTGCATTGCGATATTATTAGAATAGGCAAAATAAAATATATTCCAGATGTTACACGAACAATTACGCTTGTCATGTCAGTCCCAGCAAAATGTAAACACTGATGAAACTCTACGTATTTCGTGGATATACAGAGCGAAAAATAGATGTCGATTCATAATATAAAAGGTTACTTTAAGCCTCTTGGGGTCGTCATGTAAATTTCTTATAACCCTCATTTTCGGATTAAATGATTTTGAGGCGTTTTGCTAGATGTGATATTGACATTAGTAATAATTTATTCGAACGGGAAATTACCAATTTATTTATAAGACTCCGTAAATGATATTGCAGGAATATATTGTAACAGAATGAGTTGAGCCAAAAATTTTTAAAATATCAAAGGGAAAGGTAAATTTTTGAAGATAAAATTAGTAAAAATGTTTTTGATAAAAGTTTTGTAAAAAAAAGAATTACAAACAAAATTTAAANTAAATGTGATATATAAAAATTAGTGGGATATGAAAAGAAAAGAGTGAGGTAACTAAGAAAAAATAATAAAATTGGAATGACAGCAGAAGTGGTAGAAATTATATTTTGAGTTTTAAAAAGGAAGATAATTTAATAACCATAGAGAAACGAGTGTAGTTAGTAAAGAAAACCATATACAAAAGGAATAGAAGAAAACAATCACAAGAACTAAATCGATTGAAGCCAAGAGAAGTCAAAGTAAGTCCAATAACGAAACAAGTTAAATGTTATAGAGGAATAACCAGTATCGAGTAGGCCGCACCTAATTAAAGTCATAGACGAGGGAGTAGTAATAAAGAAATATTGGAAAGAAGACAAATAACAAGGAATTGACAGATGACAAGACAAGGACAGAAGTTGTGCTAGACGGTTGAGAAAAGGATTAGAGGAGAGAAAGGACCAACAAGAGAAGAAATAATAGTGTTAGACAGTGATCGAAAGGTATAAAACCTTAATATAAAACAAACTGGTATTAGATTTAATATTGAAATCCAAATAATTGGATATTGTTATTTAATTAAGTCAGAGTAGAATGTGGCGTAGGTAGAGTTTAAGAAAATTTTATTGATCAAAGTTTGGATAATGTTGGTAAAATAAATAAAATAACATTAAGTGTTAGCCATTCACATTATTTTATTTAATTGGAAATATAGTGAGTTCAAGTCATTCAAGTCATTAAATAAATTAGAAATTTATTTTTACAAGAAATAGAATACCTAGTCAATGAGACTACTCACGTTAGACTAAAATTTGATAATATCTTAAATTAATTTTTCAAACAAAAGCTTTCTCTAAACATAGTGAACAAAAAAAATGTGAATTAAAGTACAATTATTATATGCTCATGTAAGCTGGCGCCCAGACAAGAAAGAAGGAAGTAAAATACAAAGAAAAAGTTAAGCAGAATAAGAAATTAAGGTAAAAAAAATTACTACATCTCAAGGAATTATTACAATTTGTTAATACAACATTGTCATCTTTAAAATATTTAAAAAATAATTTAGGTAATCAATATTTAATGATTATATTTTATTTTTTTACTAAAAATAATAAACCAATGCGAAAGGTAAATAATAGATAATTACAGGTTGTGGTTGAATCGCATATTATACGAATAATAATTTAATTAAAAAAACATTTATTAACAAGTGTTTCACGCAATACTTAGATGTGGTGACAGCGGCAGCCCCTCTACAGGGTGATTCAGAACTTATCCAAAAAAAATGGATGTACAGGGGACTCTTACAAATACAATTTTGTAAAGAAAAAATCAAAAAGGGCAGTTCGAAAATGATTTAAAAATACACTTCTGCACGGCACTGGAAACTGGTCCACTGTAGAACCTGACCTAGCACAATGTGACAATTCCGAGTTGCTATACACGCAAGCCATTTTTGATACTAACTACTAAACAACTATTGTAAACACCACAGATAACAGGTAAACACTAACTCAACGACGATTGCAAAATCGGATTTCAGTATTCGGAGTCGCTGAGGCCACATGGCTGTCCACGCGTATTGCGAATGATGCTAGAGACTACAGTCATCCAGCTATATAATGGTTGAATGTACTACAACATCAATAATTTTTTCTCGGAAATTATGAGGATTTTACAAAAAAAATTTTTTAAGATAGTCACTCCATTTCTCATGCCGCATCTATTCTCAAATTTTTTTGGATAAGTTGTGAATCAACCCATAAAAGGTACAAAACCACCAAAATTATAACTTTCCAAGGAAGGAACTTTCATTACTTTTCTTCTCTCCCGCTAATTTAGATCGGACGAAGTTGGTTTAAATAAATAAAAATGGAATTTAAATTGTGTGAAACAAATTTTCACAAATTTGTCTGTCTTATTTATATATTGAAGTTGTTGGACAGACTTGTGGAAAAACATGTAAGAACGCGAAACAACTACATTTGTGGCTATTCCGAAAAAAAATTTTTTTTTTTATTTTTCGCGTGTTGGTTGGTGTTGATTAGGACCAGAAAGTCTACGAGTAGAAGAAAACGGAGATAAGGGATCTGCATTTAAGTGTTAAGAAAAGATGCGGATTCTTTGGGAATGTCAAGATGCAGGCTAAATTTGATTCCATTTACTGGACAAACATTCAAAAACAACGACGAGATGACGAAAAAGCAGGTATATTTTATACAAAATCATCAACTGTATTAAGTTTTGTGGAGCTTTTAAATTGAATGAACACGAAACGTCTGAAAATTCTGGTATTTTTCAGAACTTGATAAAACAGGTAGACGTGTAGACAATACATTAAAATGCAATCATTTTCAATTAAAGTTTAAGAGAATTAAACAGAATGAGTTTAATTATTTTTATACTACCTAATATTATTGGTTTTATCACTAACAATAAGCTACGCTATCTAAGAATATATAATAATAACGATACGTTTATTGCGCAGCAGCTTATAAATTCAATTGCAGAACAAATATACCTAAATAAAGAATTTAATACATCAGAAATTCCCAAGGAATAAAAAACCAATATAAAAAATAAATGCGCATTGGTTATATACAATTGTTGAATTTAATATTGGTACAAAATTGATGTTTTGTCAATGATGTATCATGTCATATGTCAATATGCCACTGTATTATTAGCTTTTATGTGGGGGGGGGGTTGTTTTAGGTTAAAAAGCAGCACACCTATTAAAACAAATGTCACGGGCCGCCACTGAATGGTGATTGTAAAAACGCATAGAAAGCATGGATGGAACTTGCGTTTAAACAATTTAACAAATTTTATTTTGAAAACAATCGTTTTTGACTAACAATAAGGTAAAGGTACAAATTTGTATGCGCGAGTGAAACTTTAAATTTCATCAGATTTAACAAACAAATTACCACCTTCTTCCAAATTAGGAAAAAACGTTTTACCGAAATTTGAACGACATAAAAGAATTATAGCCAACTTGATATGCGACGCTAGTAACGACCGTAAACATTTGAATAAGGAGAATATAAACAAAGCAATGTGTATACTTGATCGACGTACATAATTAAAACATTTATATGGTAATATTTGAAACGAAGCATACCACACAACCTCAGCCTCGACATGGGCCGATGTATTGGAAACTGTGGCGTTAAAACCTTAAAGTTTCGAAGATGTCCCATTGCATACCAACTAAATAGTTTGATATTGAAAAAATGTATATTTTAAGAAATGTCGTAGACGAGTAGTATAATATTTCCAATTTAAAATGTCTGGAGCATAAATTTATAGAAGGTGTTTCTGAGAAAGTGCAAACGTTTCAATTTTACAATACAAAATATTCAAGTTAAAGAAAATAAATTTAGTTTTTAGCCATATCTGGAAAATCTAAATAGCTATTACGTTCTAATTTTACATAATGGGTAATATCCTGTCCTACTAGCATCTGGTAAAATTTCAGTTGATTGGAAAATCCAGTGGGGTGCAAATGGCGAACCTTTTTCGAAATAAATGATACGCCATTGAATAAAATAATAAATGTCATATTTAGAATGCACTCTATGCACATTCTGAGAAAAATATCCACTTATTTCATATCCATAAAATACATATATTCAAGAAAAACCAACGTTCATTTCGTGCACACAATTTTTTACAGATTTAAAATAAAAAAATGTTTCTTTCAGCTGGAGCCGATCTACTATCTTCAAAGTCATTTGATTTTGAAATATTTCACATTCAAATAGACGTCACAAAAATATTTTTACACGAAAAAATATCAGCTTTATATGTACCTTATACAAATCTTTCCTTTTGCAAAAAATTACTTTAGTGATAGGTTTTTAAACAGTAACAAAAAAATTATTTGACACTGGAAGCCTTGAGTAATGTGTAAAGTTTGACATTCTTTTAGGAGTTATTCCCTTAAAAATGTCAAAATCTCTACCAATGATTATTTACTTTTCAACTTATAATTGTATTTCTAACAAAAAATTCGTATAAACTGTTTTTTTAGAACAAACAGTTTCAGTTACTTTTTATTTAGGTACTTCACTGTGTTATTTGTATAAAAAACTCGAGACTCTAAAATGTCTAGTTCTTTGAACAAATACTCCTAAAGATTGGTCGCCCAAGTTTCATCAGTTTACATCAAGCATCCTCAGATATATTTCAGAAAATGTCTTATTCTTTCCTAATTTCAACACCATGTAAAACGGAGCTAACTACGACCCACGCTCATATGCAACTTTTTGCTTAAAATAATTTGTTCTAGTACCCCTTTGAAGAAACGCACTTATTTCAGAAACACCCTAAATAAAAACGCTGACCAAAAAAATTTAAATTCGTGACTTTCTTTCAGTGTTCGATTCCTTTCCGAAGTTTCCAGTGGGAATCATCTACGGCAACCACTACCAGATGGGAAACTTCGACGAGTGTGTAGGCGTGGAACGCCTACTCAAAGAGGAAGAAGACGAAATCCAGCTACAGGGTCAGTACTGTCTAGCCGACATTCACTTCCAGCGCAAGAAGGAGAGCAACGGAAGGTTCGCCAGATCGACGAATAAGGCTGAAGTCAAGGTAAACGGAACAGGTAGTTGCTTTATTAATTTTCGTAATTAGTGAATAAATATACAGGGTGGCACCAAAATGTTGGATCAAATTTCGATGGACTATTCCTATCACAAATATACAAAGAAGTTTACACAGGAAACAATAAGTAAAAAATGTATACAATTGTAGCATTATTGACTGTTTATATGTAAATTAAAACTAATTACAATTTGTATCACACACTGGCAACAAATTTTTCATGAAAATTTATATAAGCAAGGTCTGCTCAGAAAATAACCGAACTTTTTGAATTACGCGCTAATAGAGATATTTAGTGATATATAGTTGGCAGCATTGCGTTGCTCACAACCTCCTTTGTAACCACATGTTCTTGAATCTATATCTAGAGGAAACTTTCACGGAAACGTTTCAACTTTTGAAACAACCTTATGGAGATGATTCTCTGAGGCGTATGCAATGTTACGAATGGTTTTCATGATTTAAAAGTGGTCGTCAGTCAATTGACGATGATTAGAAATGCCTTGGAATTGTACTGATGACGTCAATGTTCAGAAAATCAAAGATCTGGTGCGTGCAAATCGTCGACTGACTGTTAGAGAAATTGCAGAAAAGGTTATCTCTCAATTGGGTCATGCCTTGAAATTTTGACTGGAAAATTGAACATGCATGGAGTTGCCGCATTTGTTCCTGGTTTGACGACCGAACAACAGAAAGAAAATCGTGTGGAAATTGTCGGCAACTCCTTGAAGAATCCAATGACGATGAAACATTAATTCATAGGATCATAACGAGAGACGAGAGCTGGATTTACGGCTACGACATTGAGACAAAAGTTCCACGCCCCAAGAAAGCAGGTTAGTCTCGATCCCATGTCAAAGTGATTAATGGTGCATTTTAAATCCTTTCCTCAATAAAGGTGAAACAGTGAACCGCAAAAATAGACCAGAGCTATGACGAGACAACTCATGGTTCTTGCACCATGGCAATGCGCCCACACACTCAGCTTTGTCAATTCGTCAGTTTAGTGAAAAAAAAAAATACTATCCTCGTTCACCCTCCTTACTCGCCAGACCTAGCTCCCTGCGATTTTTATTACCGAATTTAAAATCAGTGTTGAAAGGACGCCGTTTTCAGACTATTGATAACATCAAAGCAAATTCGTCAGACTTTAAGGGCCATTTCAAATGACTGTTTCGCAAAATGGAAAGACCGCTGGGAAAAGTGCATGAATAGGTTAGGGGAGTACTTTGACAAGGGCCAGTAATGTATAAAATAAAAAAAATAAAGTTTGGTTATTTTCTGAACAGACCTGGTATTGTAGGTTTTGCTACCACATTACTATTGATGTTTTGTGTATTTATTCTGTAATAGTTTTGTAATTTTTTCTAGAAATTATCTTGGGGTACTGGGAAAAATATAAACCACAATTTATTACATATCATTTTTTTTAAACAATGATTACATTTGTTAAAGTTGCTAAAAATAACACACTGTTAAAGATGATTTAAAATCATTTTTACATGTTATACATAAGTACCAATAAATGGGAAACTTTGACACCGTACTGATATGTTCAAGTTTTTGAAGCAAATCCATTTGTTGTATTTTGTTGAATTGTACGAGAATGCTTTTTATACATTGTTACAACAATGACAGTTATTTTGCACAAACTGGAAGCCCATAACAAAACAGTACATTTTGAAGATATTTTTTCCACATAGTATTTAAAAATCGTTACAACTTTGAAACTTAAGAAATTCTTATCTGTCTAGATATTATTATATTCACTTTATATTCTAAAATTTGTAACGAGGCCAACGAATCACCCTGTATAGTTTTCGGATATTGCTTAAACAAAGGAAAATCCGTAGAAACTTACTTTCACGAATTTATAAAGTACCTATCTACTTTATTAAGTTATTAAACCATTATTTAACGCTTGATAGAACGAATTATTAGAAAGCTAATATTCCTTGTAAGTAGCTACGAGTATTGAGTATCGTGGAACTATAACTAAAAATATAGCTACGTATAGAGATGGTTGAGGCATATGAAGGGATCAGTTACAAAAATAGATATTCAGGGAAATAGATTTCCAGAAAAAAACTGGTATTTTTTCTAAGCCCAATTTTCCTGGAAATTTGGACCTCTGAATCAAGGTCAAATTGAAACAAATCGCACTCGAATTAAAAAAATTAGTAATTCCAAAGAGTAATTACTTTATCGTAAAACTTATTTATAAATATGGAATTTCTAACCCATCTACTTTCCTGATTCATGTTGTAAGAATTTTTCTTTGGAAATTAAATTTTCTATCTAGAAAAAAATCTAAAAAATTCCCTTAAACCATTTTAACCCTCCTAAACACATTTCTAAAATTTTCCCACTTTCATAGTTAATTTTCTTTTTTTTTTAGACTGACAGGAATAAATTCAACAACAGCGTGATACACTGGGGCATATGCCTCCCGTCTTCGTGTTCTACAGAAGACGCACAAATATTTGTACATGAAGTTTTCACTTCGGCGGTACATAATTTTGACGTGGTGCACGTGAGGGTAGACTCCGATAAATGCTACCACGAGTCTTCTCCACCTTTTACAGCTTTGGAGATAGTGTATAGGTGAGTTTTAAAGACGAAATTATTGAAATCTATGAGAAAGCGAAATTAATGAATTCTACAAATTTGTCGTCTTTTCAAACAAATTCTATGAAACGAACGAAGTGGCAGAGAGTAAAACTGCAATGAAAAAAATAAATTTGTAAAAACAAATTGCTTGTGTATGACCTTGCGCCGTGTTATTTTAAAGTCACCATATTATTTTATATATTTTATATATATATTTATATATAGTGAAAACACTATGTTTAGTTTAAATCTCAGTATCAATAAACTCTGCCAACTGATGTGATATGACAATAGGGCGATAGTTAAGAAACAAACGGCAACGAATATGGCGGAAATAGGTAATTTCGCGAAGTGTTTGTGTATCTTCATTGTTAAATATCTGTATGATATAATGAAAAAACTTGTATATGAATCAAGAAAGATGAAATTTGACATTAATGTCACCGCACGCGTTTGTTTGGGATTAGATTAACCTGCCCAGTGGTGGGGTGTGATAACCGCGAATATTTTTATTCGCGGTTGAAAAAAATTAGATGGAACTTGAGAACACTTATATGCATTTATAAAAGTAACCACCGTATAAATATTGTCTCCATTCAAAGTTATACCTGAATTTGAGGCACCTTTTTACACGTTGCAATTAATTGGCAATTTTATTAAAATTATCAAGTTTAAGACTACCAAACTTTGGAAAAAAGAATCAAACATGATATCAGGAACTCAATTCAGAATTATGTAATTACAATAACGAACCACATACTCGCCAAATATTTGGAATAAATACAAATATCAAATTGTGAAAAATTACTCAAATTTGATCTATATTTAATTAGAACCAGTTCTGCTGGTTTCAATTTCACGGCTAATTTATTGAAGTTAGTTTATGAAGGTATTTATTGGATGAGAATCTGTTAAAAGTAAAACAAGTTTTAGTGATCACATGGTGCGCAGTTGAAATTAAAAATCATTTACAAAATTTTTGCAAATATTTGTAATATATTTTGTGGGTGAAATATAATGTCATATCTTAAATGTCATTGCCGTTGAATTCCTACTAGTCTAATCTAGTGACAGTCATCTACTAATATGTAGGTACTATGATTCACAGCATATACAGGGTGTTTGAAAAAGTTGGTACAAAAAAGGAGGTGAAAGTAGACCCAAAAATAGTAAAAAAAAGTTCCTATAAACATTGGTTCCCCGTTACTGAGATATAGCCTTCCAAAGAGGTCTTATTAATTGGATATTTTTTTAAAATAACTTTATTTCTGATTAAGACCATGGCATGAAAAACGTATAGTCCGGGCGAATTAGGTTTTTTTTCAAAAATCGAGCCTAACTCAAATTTTATGGACTTAAAATTAAGTAAAAAATACACAGAATAAAAGTCTAAATTTGTGTACTTATTTGTAGAGGTCGAGCGTCATATTGTTTATAATAAAAGAAAACAAAATAATTGCTCGTCTTTCAGTTTTTCGCTTATATCTCCGAAAATAAGCCTCTAATCGGCAAGAGGTATACTTATCGATTTTGTTCCAGAGGAAATTTGCTACAAGGATAGATTTTTGCGACAGCTCGCAAAAAATTTTTTACATTGCAAAAATAGCGGTGAATAAAAAAATGTGCAAAATTTTCAAAATTAATTAAAAAGAACAAATTTGACCAAAATTGGATGAAACTACAGAAAAAGGTAACTGTTGGGGTGCTCAACAGATACCCGCAATTCGGATCCTCAATTTCAAAATGGCGGCCTACTGCAAAATTATAAAGTCGAAAATGCGAGAGCGTATATCTTCTGCCCAAGTCAAGATATCGAAATTCGGTAAAAAAGGATCGAAAGGTAATTACATTGTCTCACGTTTGCGTAAATTTCAGATTTTTAAAAGTTGTAAAATAAAAAAGTTATTAACAGATCGTCGCCAGATACCGAAAAATACATTTTTATTGACTTTTCACGTTTTCTTTTGTGATTTCATTATGCTTTCGATATTTTGAAAAGTAAGATGGTCTTTTTACGTATTTAAAGACAAAAGTCAATTATTTCTTTGAAAAAATGATCAGTATTCTATTTACCGTTCTCAGCAGAGGTCGAGGTATGTTACAATATCAACATTACATATAAGTAGGTACTGCATTTTATAGTATTTGAAAGAACTGTTACATTCAATTCTACCATATTTTATTCAATGAATTATACTGCTAGTGAAAGTTGCTTTTTTTAATTTTTATAAAAATATTAAAAGTAAAATAAATATTTAATGTATATATTGTAGACAATGTAAAAAAATTTTGCGAGCTTTCGCAAAAGCCTATCCTTATAGCAAATTTCCTCAGGAACAAAATCGATAAATATACGTCATATCGATTACAGGTTTATTTTCAGATATATTTTATTTTATTTTTTATTTTATTTTATTTTACAGTTTAAGGAATACTACAGGTTTTAAAGACCCGATTTTTGAAACAGGCATGTGTCTGGTCTAATTTGATCAGTAGGTAATAATCATACCATATGGATCTTTAACTATCATAAGTTTCACCTAAAGCGGTTATAAATAAGGATAGTTTTCTAATTACCCTCAACAGAATTTTTTTTATCTTTGAATTATCAAGCAAATAATATTATTTTTTTAATGATTTCGATTTTTAGATTAGAAAAATTTTTTCTGCTTTTTTTTCGAATTCTGTATAGTTTAGTCAGAAATAATTATTGTGACACAATTAATATACGAGTTATATGCCCCGTCCAACATTGTAGGCCAATAGAATTGAGCAACAATGACATTCAAGCTATGGCGTTTATTTTATAGGTTATATCTCACCTACATATGTTCAAAATATGTCGGTAGGTAGACAAATCGGTCGTCATCTCATTTATGACGTACTGATAACTAACAAATTCGAAACCGATCGGATCTGGTGATTCTTCCAACAAAAGATCTTAGCTACGTACCAGATATTAAGAGTGTAATTTAACGCTAGACCGGGCATATAGTCCGCAGAGTAGTTGTTTCCCGCTATAACATTAACTAAAAATGAGATTTTGTATTGCATTTCAGTTGTATCATAGGGGCCTTTCTCATGTTCACCTTGCTGGCGACGTGTTTTCATTGCATGTACATAAGAAAAAGGAAGAGATACATAAATTATAACGTGGATTCGTTGAGGTCGAGGAAACCGAAGTTATTGCACGAAGTTGTGATATGTTTTTCGTGCATAAACACAATAGGGAAATTTCTGCACGTCAAACCCAACGAGCTGAATCTGGAATGCATCTGCGGCATCAAGTTTTTGTCGATGAGTTTGATTATAGTGGGGCACTCACTCATATTCTTCATGGGAGGGCCGATGGTCAATAGGGATTTTTTCAAAGAGGTATGTATTGGACGAATTGTGCTTAAGTTGATTGTAATCAGTGGCGGCACTCAGAATGACGTTTTGGGAGGATAAATTCAAATATGTATACTCTACGGTCGAAATTATAGAGAGTGATTCATCGCTAGCTTTTGGACTAGTAAGGGGGATGAAGCGTGCCGGGAACGAAAATCCATTGGCATGTCTGCGTAAAAGACAACAAGATATAGAAAATAATGAAAAAATATAATAAAACATAACATCTAAATTTTTTTACGGTTTGCTATAACAGGCACTTTGATCAATTTTAATTATTACAGCATTTTAGAACGTCCCAGTTGTGTTTTTTTAATTTATAAATTTATTATAGCCATGGAATTAGACCTCTCGTCTACGCTTATGCTATGACGTTTCTCAGGACGGGTTAAATCAAGTCCGTTTACACCCACTAAAAAAGCATTTCCCTATTCCCTAAAAAGTGCAAAAGACAGAGATAGAACATAGATTGACGTTCAGTGTAACTCGGTCTCTAGACGATTATAGATTCTATCGATGTGCGTAGCGAGCGGCACAAAGATAAATAATATTGAACCGTATAAAAATCATTTTATATTTTATACGCATTATGGTAATAGTGTTTTTATATTATGTCTTAGTCACTCTTTATAATTTCGACCGCGGAGTATAGGTGGAAATAAAAGTGGATATAATGTTTAAATTTTTAAATTAATTAATATTCTCTTACACGACAATCAAAGAGGAAGCATGGGCTCTTGGAGGTGCGTCACTGAATATAATACGTGGTAGTTTAAGGAAATTCGGAAAAAAATGAGAGAATTTGAGAGAAACAGAATTTAAGACCACCAGCGGCATTTATTAAAGATCTTTCCAACGTCGGACAAATCAATGTTTTACGTATTTTGTATGTGACCTTTAAATCAAATATAATACTTGTAGTAAAATAATACGCCAATATTAGTTTAATGTATATTTACATAATTTTAGCGTTCCTGACAAGTAAAGTGTAAAGAATTGTTTGTGGACTGTATTTCTGGTTCAGGATGAATTAATTAATCTAAAGCAATAAAGAAAATCATTCTAAAAGGTTTTTGTCATAAACTTTTATTCGATAATTCTGATTTTAAAAGGTCTGTTTTTAGCAGAAATCATGGAAAAATACATCATTTGAATTATTCATAAAAAAACGCGTACACAGTATACAGGGTGTAACTAAATAAGTGTAAAACATTTAAGGGGGTGATTCCTCATCGAAAAAAAGATAGGATCGTTCATATAAAGAAACTTCATTGGAGCATCCCTTGTTAAGATACAGCCCCTTAAAGGGGGTACATAAAATTTGTTTAACAATTTTTTTCAAAAGCACTAAACAAGTTACAATATTGAAATTAACCTGACATTTTCTACTACCAAAAAGACACTTAGCCAGTAATTTATTTGGTTTACCCCATGGTAGTAAGGGGTGGAAAACGCAACCCCTAAAATTTATTTCCAACGTAATTTTTTGTCTTATTATTTTTTTACCATTTAAAAAATTATTTCCGATAGCCTGTTTCATTCTAAAAAAAAATGTCTCTTGAATTTTTTGCCCAAATTAAACCAGTTCGCAGTAAAAAATTATTTTACGAACAACTACAGAGATACATCGTCATAAATGCGGACTGGATTTACTGTTATTTTGTAGTTACTACCTGCATTAAATGATTAAAGGGGAATAATCAAAACTAATTTAATAATAACAAAACATACAACATGTAGAAATCATAGTAAATGTTCAATATGTCTACCTTCAGACATTACGCATGCGTCTAGACGTCGGCGCATTGAGCCACGTATTCGCTCAAATATTCCTGGAGTCTCTCTAATTACCCTGCACGCATCGATAATGCGGTTTCTTAAGTCCTCTACATCGCGAACAGGAGTACGATAAACCAAATGCTGCAAATGGCCCCAAGTAGACAAATCCAGAGGATTGAGATCCGGGGATCGAGCGGGCCAATTCTGTGGTCCTCCTCGACCTATCCACTGATTTGCATATGTTTCAGTTAAATGCTGACGTGCTACTTGACTAAAATGGGCGGGAGCCCCATCATGCATAAAAACCATATCCCTTCTGACGCCCAAAGGAACTTCCTCCAGCAGTACGGGGGGATGCACTTTTCTTAAAAATTGAACGTATGCCTCACCATTTAATCGAGGAGGTAGAAAATGAGGCCCAATTAAATAATCCCCAATAACTCCGACCCACACCTTAAGAGAAAACTGTTCTTGATGGTTAGTTTCGACAATAGCGTGATGGTTTTCATCAGCCCATATGTGGTAATTATGAAAATTAATAATCTTGTCCCGAGAAAAACTACATTCGTCTGTGAATTCGATCGTCTTCAGAAAGTCACGATTTCTTCTAATCATTTCCAGCATCCAATTGCAAAATTCAAGACGGTTCGGAAAGTCTCGCGGTAACAGTGCCTGTACTCGTTGCAGATGGTAAGGGTATAAGAGATGTTCCTTTAAAATTCGAAATACCGTCATATGATCAACATTTAGCTGGAAAGCAATCTTTCTAGTACTGGTAGTAGGTTGTTCTTCTATCAAATTAAGTACTGCTGCCTCAAGCTGTGGTGTTCTTACTTCTCGATGGCGACCACAATCCTGCGTTCTTTTGTTGAATGAACCATATTCACGTAATCGTTGATGAAGTCAGACAAATATTCTATGTGAAGGATGCTGCCGTTGAGGATACATTTCAGCATATCTTGTAGAAGCTTCTAACCCATTCCCCTGCGACAGACCGTAAACGTAATGCATATCAGCCATTTCCTCATTTGTGTATGCCATTTTAATAACAAGTGAATTATTAAAGTAACAAATTAAGAACAGAACAATACACAATTAGTATTACTTCAATTTCAAAAATTTACAAACTGACAGCTTGATTCCAATTTAATTGTCAGTATCGCTAATGGCGGCCTACTAGATAAATTAGTTTCGTATTTTCGTTTTATGGCGATATGTATCTTGTTCGTAAAATAATTTTTTGCTGCGAACTGGTTTAATTTGGGCAAAAAATTCAAGAGACATTTTTTTTTAGAATGAAACAGGCTATCGGAAATAAATTTTTAAATGGTAAAAAAATAATAAGACAAAAAATTACGTTGGAAATAAATTTTAGGGGTTGCGTTTTCCACCCCTTACAACCATGGGGTAAACCAAATAAATTACTGGCTAAGTGTCTTTTTGGTAGTAGAAAATGTCAGGTTAATTTCAATATTGTAACTTGTTTAGTGCTTGTGAAAAAAATTGTTAAACAAATTTTATGTACCCCCTTTAAGGGGCTGTATCTTAACAAGGGATGCTCCAATGAAGTTTCTTTATATGAAAGATCCTATCTTTTTTCGATGAGGAATCACCCCCTTAAATGTTTTACACTTATTTAGTTACACCCTGTATAATAATATACAAATTTGTGCATACTTTATCTACCGATACCATGTAAATTAATTTATGGGATAAGACGATTTCCTTTTGAAATTATCGACTAAAAACTGAAATTTAAAAATTCCATATTCACTTTTTTATTGAAAACGGAGGGTGGATTTTTTAAACTCAGATATTAGGATATTTTTTTGTGGGGAATTCGAATATATAGTCATATTACCCGTGCGCTTACCAGGATGGGGAAATAACATGCAAATTTTAGTTTTTCTTACAGACGCATTTTTCTAATGTAATAATTTTCTAATATGTGGCATATGATTTATTGTTCTTCTTCGTCTTTGCTAAAATATTAAATTATTAATTTTTATAAAGAGCTTTTTGAACACAAAACATTCAACTATTCCTTAAAACGAATTTTTGACAATTTAACTAAATTTTTATCGGCAATATCAAGAATGTTAAATAATGTAATTTTCCTGTGAAGAGCGTGATTTCTCCAAAAATATTAATTAATTTGAAGAGCATAATATATATTTTACGAGAAATTTATATTATTATCTTAACTTACACACTGTCAATGATAATAATTTAACTGACAATGAAATGTCAAAATTTCGTTTGAAGTAACAGTTGGATATATTCAATTATTTTGTTTACAAAGTACTCTTGTAAAATTGGATAATTACCTATATAAGTATGTTAACGAAAACAAATAATAAAAAATTTCAGTTTTTTATCGATGACTTCAAAATGAAAAAGATAAATAAAACCACGATTAAAAATTATTATTTATTATGAAAAGAGTGACTAGATACTAGATTGGTTGTTTTAACTTTTAACTCTGCAAAATCGAAAATGGAGTTGAAAATTATATTTATCTTCTACTAAGATTATTTTCACGTATAACATTTTTTTGTTGTAATTTACATTACGTACTTCAATTTCAGATGTCCACGAAACTAGAAAACAGTCCTCTACTAAACAACGCGTTACTTGTGGATACTTTTTTGTTAGTCGGCGGATTCCTTCTCTGTAGACTTCTACTAATCGAGCTTGACAAAAGAAAAGGCAAACTCAACGTGATTATTCTCTACTTTGCCAGATACATAAGGTAAGGAAAGTACATTATATGTATGGATAAGAATGATAAGATACATATTACATACACAGATACATAGCATGGGTACTTATATTGTGATCTGATTGTGAAACTATTTTTTTCAGACTGACTCCTTCGTATATTGTTGTAATTGGACTGTACATGACTTATTTATATAGGACGGGGTCTGGACCTTTCTGGAAGTCAAGAATAGGTTTAGAAAGAGACAGATGTTTGAGTTCTTGGTGGACAAACGTGTTATACGTCAATAATTATGTCAATACAGACCAATTGGTAAGATATATTTTTGTATATAAAATTTTGCCACGAGCGCTAAGAAAGTTTTCAAATACCTTGTATAGTTTTGCATAATATTTTAAAACGTTTCGATTTTTTTGTAGTGTATGTTCCAATCGTGGTACTTGGCCGTCGATTACCATCTTTTCATAATATCGCCTTTAATAATTTACCCCTTATGGCGTAAAAGAAAATTTGGGGAATCGCTATTGATTGTCTGTATTCTGACATCGATCGCGACACCGTTTTGGATTACTTTTAAGGACAATTTGGACCCTACCCTCATGGCTTACCCTCCGTAAGTATCACGATAATTGTCCGGTTCGATCTCAGGTTTGTCAGCCACAACATCGTCTTGCCTGACAATCTTTTTGCTCTCCCTGCCTGGTAAAATAAAATATTTTCTGGAATAAATTTTAATACAACTAACCACTCGGATACCATGATAGAGAAATCGTTCAACCTGCCTCAGATTTTCTCCTGGCTACGGTTCTATAGTTCAAACAACAACTTTGAATTACCTGCGTAAATTTGATTTCAATTATTCAATTTATACCTAATCTATATTAAAAACTATTTAGTTAAAATGACATAAATTTGTTTAAAAAATCATAAACCATTTTCATAATAAAAACAAAAGCTTTCTCGTAATATTTGAAATTAATTAAAAGTAAAAGATTTTAAAAGAATACACTGGACATAATCATGCAGCTAGATCACGTCGGCTTTGTATTATCGGGTGCTGCGATTTAACAGATGATACAATGGAAATGAAAACAAAAATACGACTTACCGTTGCGAATTTAATCTACATTAACTGGGATACGGGAATAAAAACTGTTCTATCTCTAGACAGTTTTGAATGTGATGGTCCCGTCATTTTCACTTCACTAAACTTTATTAAAAGTGCACTACAAACTACGAAATACAAAAAATTATTAGATTTTACACTTTTAAACGGAGAATAAAAACTTCAAGCGTCTATTTTAAAAAATCGCGAGTACACATCACAAATTCACAAGACGAGGGCGGCAAGGGCGCTGACAAAAAACGATGCTCTTTTGTTTCCGTTCATTTTCCATTTAACTGATCTAATTACACCGATCATTAAGCGCGTTCGATACATAAATTAAAAGCAGTAAAAAAAAACACGAAATTCAAATACGTAAAAAATAGATGATTTTCATACAAGTATATGCAGTAAAATCAGGACTTATTTAAGGTATTAAATAATTGCTTTCTATTACAGAGAAATGGAAGACATATCTACGAACTTCTACTTTTTAAATGTGTACATAAAAACCCATATGAGGTCTAGTTCGTATTTTTTAGGATTGCTGTTTGGATATCTGGTGCACAGGCTTCAGTCCACAGGGTAAAATCAGAGTTAAAGATGTAAATTACGTTTTTCCAATTGATAACTTTTCAGGACTAAAATCAAGCCTTTAGTAGTATGGCTCGGTTTGATCCTCTCCGCAAGCCTAGGAATAATGTCCATGTACTCCATTGTTATTTTTTATAATCCAGAGCATACGGAGAACAGTTTGGAGTCAGCTGCTTATTCTTCTCTCCACAGAGTTGCTTGGAGTTTAGCAATTGGATGGATTATAGTAGTTTGCGTAACGGATAATGCAGGTTTATATCAATTTTCTGAGACACTAATGCGTTTTCTGATACTTACCTAATGATTTTCAGAAATAATAAATAAGTTTTTATCATACAAGTTCTTCATACCAGCCAGTAGACTGACTTACTGTGCCTATCTAGCAAATGGGTTGATAGAAGTTTACAATATGGGTGTCCTTAGACAACCTGTGTACTTAAGCAAATATGAATTGGTAAATGGTAATATTTTTGTATTAGCATTCCTTTAACGTGGAAATATTTTTAGGCTTGTAAAATATTAGGTCATCTAATCCTTACTTATACAGTAGCATTCATCCTGTGTATATTTTTCGAGTCTCCCATCCATAGCTTGGAAAAAATACTACTGAGGAAGGACAAAGTCAAGGAGCAGAAACAGAACTCGACATTAACTCCTATGGACGAATGACCAGTCTATACCGAGTGTTTTAAAAAAGGTGCCATAAATTGGGGGTTGAAGTAAAAACCAAAAAATAAACTCATGGTAACTTTTTTAAATCAGATCATTTACAAAATATTTATCTACCTTTATTTATTTATCTCTATAATAAATGTATCTTAAAAAAGACATAATAAGGTTTATAAAAAAATGTCATCATGTCCCATCACCTAATTTTATGGCACTCTTTTTGAAACACCCTGTATATCATGTTTTGTAAATAGAGCTATTTAATTTAAATTAGTTTTGTAGACAACCAAATAAAACAATTCCAAATCATGAGATATTTTATTAAACTTTTTTAACAGATATAAATAATAAATATTTAAGAAACTTGTTTTCACGATAATATATAAAATTCAGAGTGCTGTTGGAACGACAACTACGCTTTTATATTTACAATTACAATAAATAAATTTAATTTTACACCGATTTAAAATGCATGATTTACACTAACGAGGTGAGTTCTGAAAACCTCGGAATTACCCCCATGAGCAAGGCCAGCTTGGCGGCTTCAACGCCAAGTTTAGACGGCTCTGTCACGGAATCCGAGTCTGGCATCATCTGGGGAAAAAAGGTAATTTTTTGATTTTTTAATCCTAAAAATTATTTAAGAAATTCTGGTGCATGCAGAGGAGCCGTCTTAGAATTCCACCATTGCTAAGTTATGATCAAATTTCCCGATATTATAACTCGATGCATTTGAAAATCAATTAACACCACTTTTGTTAATTTATTTTTAATATATCTTATGCTGAAGCAACCGGTCAAACTTCTAACAAACTGTATATATTAACAAATGTTAAACACTCACCTTATCTGCTACGTGCTTCACAATCTGTCCCTCAGAATTCACATAAAACGTAGAAAACCCGTCATACCAGCTGCAAATACACATAAATAAATATATTAAAAAAAAATTAAATAATACACCAACTTCTCAGATTTGTCATCCACCATTTGTCTAAAGTTCCACAACCGGAACTTCCAAAACAACAACATGACCCTCAGACCCGATACGCCCCTAATTCTCCACCTCACTTTCACCGTGGAATCTTCAGGGTGTTGCGTGATTTTCAGAATTTCAAATTTCACATAAGCGAATCTTAAATGTCCAACTGTTCTCAACAATGCCACTTGCTTAACGTAACTGTAAAGTCCTCTAAACGAATATAGATTTAATAAAACATCTTTCAACATGAGTTCAACTTACTCTGTCCTTATATTCCTTATGTGATCCTCGAATACTACATCTGGATGGTATATACTGTAATCTAAAGGTTGAATAAATATCTTGGGTAGCGTTTCGCCAAGAATATTGTATACGTGGTTCAGTTTCTCTGGACTGGGTTTATTTGAATGGGAACTTCTTGAATCTTCACTAAATTTGTCACTATTTTCTTTAGCCAGCGAGGCATTACAAAAGCTAGAACTGGTTATATGACAATCACAGCTTATTATATCAATAATGAAGTTTTACCTCTGATAATTTTTACCTATATTCGCCATACTGCTCGTTATATTGCAGACATTTTCCTTTGTTACTTCATCATACAGTGTTTCCCTGTTGTCAGTTATACTTGGCCGACTTGTTCCGTTTTTCTTCTCGTTACAATATACTTTGGTATTAATTAATGTTGAATACTGAAAATTAGGTAACCGTCACGTTTTTGAGGTTATAATTAATTTATGGTGTGATGAATTTAATTAACACATATTTTAAGGGAATAGTAAATTAAAGAATATTCTGAAGAATTAAGCAAGTTTATTAAAGATTAATATAAATTAAAAATAAATTGTAAGGGAAACAAATTTTTGCAGTATTACCTGATCACATTGTGAAAATTGTATAGATATTTTCTCGGCGTTAGCAATGCTTTTTCGAGATCCTACGAGGCCGGTTATATTAACAAATTTGTTTGAAATATGCCTTAATCCCAACGCCATTGTCTTTATTATACTTAAAACAATAATGCAATATTAATTAACCACTAACATTCCGGTAAAATCCTATGATCGACCACTATGACATGACCTGCATGACCATGACGTGACTGCACATACTTCTATCCAGTATGTGCGTGACTGCTGATTTACGAGGGTGGGAGAGAGGAGAGTACAAAAGGAGAACGTTCGATATCCATGTATAATAATATCCCCAAACACCTTCTTCTAATATAACAAATAATTTCAATTAAACCCTTGAATACTATTTACAAATTAAACCATAAAACATAGAAAGTATGTCTGTTTTATTTAAAAAAGATAAAAAAATCGGTCGAAAGCATAGAACATGCAGACCATCATAGACCTTCTATGAACGAAACGAACGCATCTACAGTGTTTTCAGATGCTCTAAAAAAAAATGTCCCAACAATAGGTTCTGAAAAACTAAATTCCAAAAAATCGTGGATCCTAGAATAAAAAGAGGTAAAATTAAAGAAAATGTTGTCATATTAACAATATATTTATTAAAGTTTAATAAATTAAAGCAGAGATGAACAATGACAATTTCAAAATAAATAAAAGGCTACAGGCACCACACAAGGCTAAGAAGGTAAAAAAAAGTAAAATAAGTAGGGTTTTTTGAAAATTACAAAATAACTACTCAGACTCAGAGCTGCTAAATGAAATTGTAATAATTAGACGAGTTGAAGTTGAGTTGAACGATGTCATTATCCTTTAAAGACGATGAGTGAAAAATTTGTGTAAACTTTTGATATGGTAGCGGTGCAATTAAGAGAACTATGGGCGTCGAACATATTTGATGTTAAATCTTAATGATCAAACATCATTTTGTTAAGTAAACAACTAAATTGCCATATACAGACAGACCTCTGAAATTGGGTGTAAGTATATAAAATAGCCGTAGTATTTCCAGGTGTAATGATTTATGCCTTTTATAGGCTTATGCTTTGATAAGACGACACAATTTGTAGGTTATATCTCACAGAGCGACCTACCTGGTAGGTACAAAGTAATGCTTTATGCCAGTAGGTATTGACGTTTAATGTATGACATACTTTGTAGGTTCTATCTTACAGAACAACCTACATTAGTAGGTATGAAGTAATGTTTTATGCCAGTAGTAATGAATAGCAATGTTACTTAACATATGACATATTTCGTAGGTTATATCTCATAGAACGACCTACGCCGGTAGGTACAAAGGAATTCATTATGCCAGTAAGCAATGAATAGAATGAATAGGTATATGTTAATATGACAGATACTTTGTAAATTATGTCTCACAAGGCGACCTAGGTCAAAACGTACAAAGTAATGTTTTATGCCAGTAGGCATCGAGTAGCAATGATATTTAACATATACTATGTAGGTTATATCTGACAGAGCGATCTACGCCTGTAGTAATGCTTACCAATGACATATACTTTGTAGGTTATATTACACACAGTCTATCTGCCTACGGCAGTAGGCAGATAGTAACGTTTTATGCCGGTAGGCACCGAATAGTAATGTCATTTAACATATGACACTTCATAGATATCAGTTATATAGAAGGTACCGTTATATTAAATAAGTAAATTAAACAGTTCACAAGTTACTTGATTTATAATTATCCTTTCATAGTAACTAAATAAAAAGTACTGAAATTGGTTTATTTAATTATTTCAGATAAATACTTATAAATTATGTTCTTACTTGTTTCTTTCTAAAGGATAAATTTAAGATGCCTATGCATTCTTCGTATAATAAAATGTATTTTCATAGATAAAGGTTTTTGTCGTAAATGTAAATACTTACCTACTGAAAGAAGTATCATCGATTTCCAAGACATAAATTTTGAAAATTATTCCTGAAATTAGTATGCGTAATATCTACCGGCAGAGTAAACGTAAATGACAAAATAATTATAGAAAATATTTGTTTTGCTACGTTAGAGGTTCAGCGCTTCTAGCGGTTGTGCAATTATTTGAATATTCGTTTAATATTTAACAGCAACGAAAAGTGACGTCTGTTATATTAATTTAAAATCAGAGAAACATGTACAGTGAAAGTTAAAAAATAATCAATACTTAATTTGTAAATAAAATGTTGTGAATATAGTCTTTTTTATTTTAAAATTCACCATTATGTGAAACATTGCCTTTTCCTGCGACTAAGAAGGTAAAGGGTATTTAACAAAAAAAATCGAAATTTATAAATTTCTATTTTCTCGAAAGAGATATATACACTAAATTGCATATACAATACTTGATATTTGTACATAAACAATTAAACATTAATCAGGTAGTGCTTTAATACAAATTATGCTACAGTTAAGTGATTGTCACTTTCCTAATATAAAAACTATAAAAAATGCCAACAAGTCACGAGAAACGCAAAGGATGCATTTATTCAGCACTGACGTAAAAATAATTTCATAAATCCAATATATTATTGTCGTAATAGCATTCAAAATCATATCGATAAATCATAAAAAAAAATATAAACAAAATATACACTAAAAAATTAACAACAAGGACTATGTCCGTTTAAAAATTAACTACACATGATACAACTACAAATCATCGTAAAAGTGCAAGGTAATGCTTCGGGAATATATTGCACAGCAATCTCTAGTGAAAAAAAAGTTAATAAGGCAATAAGGGGCTAGTTTATAGGTTAGGCTAAAAGAAAATCTCATGAAATCACCATCGATTATACCTTTAAAAACTGATCTTCAGCTCAACCTATACGATCAAAAGAAAAGTGTATATAAATACAGTTCATCTACACTAGAGCACAACGTGAAAAAATAAATAATCGGGAGACAGACTATGTACATCAAAAGGTCGGGGATACGTCGCTACTAATTTGGTCCCTAACCTAAGCTAACTGCTTCATATATTAAAATATATAAATGCTTGTTATATTCATGTATAAATACGTCGCACGACATCAGTAAGAAAGTAGACATTATGGAATGCATTGAAGAACGGGTTAATAAAATGGCACCGCAAACAGTCTGTTTCAATTCTGTTACATACACACAAATAACAAATTAATTGATTATGTACACGTAAACCAACTAATACGTCGTAACAAGAAATTTTTTTATACAATCATTACAAATATATATGCAAACGAAAATATTTAACTAATTCATCCACTTTCGGCAGTTCGGCGCGCCACACATACACGATATTTTGTGTTGGTCGTCCTCGATGTCGAACTTGTAATCGTAAGACAACTGCAACAACGAAAAGTGTCATTCTAACATACAAAAAAGTAATAGTATTTTACATGGTTTGAAAATAAGTGAGCCATTCTTTAAAAGTAAAATAAATTTAAATCAAGTTAAAATTTTTGTTGTCATTTCTTAAGATCTATCACTTTTTAAGACGTTTCAGTCAAATTTAGTATAGAGGGTTTTTTTGAGAAAAATTATAAAATGTAAATTTAATTTAATGTAAAAATGATTTACTTTTTGCAAGTTGCTAAAATGCCTAAAAGCATTTAATTACAGTAGAAAATTTGAATAGTATTATCTGGAATACGACAAAATATAACTTTTTTACAGTAAATAAAGTGGTTTCATAACACCCGTAATTTTACAAAATTTGCCAACAGAAAAGTAGGCAAAGAACAAAGACTATTTCATGTGTTTAGCTAACTTTTTTTACTCTATCTAAAGATATCAAGCTAATTCAAATAAATTAAAAATTTTTTAATAAAAAATCTTATACCAGAAATCTATCGATTCTCCCAAAATTCATGGAGGATTTGAATTTACGCCATTTCTGCGATAAAGTGCTCCATGAAAAAAAAGTGTGACAACTGACAGTTCAAGGTTATTAAAAATGGAGCGTGACACGAAAGAACAATGCGTTTTCATTGTGGAGCAACATTTAAAAAATAATAAGGGTTTGGCATATCAGTTCGTAATTGATTGATGTCTTAACCTCAACAGTGAAGAGATTAATTGAACAATTCAGGGAGACTGGACCAATTAATGATCTAAAACACTCAGGACGGTGCCACATGCCATATAGCCCGAGAAACAATTCAATTACTGCATGAATCATTTCCTAGTCGTATAATTTCTCGTTTTGGTGATCAGAATTGGCCACCCAGATCATGCGATTTAATGCAGTTGGACTTTTTTCTTGCATGTTTTTTGAAGCTTAAGGTTTATGCCAACAAGTTCACGAAGGATGAAATGCTTTGAAGGAGGAAATTAAGTGCTGTATCAACAAAATTCAGCTGCATTTACGCAAAAAAATCATGGAAAATACCCGATATGCTATTCCACACATAACCTATACTATACACTTTATGAATAAACAAAAAATTTTCAATTTTTAATTAAAAACATGTGTTTTCTATCAAAATTACTTCTTGCGTGAATTTTGGAACAAATATTGTTGGCTACTACAAAAAGCTCTCGATCCAAAATTTCATTGGAGTATCTTTAAAACTGTTGGAGTTGTCTTAAAAAATTGAACAAAACACCTCAATATTGTAAAGGTAACTTGATTTAAATCCGATTATACTCCCTAANTATTAATTTAAAATCAGAGAAACAAGTACAGTGAAAGTTAAAAAATAATCAATACTTAATTTGTAAATAAAATGTTGTGAATATAGTCTTTTTTATTTTAAAATTCACCATTATGTGAAACATTGCCTTTTCCTGCGACTAAGAAGGTAAAGGGTATTTAACAAAAGAATTCGAAATTTATAAATTTCTATTTTCTCGAAAGAGATATATACACTAAATTGCATATACAATACTTGATATTTGTACATAAACAATTAAACATTAATCAGGTAGTGCTTTAATACAAATTATGCTACAGTTAAGTGATTGTCACTTTCCTAATATAAAAACTATAAAAAATGCCAACAAGTCACGAGAAACGCAAAGGATGCATTTATTCAGCACTGACGTAAAAATAATTTCATAAATCCAATATATTATTGTCGTAATAGCATTCAAAATCATATCGATAAATCATAAAAAAAAATATAAACAAAATATACACTAAAAAATTAACAACAAGGACTATGTCCGTTTAAAAATTAACTACACATGATACAACTACAAATCATCGTAAAAGTGCAAGGTAATGCTTCGGGAATATATTGCACAGCAATCTCTAGTGAAAAAAAAGTTAATAAGGCAATAAGGGGCTAGTTTATAGGTTAGGCTAAAAGAAAATCTCATGAAATCACCATCGATTATACCTTTAAAAACTGATCTTCAGCTCAACCTATACGATCAAAAGAAAAGTGTATATAAATACAGTTCATCTACACTAGAGCACAACGTGAAAAAATAAATAATCGGGAGACAGACTATGTACATCAAAAGGTCGGGGATACGTCGCTACTAATTTGGTCCCTAACCTAAGCTAACTGCTTCATATATTAAAATATATAAATGCTTGTTATATTCATGTATAAATACGTCGCACGACATCAGTAAGAAAGTAGACATTATGGAATGCATTGAAGAACGGGTTAATAAAATGGCACCGCAAACAGTCTGTTTCAATTCTGTTACATACACACAAATAACAAATTAATTGATTATGTACACGTAAACCAACTAATACGTCGTAACAAGAAATTTTTTTATACAATCATTACAAATATATATGCAAACGAAAATATTTAACTAATTCATCCACTTTCGGCAGTTCGGCGCGCCACACATACACGATATTTTGTGTTGGTCGTCCTCGATGTCGAACTTGTAATCGTAAGACAACTGCAACAACGAAAAGTGTCATTCTAACATACAAAAAAGTAATAGTATTTTACATGGTTTGAAAATAAGTGAGCCATTCTTTAAAAGTAAAATAAATTTAAATCAAGTTAAAATTTTTGTTGTCATTTCTTAAGATCTATCACTTTTTAAGACGTTTCAGTCAAATTTAGTATAGAGGGTTTTTTTGAGAACAATTATAAAATGTAAATTTAATTTAATGTAAAAATGATTTACTTTTTGCAAGTTGCTGAAATGCCTAAAAGCATTTAGTTACAGTAGAAAATTTGAATAGTATTCTCTGGAATAAGACGAAATATAACTTTTTTAAAGTAAATAAAGTGGTTTCATAACACCCGTAATTTTACAAAATTTGCCATCAGAAAATAAGGCAAAGAACAAAGACTATTTCACGTGTTTAGCTAACTTTTTTTACTCTATCTAAAGATATCAAACTAATTCAGATAAATTTAAAATTTTTTAATTAAAAATCATACCAGAAATCTATCGGTTGTCCTAAAATTCACGGAAGATTTGAATTGGTGGTAACTGGCAATTCAGGGTTATTAAAAATGGAGCACAACACGAAAGAACAATGCGTTTTCATTGTTGAGCAATATTTAAAAAATAATAAGGGTTTGGCACAACAGTTCGAAATTGATTGGTTATTTAACTTCAACTGTGAAGATAGTTCAGTATATGACGGATGGTTTTTAGATCCGAATTCTTGACACATGCACCGATTGACGTGAAATTTTAACAGCAAGTAGAAAATTGCTCAAGAAACAAAAGTTACATAGGGCCGATGTGTGCTTTTACCCTAGGGATGAATCCCACCCCTTCTCGGGGATGGCAATGAAGGCACCCATTTTAATCGCAAAAATCAATAGAGGGATGAATTCTAAGCAAAAAATGCTCCATGTTTTTTCCAAAAATTAATATTTTCCGAGTTATTTTAGATTGAAAATGTTGATTTTTCATCTAAAAAGTGCATGTTTTTCAACCATTTTTAATAAATAACTCAAAACTTTGCGTTTTATTGAAAAACCGAAATAACGAATCGATTCATTTTTTGTTGATTACCGTAGATGTAATAATAACCTCTCTAAAGGCGATTGTTTATTTTTCGGAAAGTAAAATCGAACCTGTTACCGTAAAATAATGGTGAAAGAACTAATTTTTCAAAGAAAATGGATATAATCTTTTTTAAAGTACTTGGAAAAACTTTTAAAATGCTTTTTGAAAAAATTCATAGCTCAAAAACTCGCGGAGTTAAGAGGAAAATAAAATGGTCATCTCATTTTTTCGGAGAAAAAATCAACAATAAAATCTATGGCTGAACCATAAAAATAGAAACTAAGCGTAGTCCATGTACAGTTGACTTTATTTAGGTACTAATAATAGGCTCTGCAAGTTTGACCTGTTTAGAATGCCTAAATTTAAAAAAAAGTATGAAATAATGAAAAAAAAATTTTAATTTTAAAAATCTTTTTTTTCGAAATAACTCAAAAACTAAACAAGATATGTGAAAAATGCAAGAGTTCAAAATTAAAGGTCTTTTATAATATTTTTGCTATCTTTCAATTTTTCTGTAGAGCAAAAATTAACCGAGATATTACGTTTTTTAGTTGGCATTTGCGTGTAAAAACCACTTTCTTTGAGCCCTTAAAACCTAAAAATCTTGAAAACGAAGAGTTCAAAGACTCTTCAACTATAAAGGTTGATGTGTAGCTCTTGCAATTCCCTGCAAATTGCTTTTTGGAGCAATAAAAAATATTAAAAATTAAAAAAGTTATCGTGAAAAATTAAGATTTTTTCATAAACAGTAAAAAATATTCAATTCTTCATTATTGCTCCGTCAAAACATTTCAGAGCCGCGAAAACTAATTTTTGTTTTTTTTCCTCATAAAAGGTGGATTTTAAGGGTTGAAACATTGCTATAAATGAAAAATTATTATTCGAAACATAAAAGAGTGCTTATTCTATTGACATAACACTTAAATCTATGGTTTTTACGATTTTTGCAAGAAGGGGTCGTTTTCACCCCCTAAACTAACTTTTGTAAAGGAGGGTGAAATGAGCTTGCTCTCCAATTTTCATGAAAATCGGTACGTGTGTCAAGAATTCGGAGGTAATACCCTATTTTTACCGTTGTGTATACTGGACTAAGAGATTAACTGAAAAATTCAGACTGGACCAATTAATTAATGATCTTAAACACTCAGAACGGTGCCACATGCCATACATCCGGAGAAATAATTCAATTACTGTATGAATCATTTCCTGGTCTTATAATTTCCCGTTTTGGTGATCAGAATTGGCCACTCAGATCATGTGATTTAATGCAGCTGGGCTTTTTTCTTGCAGGTTTTTGAACTCTAAGGTTCATGCTGCCAACAAGTCCACGACCACCCAAACATTAAAGGAGGAAATTGAGTGTTGTGTCAACGAAATTCAGCTGCATTTATGCAAAAAAGTCATGGAAAATACCCGATATACTATACCTATACTATACACATTAAGAATGAACAAAAAATTTGCAATTTTTAATTAAAAACCTGTTTTAAAATTTCATTTGAGTATCTTTAAAACTGTTGGGGTTGTCTTAAAAAAAAATAACAAAAACACAACAAAACTGTGAAGGTAACTTGATTTAAATCCGATTATACTCCCTAATAGGGGCATGCCCTAGAGTTATGGCTTATTTATTTCCTGAAATTCTGTAAATTATCATTTTTATCTAACGCCTCAAGTTCAATTCTACAAAATCTTGTATATTTGGCCACTTACCTCCTCTCCTCTCTGAATCCTCCGTTTTGCGAAAATAATGATTCTAACGTCCCTCTCCACCTCGACGGTTTCAGCAACACAATTCGGGTTGCACGAATGGTTAATGTACCGGGCCAAGCCACCGCAAAGAGTGGCGTCTACCACCCTCTCTTCGTCCAATCTGAACATGTATATGCCTCGGTTCTAAAAACAAACCGAGTAATCGGTCAAGAAAATTGTTCTAACGTTACCATAAATCATAAATTACAGAAGCAGGTGTATGGTTGTTAGCTTAATCAACATTGAATCAATACAAATAAAAGATGTAATAATACAATGTGATTCGCAATTTATCCAAAAAAAATTGGGAATAGATACGTCATGAGAAATGGAGTCAATATCGAAAAAAAATGTTTGTAAAACCCTTATAGTTTCCGAGAAAAAAATTATTGAAATTGTAGTACTTTCAACCATTACATAGCTGGACAACTGTAGTCTCTAGCATCATTTGCAGTTTGCCTGGAGAGCCACGTAGCCTCAGCGACTCCGAATACTGAAATCCGATTATACAATTGTCGTTGCAATAGTGTTTACAATAGTTTTTTACTAGTTAGTGTCAAAAATGGTTTGCGTGTATAATAACAAGGAGCTGATGGATATCGTTTTAATTTATGGTGAAGCAAGACAACATTCGAGTTAGTTCATAGAAACTGAGTAAGACGGATCCAAATGTGTTTACACGGCGGTCCCCTGTATAATTTTGTCTTTTAACAGTAATAATTAAAATTATTGAACCAATAAATAGTTTGTAGGGGTCACCACAGACTTTTATCATTTACAGTTAAAAACCATAATCACATTGCTAAATAACAAAGAATCAGAGACACTAATTGGAATGGTATTGGTACTCATCGCTCAAGCTTACCTTCGCCTCGTACTGCTTTTCCCTGCATTCAGCCAACTCGGTTCTGATGATCTCGCCGATGTACTCTATCACCATGGTATGCTTTTCCAAATCCCGTGCCGCGTACAGACCCAAACCTTGGATTTTAGACCTAAAAGTATCGCAATCAGCATAAAAATTTCCTTGTTAAAACGAACGTTATCCTTCACCTCGCCAAATACACGTTATTCCTCCACTCCTGCTTCATCTTCTTGTACTGGGAGCTCTTTGAATGCACAAACTGTTTACTGTACGGACACGACATCTCCCCCAGGCTGCTGTTACTTATGCTGGGCCCCGACGGTGACGGCCCAAAAAGAGGCCTCACCGTCGCCCCCATGGTGCGCTGCGTGTGCGGCCTCTTCCAGTGCATCTGATTCCTAAGCCTGGGCTCGGTCCTGGCGGCTCCCGACGGGTTAATAGCCAGAGGCAGCTCTAATAATGGATTCCTCCCATATTTGAACTTGTAATCGGTGAGGGTTTCGATGCCGGGAAGGCTTTCCAGTACCCGAACGATGGCGGGTTCCGTGAGGCCGAACAAATCCTCTCCCGTCGCGAACTTAGGGAACATCTGCAAGCAGCTGTTCTCTTTTCTCAAAGCGGAGATCTGTTCGACGATTCTCAACCACACCCCTCTTGGTGTTTGATCTTTGTACTCAACGTCTTCTTCCGGCTGCTCCTGAATGAGCACCCTGAATTCCGGTCTGCCGCACACGTCGTGTATCGAACAAATGTACCTACACCGTTTGTTCAACCGGCGCATGCTCCAGAAGAACCGGATGATCTTGTAACCGATGGGATAGATATAGTTCGGGGTGTGGAAGTTCTGCAATTGGTGCGGAAGCAATTGCCCGACGTTGAGGAATATCAGGCTTCCTACCCGAAGCAAGTTGTTGGTGTCTGAGTGGTGCATTATAGCGGCCACCTGACGATTTTCGTCCCTGTTGACATATACCCTTCGCGAAACGGACAGTGTCGTCAGCTCGTTATCTTTCTCGTTCTTGGGAACGTGAACGGTACAATAGACGGTCTTGTTCTTGAAAAATACACATCTGTCTTTGACGGCGCAGCTCAGATGGTAAACGCTCGTGCACCTCGTTTTGAAGCAGCGGATTGTTGCTCCGAATTTGTTGCAGTGGATGCAGTTGGTCACGAGGCTCATTTGAATGGCGTTTTCTAAGTTCATCAGGGCGCCGTTCACGGTTTCGTAGACCCCGTCCGACCAAAGCCCACAGTTTAGATGCACCCATTTGTCCACGTCGAAGTTAAGGAGACGCGCGGGACCGTCCGCAACTCCATCGCCAATTCCTTTGTTGCAACACACAAAACGTTATTTTTATTGTTTATTCTCACAATTAAATGGTATTTCACTCATGTGTGATATATGACGTTTTGTCCTACAGTTGCTAGTTTTTTAAGAAAAACCTGGATTGTTCACCGGCACGCCGTCAAGTCATCAAGGCAGACATTAGGGTGCCGCTATATACGTATCGAATAAATTGATCGATGCAAAGCTTCAGATCAGAGGCAGACATGTACATGTTACTGTACAATGACACAGAAAGTGAAGTAGTTGATGCTTCGCCACCATTAGTAAAAATAGCATCTATTAAATATTTCGACTAATTTAGATATGCGCCCGTGACCTCGGTAAATGTTGGACGATCATTATTGTCTTATAAATGGGTATGTACCAAAGGGATATCTTAAAAAGTTAAGGGGTCAAGTTTTTGGCTTTCTACGTCAGTCGTCATGGATAGTTGTTGACAAATAACAAATTATTTTTTTTTGACACGAGTGTGGAACGTAATGGAGTGTCTGTCAGAAAATATAGCACTAGAATCCGAAGCTGCGTCTTTGACAGTCAACAAATATTAATACAATGTGTTCCACAAATAAAGCGAGGTCCCTTGTATTATTTTTGGCAGTGGAATTCATTTCATAACACAACTTTTCATTTTAATAGTCACTAAAATATCTACAAAACTGCAACTGTTGGACAGATATTAAGCTAATTAAAATATATTTTAAAAAAATTTCCCTAAAAAATTCTATTAATGAAGTCAGAAAAAGAATTTGTTACTTTATCTTTATATTAAGATAAATTAACGAAACATGTCCTTACCTTGGCAGAACATGCACTTTCTCGTGTCATCGGGCATTCTGGGGGGCGTGACTGTAATTTGAAGCTTATACAGCAGCTCCATAATTTCTTTGTCGGTTGGCCGTTTATGTTTTTGAGCTGGTTGAAGGCAACCCGGGATCCAGAATTTATACCTAATATTTTTATGCGGTTTTAAGGGCATAAGCGACTTAAATTCGGATGACTCGGAATACTTGTGATGCTTCAGTTCGGAATGTTGGTACAGCGGAAAATCGTTCGTGTCCATGGGCTCCTCTTTTCTAATATCCCTGTAATCCATACTTACGCGTTGCGCAATAACGGCTTTGTTGTCAAACACCTCGCTCAGGGACTTTCGGTGTTTCATGTCCATTTTGTCCTTCTGCGATAGATGGTCTATTATGGCTGCGGCCTGCAACAAAGTCAATAATGGTGTTTGGGACATCTCGGTGTATTAATAATACGATTGGGTGCCACAGTACTCGCAGCCTGTAGCTTGTTAGTATACTGCAAACATTCTTACGAGCTGTTACATCTTAAGAAATTTAAAAATATTTCTCCATTTGAGCTACGCTTATAAAATTCATATTATGTATAGTAAATGTTTTCCTGCAGTAATAAAATATCACGGTTTGTGAAATAATTGTGTTGGGCTGGAATTTCATCGGCATAAAAGACATACTGAAAGCCAAATGAATAAACGAAATGAATTGTTACAGTTGCCATACTGGGTATTTTTATTACACAACCTAATTTTTGTTAAATTCCAAGTCCAAAATAGAAGGCGACTCAATCTCATGTAGACCATGCCATGGGTAAGGTGTGTAAGGAATGCGAAAATTGTAAAATATAGAACAAATAGATTAGGGTAGCTCAAAAAAATTTTTTTTTTCGTGCCTCTTCTGAAAATATGTTAATTTATCATGTTTTAAGGCCCTCTCAAAAAATCAGCTCAAAAAAATTTTATTAGAGGTCGCTTTTAATTTTTTTTCTCGTTATTTTATCATTTTCTAGGTTGAAAAAAATCTCGATTCTGAAAATTTCAAATCGACATTTTAGAAGTAGGAGTAGTAATGTAGAAGTAGTGTTTCTAAAATGTTTTCGGGCGACCTCTAAAAATAAATATCAACGACCTAATTATTTTTTTTATTGAATTTGATGAACAAATGAATTTTCTATTCATTTGTTAGTTTGACCTTGCGGGGGCCTAAGGTCAAAAGGAAATGGTCATTCAAGGTCATATCTCAACATAAAATTTTCGGCTCTTTTCATTTCTGAGGTCAAAAGTATAGGGTCCTATTTGAAAAATCACATTTGACCTTGAAATTATCTTCAAGGTCAATGTCACCATCAGATAGCCAGAGAGAAATCCTGAAATTTTTGTATAAAATACTTACTTTGTCCTCTGAAATAGATGGCGATCTATGCATCAAAGCGAACTGCATGTAACAGCTGGAACTGCAGAAATACAACTCCTCCCCGTCGCTCAGCAATTCCGAGTCCTTTGCTAAGAACGGCAGATCCGACACTTTCCTTCGTATCATGTTGTTGAGTATCACGACGTCGCAGTGCTTGCAGAATTTGGCGGCACCGTTAAGGATGCTTTGTATGTCAATAGGTGCTAAAACGAGAAAAAAAATTAAGCGATATTTACAAAATATATCAATTTATACTACGTACCTCCTTCTTTCCCATCTTTTCCCTTCGTTCTGTACAAGCCCAATTTCTGACTGGGGGGCGTGCTCGTTCTTTCAACGATTTGATAACTAGTGGGCGCAGGGATGTGTAGGATATTTGCCAGGTCTCTAAGTACGCCCATAATATCCTCGGCGGCCGAAGACGTCAACGTGAGTGTTACAGTAACATTTCCAGAATCCTTCACTGGCGTTGTCGGTTTGGAATCTGGCTTTGATTTTATAAGAACCTCCTTGTCAATGTTCTCCTTATTCTGCAAAGTAAAAAAAAAAAATTTTATACAACAATCATTTCGTCGCATAAAATGAGTCTTACGTCTGTATAATCCTTAAGATATAGCCCTCCAGCTGGTTTCAGCCTTATCGGAAGTGGTTTAATCATCGGCACTACAGGTGATATTCTTCCTTGAACGTCTTTTTCCTCGCTTCCGTCCTCTTCATCGTCGCTGATCAATCTCAAGCCCAGGAACTTATGCGGCGGCTCTACTTGTACGCACTCGGGTGAAGAACTGCTAACAATCGAATCGGGAGTGTCTTCCCTACAGAACAGATCAAACTTCTTATCTTCATCAGTGTCGAACCTAATAAGAGGAAACTCCTGGTCATAAAAGCCTCTCTGAGTTGAAGCTGGTGGTTTTTCTGGTAAAGGCTCTTCATCCCCGTAGGGCTTGGTATTGTAATAGTCGGAATACCCAGGCAACACAGCGTTTCCGTAAGTTCCCATCAAATCCCCAAATTGCGACGAGTAACACTTAGTTCCCAATTTCGACATGTCTCCGGACCCAAAAACTGGCATCACCCCGAAATTACGGTTCAAGACAGGTTCTGAGACCGTCATAGGAGGTAACTGTCTGAGTTGAGCAAGAACTCCGTCTATGTAGGTGTCGTAGTCCTCGTCTATTTTTGAGTTTTTGCGTGGTCGCTTCTTGGGCTGTCCCGATAATTCTTTGTTAAGGATCTGGTTTTGCCTGCGTTTTTGTTGGTACATCCTCCTCTTCTGCTTCTTAAGTTCTTCCTTGTCTAATATAATTTTGTCGGTCGATGGATCGACCGAGTCCAGTTCCTCTTTCATTTGTATGTCGGATCGGCTATGGTCGGACACCTCGGAGTGTTGCGAGGAGTCGTCCACAAATTCCTTCTTGACTTCCTGGGTAGTCAGAATAGGACTTTGTTGGTGTTGATTCACCGAAGGCAATTCCTTCTTCATTATCAGTGGGGGAGTTTGTAAACTAGATTCCTGACTACAGGAAGACCTAGGCGTCTGAGGCGACAACAAATCGTCCCTGCTAGGCGTTCTGCTTGCCGGCAAGCATTTTTTCACGTCGATATGTAGCTGCTGCGTAGCTTGAGTGGTGACGATGCTCGTTTGCGCGATATTTTGTTGCGGTACCGGACTAGACACGAAAGAAGTCTCTCTAATCGTCACCCTTTGCACGGCTTTTTGTTGCGGCTGAGTTATGGTTATGGGGATTTGAGGTTCTGTTTTGATAACGGGTGGTAATAATGACGATAATGTGGGCGTGCTGTTTTTCGCCAGGTTGTTGTCGATATTTGTCGCACTCGAACTGGTTGGAGCTGAAGTGGTCGTTGACGACGTCGTATTGGGTGGCGGGGACTGAGTACTAGCGCAAGCGGTGTTTTGCAACAATTTCTTCAGTAGCACGTTCTGGGAGTCCTCGGTTCTGTTACATATAGGTGTAGGAATGCTGGAATACTTGCATCCCGTTAATTCCTGTTTGATCAAAGCTATTTTGTTGTCTTCAAGACTAGTGGAAATATCCGGCAGTTCTTGTTTCACTTCCTCAAGTTTTATTTCTTTGGGTTCCTCTATGATTTTAGGTCTTACTTTGGTTAGTTGGGTGTGCAGTAAGTTTGTAGTCGATGCTGTCGGTCTGAACATCGAACTAGGCGTCGCTATTACCGAGGGATTATTCAAATTTGCAACACTCTGAGGCACCATATTGTTCGTGGTTACAGGAGAAACCACAACATTAGGTTGAGCTTGTACTAGTGCGGTCGTGAACCCTGTTTTTGCGATACTTATCGGAGAACCCAACAAACTGGCTGCGGTGATCGTGTCGGCTGAAGATTTGGTGGTCATAGTGGCTGCCGGTTGGTTTTGCAACATTGCCGTTAGGGTTAGCGACGGTTTTCTCGACTCACTGGTAGTTGTTATTGGACTAGACGTGACTAAGCTCTTCTGAGTGATGCTCGACAGCGTTGTGATACTAGACGAAGTCTGTTGAGATCCTATAACGCTAGTTACTGGCGGTAACTTGGGATGATCGGGCATGAGATGAATGCCACCCACAGTCCGAGTTGAGAGAAAACTTAAGGTTGATGTACCGCTCGACGTTGAGGATGCAATGTGTTGCGTCCTTATCGGACTGGACCTTGGAGGATTTGTCGTTACAGGGGTAGGTTTGGGTTTCATATTCGGCACTATAACGGTATTTAAACTGGTTACAACCGGAGGCTGTTTTCCAGCTTGTTGAATCACTCTAGAGGCCACGATCGGTGAAGAAGCTGTGGGAGAGGCACTGCTAACAATTTTATGACCTATATTTTTTACGATAGACTCTACGTTCGTCGGTGCCGATGTTGAGGTCGTCTGTAGTGAGGACAGTAAAGTTCTGAGTTGTTGTGAGGCATTGGCCATGTTTGTCGTTAAGTCCGTCGGTTGAGAGAGTGGGGAAAGCTGAGGGACAACGGAGGATTTGCTAGATGTTGAAACGTTCACCGCCACTTGGGTCTCAATTTTACTGGTTTGAGTTTGTGCTTCTTTTGGAGGCTCTACCTTTTCCTTAACTTCTAAAATTTTGTTTTCTTCTACTATTCTGTGCTCCGGTTTAAACTGTTCTTTAATGGTAACGTTTTCTTCTAGAATTGCCGGTGGTTCTGCTGTAATGTTCTCGATCATGTCTAGAACGTCTTCGAAGGACTCGAACTCCCTCCTGCTACGGTTCTCCAGAGCTTGCAGTGCAATATTATCGAGCATTTGTTCCTGAGAAGGAGTTGGTGAAGGAATAGATATAACGACAGACTTTGTGTCTTCTGTAGACCCGTCGAAAGCATCCACAGTTTCTGTTGTAGCGGTAATCTGCATATGGGGCTGTGTTTCTTGGATGACCTGAGCTGTCATTTTCAATTCTGGAGTATTATGAATTATTACAGGTGGAGACGTTTTTGATATAATCGGACTGGGTACCCTCTGCTTTTGTGCTTGTTCCTTAGTTACTAAACTTGTGATAGTGAGATGTTCTACTTTTCTTGAAGGCGGAGTTTTGTCTCTCATTTTTGCTTCCTTTAACTTCTCCTCGTGCTTTCTATCACCTTTAATTTCCAATGCAGGCTTACTGCTTGCTGCGGATATATTCTTGTCCGACAAGTCAGCATTTTTTGCAAAAAGAGGTGGTTTTGAATCGTCTGCGGTTGGCGAGTCGGTTTTTGACTTTTCATCCGAAGAATCCTTTGACTTGTCGTCTTCACAGTTCGAACTGTCTGGCGACACAGAGTCGTCCTCAAATATTTTCTTCGGTAAAGAGCTGTCGTGCGTTGTTAACGATAACGAGGACGAAGGTTTATCGATAACTTTAACGTTCGGAAGTTGCCGTACGGCGCTTGCACTTATTACAGGGACGGTGAACTTCGAGGGTAGGATAGAAGCTATTTGAGAAGTGCTGGCACTGACTATTTTTATGGCAGGTGGAATTGTGGTGACGATATTCGGTACACTTAATACGTTCCCTCTAACAGCATTGTTATGTGCTAAAATAATGCTGGTAACCTTGGACGTGTTGGTGGCATTAACAACTTTTGCGTTCTGCGCCAGAATTAGTTTTTCTGCGGTAGTTTTAGGAGGGGCAGTTAGATTCTGCACTACCGGACTCGCTATCAAAGATATCTTTGAAGAAAGTTTCTGAGTCATGACGTTAGCAATTCTAGCAGTATTCACGCCAGATGTTGCTGCGGCCGTTTGTAAGTTCTTGGTATAATTGAAGATGCTGGCGTATTTATGAAAGTCACTGATATGTTTTGCGGTAATAACTTCGCTTCGTTTACGGAGATTATCCTTCCTCGACCCTTCATCTATCAGCTCTTCAAAGTCCTCTTTGGTCGATATGGAGTCTTCGGGAGACTTAGCGTTCGGATCTATTATTAATATTTCCGATTCCAGCACATCGTCATCTGCAGGTTCTGGCGAAGGATCAACGTTCATATCCTCCTGCTCAGGAGACTCCGGTGTGTCGGCTATTCCTAAAAGATGATCAGGATGACCCACAATGTTATATTTTTTCGTTTTTCCTTGCATTATGAACTCGTCATCGCTGGTTGTTGGACTGCGTATTACGATATGCATATTCTCTTCTGAATATTCCTCCTCGGCTTCGTCTTCTTCGACTACCATATTTCCCGAAAATAGTAAATATTCGTCCGTCATTTGATCGGATTCCAAAGGACTCGCCAGGCCTCCTAAATCGCTTTGAGATAAAGTTTCGATTTCCACGATATCGTCACCGTCGGTTTGTTGTGCGGCAGCACTTAAAGACACCTCGGCGGACAAGACAGTGTTATTATCATCATCGTAGTCCATTATCTCGTTGACGTGCAATGATTTTTGTTCGGCGCTATGCATTACCATTAAAGAATCCTTTACGTCCGGATGCACCAGTATCTTTTTCGGGATAGATTTTTGTCCCGTCACTCTGCTGGTGGAAGGTAACGGTGGAGGCGTCACCGGTGGTGTCGAGGAACTATCATCAAATTCATTATAATCCGTGCTGACCAGGGAACCCACTTTACTAATAGCTAGGGACTGAAGATTAGTTTTCGCGGGGGATTTCCTCTTCAATATCGAAACTTTACTTAAATGAGATTCCTTTTTTAGCTTTGGAATTGGTGACGACATGCCGGTTGAATCGGTCGCACACAGTTTATCTTCGGGTTTGACGGTACTAGGGGGTGTAGGAATCCGTTTGGCACCCCTGCCGTAATTCCACATCGGGGAACCACCTCGCAATCCGAGTTTAACGTACCCAAATCTGCCGAAACCAGGAGGTGACGGTATGGGATTCCAGGGGTTGTTGGGATTGCCCCCGCCACTTTGCATGTTCTCGTTCTGTTTAGACATAGCATTGTTCTGACTTTCCTGCAACATGTGCTCCATACTGAAAGGCGTTCTGGGGGTTTCGAGATTTTCTACGCTATGAGGCCTGTCGGGCATGGCTGGGCTACTGTTGGCGCTTGGAGGTCTTCTAATGCCATGAGGCGATTGAGTTTGATTCAACATCGGACTCCTAGCCATCGGCGAACTAGGCGGCTGGTACTGGCTGTGGGTCATCGGACTGCTGGGAGGTTGAATCCCTTGGTGGAAAGCCGGACTTCTGGCGACGGGAGAATTAGGGTTCGGTTGATTGGAACCGAACGAGGACACCATTGGACTCTTTGGCGGCATCTGCATGGGCGAGGCGGGCATAGAATGTGGCGACATGATTTGCTGACTAACCATGGGACTTTTCGGCGGCATCGGCGACTGTGGAGGATTAATCTGCTGTTGGCTGAGCCTAGCTTGCAACTGGGCGATCTGCTGTTGCTGCTGCTGTGCCAGTTGTTTCTGTTGTTGGAGCATCATCTGGTGCTGTTGGGGTGTGAGCGGTTGTGGCTGACCGATAGCTTGTTGCTGCGACTGCTGCTGTTGCTGCTGAGCCACCTGTTGCTGTCTGAGCAGATTCCTGTGTTGGAGCAGCTGGGCGGCTCGGTGCAAGATATTCCCTTCGTTAGAACCACTGTCCAAACCCTGTTGTTGAAGCAAGGCTTGTTGATGGAGCTGCTTTTGGAGTTGCAATTGCTGGCTGATTTGTTGAGCTGGAGGGCTGTTCAGAGGCGAAGGCGTGCCGGGTTTCTGCTGGAAATTTTGTAAAGACGATTGCAGTCGGACCCTTTGCTGGAGCGCCGCATGGTCTATAGGGGTGCGTACGAATCGCATCTGCGGTGCGGCAACTGGGCTCGTGACCATTCTTCTGTGTTGGGGTGAAGTCATCCTGGGTACAGGCGGGGGAAGGCAGACCTGAGAAGGTGACTGAACTGGACCTGGGCTGCCTTCACCTTCGAGAACATCAATAAATTCGCTTTTCATCTCTTGCAATGACAGTAATCATAAAAATTAATGGTCGCAGTTTTAGTTTTTCAAATATTTTAAAAAATTTATAGCCATCTTAAACTGCTTGTTTCTAAAAACTTACTATGCAATATTTAATTTGGGCAAAAAGGATAATAAAGGCTTATTTTATAAATCTGTATAATTCGAGAAAATTGATCGTATTTAGGGAAGAAAGACAATTATTGACAACTATAAAAAATTATTTTAATAAGTAGATGGGTGTCAATAATAACAACTATTAAAAAATAAAAAACCAATAACAAAAGTAAATGAAAATTATAAAAAAACTAAAAAAAAATTAAAATACTAAAAATTATCATAGATGAACTTTAAACAGAAAAATATGTAGGAAACCTTTAATTTGAAATTTTGAAAGATTCTACACTTTCCCATTGTAAAATATTTGTACGACACTTACTTTGAGAGTGCGGCGTGCCGATCCTAGGCGAGGGCTGCATCGGCGACATGTTATTACCCGGCATGCTGCTCGGGCTCTGCAACAGATTCTGCACCGAACCGGGCCCCGGCGAGTGAGACACTATCGGTCCGGGACTATTCATCGGAGAACTGTGTTGAGTTAAAGGCGATGCCGACGGCGACATCATCGGCGACTGAGACGTACTCGGATGGTGGATCGGAGAAGACGCCGGCGGACCCAGCGGGGAGTGGATCTGCTGTAAAGGCGACTGTCCCGGTCCGGACTGCTTCGTTTGTTGCTTGTTTCGGTATTCCTTCATATAGACCAGTAAGGGTAATACGAGATTATATAAAACTGGCAATTATAGACATTGCTACTTTTTGTACAGTGCAACTACGGTGAACTACTTCTGTGATGGTGAAATAAACAAAATGTGTAAATTTGGAAAGAGGAATAGACGTTTCGTTTATTGAAAAAAGCCTCCAGACTCGAGAGCTAAAATAAAATCTACAAACATACTAGACGCATCAATTTTTTTAACCACCAGGATGGAAATCGTGCTGGACCTACATAAAAGAGCAGTGCCTATAAGTGTTAATAGATACCTGTATCAGCATGCCGTGCTGCCGGCTTTGCTTCCTGCTAGATTCCAAGTGTTTCTGGAGGATTGCCTGGTCGGCAGAAATACGTTGCAGTTCCGCGGCGTCCGCTTCTGTCAGCTGGTTGCCGGATTTCCTCAACTGCCGCTGCTTACTATTCAACGACTAAAGAAAAAAAACATACAGTAACATTAAACCAATCGACATCTACAGCTTCTCACTTTTCTGCTCTTCCTCAATTTTTGTACTTCAGTTTCGTAATACCGCAACTGCTGGGTAAGTACGTTGTTTTGATGATTAAGCCACTGTTCGTATAACATCTGTGACTGCTTGTCTTGTTCCGTGATGATATTCTCGGGAGGCAACGGAGGCGCTGGCATCAGATTAGCGTTAAATATCTGCACTCTGGTTGTAATTTCAGTGGTTACTTGGGGCGTCGGTGCCGGGGGAGGTCTCGACTGGTTTTGCTGCCAAGACGGTTGGGTAGCAATGGGCCCACTGCCTTGACTGATGGGCGAATTAATGCCGACTGGCCCGCTACTGAAAACATCCGCTTTGAGTCGCTCAAAATCATGATCGCTCAATAGCGCGGGTTCGGGCTCGACGGACGTCGAAGAGGACACTTCTTGGCTGGGGGGCTGGTTTTGTAGCTTCTCCTGCTCCCTTTTCTCTTGCTCCAGCAAGTCCTCCAACAAAAGGGGCTGTTCCTTATTAATAAATAATAATCTCATCAGTACGGCATAGGATTTTAGATAGTTTATTTCACAGTACATGCAAAAGATGAAGCCAAAATATATCTATTACTTACAAAAGGTTTTGAGAATGAGGAATTAGTTTCTAGAACCTAGATTAGTTGTAGATTGCAGGTTGAAACTAGTAAGCAAGAACGCTTTGTACACAGTTCTGTGAGGAAAGTGATACATTGTAGAAAAACGAAGGATACCGTTATTTTTTTTAATTTCTATTAGCTTCTGAAATTTTCTGAACAAAAAGAAACCAAAAACCATTAAATTATTATGTTTATACCAAAATACCGAATAATTATTTATTGATAAGTTTGTGTTACAGCATTTTTGACAGATCTTCTAAAAAATTTTATTTTTACGCTAAATTAACAATATTTGTATGTGTATTAGTGGCCCAAAACGATGTTTTTTTTTTCGTGTCTCTTGTGAAAATATATTAGTTTATCATGTTTTAAGAGCCCCCTCGAAAACAACTCAAAAAAAATTTTTTTAAGGTCGCTCAAGATTTTTAAAAATTTCCAAAATCGTGAAAAATTGAATTTTTTTTTAATTTTTTTTCTAGTTATTTTATCATTTTCTAGGTTGAAAAAAATCTCGATTCTGAAAATTTCAAATCGATATTTTAGTTTCTAAAGGTCAGTCATAATTATTTTAATTTTCAAAGTAGTTTACCCTTGTTTTCGAGCAACATCTAAAAAATAAATATCAACAAACCAATAATTTTTTTTATTGAATTTGATGAACAAAAGAATAGAAATAAATCACGACACTTAAATTTTAAAAAATTAAAAAGTTATAAATATTTGATACTCGCAGTGCTGTAGTAAATTTTGCCTCGAGAAATTTTTAAAGTGTCTCTTGATTAATTTCTATTCTTTTGTTCATCAAATTCAATAAAAAAATTAGTTCGTTGATATTTATTTTTAGAGGTTGCTTGAAAACATTTTAGGTATACTACTTTCAAAGTTAAAATAATTATGAGTGACCTTTAGAAATAAAAATATCGATTTGAAATTTTCAGGATCCAGATTTATTTCAACCTAGAAAATGATAAAATAACGAGAAAAAAATTAAAAAAAAATAAATTTTTGACGATTTTAGAAATTAACATCTTGTCTAAAAAAATTTTTTTTAAGCTGAGTTTTTGAGAGGGCTCTTAAAACATGATAAACTAACATATTGGCCGTGTTCTTTTATTTTTCGTTTTAATGCGATGAATTCCATCGATGTGTATTTAAAAAATTCTAATCTCTTATTGGTTCTACGGAATTCATCACATCAAAATGATGAAAAAAAGAACACGGCCATATTCACAAGAGATACGAAAAAAAAATTACCGTTTTTGTTTTAGGTCGCCCTAATGTGTATAATGCAATTTATTCTTTTTCCAACAATTTTTTGTATGGTTTAAAAATCGTAGCAAAGTCACTTCACGTTGCTACAGTAGCAATACCTAAGCAACGAATAAGGAAAAAGCAATAGCAATTTTAAAGCTTTCGCAGCTCGTGCTATTTATATTAGATATTTGATATTTTCTTTGGAGATATTTAAAGAATGATGGTTTATTGGTTTGTTATATCGTAATCTATGTACCTGGTCGGTGGTAGAGGCCTTAAAACCAACAAGAAGCAAAATTAACGTCAGGGAGGGTGTAGGGGTTCTGACAGCAGGTCCACCCCCTACAGAGCCTAGCCCGAGAACAACAAGGGTTAAGGAAGTGCAATATAAGTCTGTAACTGGTGTTGTCCAGGTACATAGACAACGGCATAACAAACTGAATAACCATTGTACTTAAAAAAAAAAAGGACAAAATAATATTAATAAGTCCATCTAGTTTAATACAAGGGACGATATTTTGTGAAGTTAGCGGTACCACGGGATATCAGTCACTGAATTTGATGTAGCTTTAATTCATTTTAAGGTTAATTGAAATAGAATCAAACAAATTTAGGTAGATCTTCAATTTTTTATGAAAAAAATCCGAATTGAGAGCATTTTGAACAAATTGAAAATCTGATATTAGCGATTTTCTTGATTTTCCACCCTGCTTTTATGTTGATTATAACCAGAATTTACACTAAATAAAATTAGGAGAAGGTAACCCTAGACGTTTTTGATCCTACCGTTGCTTTAATTCAAATTCAGTCATTAATTAATTAATTATAATCTGAAAGTAAAATTGACTAATGACAAAGGTCTACTGATTTCTTTCGACGTATAAAAATTTACTCCGTGTGATAATTACTTAATAATTTCTTAAAAGTTGGATCTGTTTCCCAGGAGCGGCAATTTCGTACGTACCGACTTGGGTCGGCGGACGGCAGACAGCTAAGAGCAGCATCTAAGAGTGTGAATAGCAGTGCAGAGGAGTGAGGAGGTATTCAAGGGGGGGCTTGTGTTAGATCTCACCTCGAGGAGAAGGGGTCTCCGCTGCAAATGTGGATGCATGGGTAAACCCTGCAGTGTCATGGGATGCATGTGTCCCGACGAGAGATGACCAGGCCCCATTCTCAATCCCGTCTACCACACACACATGCAATTAACAATAGCGTACCTCAACCAATAGTTAGTACTACCATAACCAACACAATGAATACGGTTTTTCAATGAATGAACTCGAATTTTTATAAATAACGTATCCGATTTATAATATTTTCAAGACATTGTTACTGCTACTTCCTAAAGGATATTTTTTGTATTTGGCTTTTGTACAGGGTGAAACTTTATGTGGGGGTCCGGTCAGTTTGGCCAGAATACTAATCTCACTTTATTTTTTTTTAATCAAATAAATTATCTTCTTTAAACAGCACTAAATTCTTGCCTAGACCTCCACTGGACAGCTCTCGTAATTGGTTGTATGTACAAGCTTATCAGTGTTGCCTGTTGTTATCTTTTTAAGCCAACTGTGATGGAAAATAATTTTTTAAAAAAGAATGCTTTGATATGACTGCATTACGCTATTTTAAAGTCAATACAGGCGAAACACCACACATTAAAAAAATGTTCCATTGTTGCAAAAATTAATAAAAAATATGCATAATTTATTAAATTTTAACTACTATTGGTAGATAGAGAGACATATGCTACTAATTATTGTAAATAAAATTAATTTGCTTGAAAATAATTATTTTATTTTAAAATCATTTCAAGTTTTTAATAAATGTATTTCTTACCATTTTTTAAAGCACTGTGTTTAGTTTGTGATTCACAGGGAACTTATTCAAGGTGTATGAAAAAGATCCGACCCCCGATAACTTTTCATTTCTATCAAAAAATGTTTCGGATAGAAGTTGTAGGGTATTAAAATACCAATATCTGACGACGTTAGATTCGACCTTGACCTTAAAATTCAAGGTCAGTCCAAGGTCAACTTGAAAATATTGAATGGAACGCCCTATTCTTTATGCTAGCAATTGGTAGAGCACTAATTGAAGCCAAAAATTCTCCTATATGTCTTTGTAGGTTATTTGAAGGTCGACTCATTTCTCGCCTGAATAACTCGATAAAATGGCAAAACTGCTTCAAGTAAAATTTTTACGATTTTTGAATGACAAATTATATAGTGTTCTTCGACTTAATATCCTACAACTCTTATCTGTTTGGGTCTTTTTGACATCCACATGACGTGATTTGTAAACTAGGCCAGCAAAAAAACAAACGACTAATGTTAATATAACATGAAATAACAAAAAACATGTACACAAAAAAAGATGAGAGAGTGACCACAATGCTTATTTTCATTTTTCATGAAGTTTCATGAGTTTTTGGATATTTTTAGAATATTTTTAGGATATTTCCTGTCGCCTCTGTCAAAGTCTCAAAAACAGGCGGATTTTGCGATCACTCTTTGAGAACAATGTATATCATATATGAAAATTATGAAAAAAGGTTTAAAAAAAAATCATTTTTCACAGTGGAATTTGAGAAAACAAACTGACAAGCTGGACAAATATGACCCCCATTCAGAGTTACATCCCGTACAATTTTTTTTTATTATAATAAATTTTACTAAAAAATGTAAATTTTTGATATTTAGAAAATTATTAGAATATTATTTAGAAAATATGACACTAACATGAATTTGAAACTGTTAAAAGTTAGAAAGGCAGTTTAATTTACAATTTAGTAATTATTTTATCAGACGGTGGCAGACCAAAACGATACACAATTTATTTTTTCGCAATTAGCGTATTAATTAACAAACTCAATTCCAAATAAAAAAAAAAAAACAAATCACATGCTCACGAAAAGAGAAACAGGCGTAAATTACCTGTTGTGGCTGGTGTTGTGGAGTCACGTTGCCAGGATATGGTGGTGGAGGTCCCGGGTATGGCGGAGGCGGCGGCGGGGGTGCTGCTGCCCCCATCCTGGGCCCTGCGGGGAGACCTACGGGTGGGGGATGCAGCTGCTGCGATGGGGAGACCTGGACGGACATCATCCGAGGCCCAGCCTGTCCTACTCTCATTTGTAGTTTTTGGTGTTGTACTGAAGTTGAACAATGTTTTAGTTAGAATAAGATCTTAATAAATCGACTGGAATGGCAGGCAAGTCGGCATTCATCGACTTAATCTTTCACTCCCGAGCACTGTTGCGTTCTGTACTCCTCGCCTGTTTTTTTTAAACTTCCTGTATACAGAAGTGAATCTTGGATTTTGCAGATGAAAAAATAAACTTCTGCATACCGAGCCGCCAACAAATCCAACAGAAAAGTACTTTATATATAACGGGTGTTCAAAAATTTTACGTTCGGATGTGACTTTGACTATGACCTTCAAGGTCATTTAGAGGTCAAGTTGAAAATTTTAAATGGAACCATATACTTTTGACCCCGGATATGGAAAAAATGGAAATTTTTATGTTTGGATATGACCTTGACGATGACCTTCAAGGTCATTTAGAGGTCAAGTTGAAAATTTTAAATGGAACCGTATACTTTTAATCCCGGAAATGAATATTCATGAATAGCTTAAATTATCTCTTCCAATCTCTAACCTCGAGGTCATGGTCAAGGTCACATCCGAACGTAAAATTTTTCGCTCCTTTTATTTCCGGGATGAAAAGTATACGATTCCATTTAAAATTTTCAACTTGACCTCTAAATGACCTTGAAGGTCATGGTCATGGTCATGGTCACCATTGGATTGCTCACTTAAAACCCTGCAACTTTTGTCCTAATCAATTTTTTGTTTCAGCAGTATTTTCCGAGATAGAAGGGGATTCCAAACTTCTTGAACACCCTGTATATTTAGTATGGTGCTAGCAAATTATTTAAAATAGAAAGTTTAAACATATGTATGACATCACCCGCCTTGATAGCAGCAATCAGTGAAATGGAAAACAATCGAAATGTTCTAGTACAGCACTGCCTACTTTGCCCCTGTCATGGCTAGAATGTAAGGTAGGCGCTGCATGTTCACCTAACCTCTCTATGAACTGTCACATTACCACTTTCGTTTTGTTTTATTTAAGAAATATTAATTTTAGAGCCAATCTTTAAACTTGGTGACATGAGAGTTGACGGAGAGGTTAGGAGAACATGCAGTGTCTTACACTGTAGACATGACAGGTGTCAAGTAAGCATTGCTGTATGGCTGCAGCAGTCACAGGAAGGGCTTTCTTTTTTTGTACAACACCCTGCATACTGTACAATCACAACAAATTAATTCTTTTAGACTGGTGGTACAACTGCTTCGCAGATAAAAAAAAACCTGGCTGTACTTACATTGTTGGAGGATGAACCTTTGCTGATAATTCGGCGGCACTTGCAGCTGCACGGTGTTATTAGGCATAACAATGCCAATCACGCCATCTGGTGTCTGCATTTTGGACCCGGGAGGCATTGGTCTGCCCTGCGCGGCAGCCTGCTGCACCTAAAACAAAACATATTACGTAATCACGTTTTTACATAAAAAAAACATGCTTACCTGATGCAACATCTGCTGATGGATCTGCTGAGGCGTTAAATGCTGCGGCGGCATCGGCTGGGGCTGCGGGGGAGGCTGCTGGGTTGGAGGGGGATGTGGCGCCTGCTGCTGCTGCTGTGCTACTTGTTGGGACTGGGAAGTCGCCAACGGGGGAGGCGGCGGTAGGTTTCCCACTTGCTCCGGGGTTTGCATCGGTAGAGGCGCTGGTTTCGAGGGAACTGGCGTGGTGTCTTTTTTCAGGACGGCTGTGGCCGTTGCGGTTGTCGTCACCGGTTGTTTTTGCGTAGAAGTCGTTGCCGGTGCACTATTTTTATTGTCCTTCTTTATCGGCTCTTCTTCCAGTTCCAGATCTAGGATATTTGTTTTGCCTCCGGTCAGAGTTTCTAGTTCCGGATCGGCGTATTCTAGAATGTTGAAGTCAGCCCCCATTTCAGCCAATAGTTCGTCGTCGTCATCGCCCAGACCGCCTAAGATGTCGCTTACGCCTTGCAGCTCAACCATCGTACCTAAAATATGAAAAAGTACAGTCGACTTTAACAACTTTTTTATACTCTAATACCTGTTTCTTGCTCCAGCTTCTCCAACTCGGCAGTTACGTTATCCGGAATGCCTTCTTCGTTCACGTTGTTTTCGGGAGCACCAGCGGCTGTTGTGACGGTGGGTGGTTGAGTCAGCGGGGGCCTCTGAACGACGCTATTTTGGTTAATGGGTAATCGCGGGCCCGTACTCAGATCTGCCGCACGGTTCTGATTCTGTAATTGATTCTGACGATGCAGTAGTTCAAATTGTTCCACCGTGGTCGGCCTCACCGCTCCGGGCAAGAACCTCACGAACTGTTGCTGGATACCCTGCGCGCTGGTGTGTGCTAAACGTTGCTGTAAATAAACGTTAAAACGTGGTAATACCGAATCACCGGATTGTATTACCTGCTGCTGTTGTATTATTAACCGCATCCTCGGGTCTAAACCTTGGATTCGAGGATCGATCTGTTGCAATCTCATGGGATTGGTGTTCATAATGGGTCTGTTCCCTACGGAAACGGTCATTCTCGGCCTCATAACGCTCGGTGGCAATGGCTGCCTGAATGTACCGTCTGCGCTCGACACTACCGTGGTTGTCGGTGTTTCGGCATCTTGATTTTCGACCGGTGGCCAAACACGTTGTTGCGTTTTACCAGGAAGCAATTCATCCAATTTTTTAAACTGCTGTCTCTGTAAAAGGTCTCGCAGTTGCCGGTTGATGTTGACCTCCTGCTGCTCGGGACGTATACTTCCAAAACCCTTTATGTTCAAATGCGACATTAGAAAAAAAAAATTATTTAATAAGAAACATTACCTGTATGGGTGGCCTGTTGATGGGAAATTGTGGTCTGGGAGTTGCAGGCTGATGAGCGTACGGATCGGCGGGCAACCTGGGCTGAAATATTGGTTTAGGAGTAGCAGGGGCTTGTGCATACGGATCATTGTTGTCGGGTGTCGTAGGTTGAGGAAAATCGTGTGGGGATTGTGAAGGTGTCGGTGGTCTGATAGGTGGGGCCGATATAGGCGAAGGGAGGGGGAAAGTTGGCGATTTAATACCTAGGAACGGTCGGGAAATTGGGGAGGGGGAAGTTACGGGGCTAAGATCTTGCGGAGTTGTCGCTTGCAGGGGGCTCTGCTGATCCTGAATGAAAGGTTGATTCGGGTCCGTGCTTATCTGCCGTTGGACTCTCGCAATCGCTATAAAAAAGGTTTTATTCAATTTTACGAATTGTTGATATATTTTGTAATATAAATAAATATTTTTACATGAAAATGAATTAATAGAAATTGTAAAGGACATACCAGTACCTTGAACACGTTGTTCATGGATAACGTGTTGCTGCTGCTGAGCCTGCTGCTGCCTCATAGCCTGCAACTGTTTCCACTGTCTCTCCTGTTCAGCCTCACGAGCCGACTTTTGCTGCAAGGCGATCTTTTCTTGATCCTACAACATTACACGTTCACAATGTGACCCGCAGATCATCGATAAGACATTAAAATAAAAAATTTTAATGACCAAACACTACAACACATAGAGGCCACAGAGAAATAAAAGAGACCAAAACCACAACTCACTGTATGTACAAAGAAAAAAAGGCCATGCTCATATGTATCAAACTACGCTACTGTTTCTCATTATGTATTAGTTCCTCCCGAATATGCATGCACAAGAAGGTTTTTGTGAGTTTTTTTCCTAGTACAATTAAACATCAAACATATTTCACAATTAATACAATTGGAAATGAAAAAGTTACGGGAATAAAATTAAATGTTTCTTAATTTCCAACACCGAAAGCAGGTTAGTCAGATCAGATCTGTTCCAAAGTTAAAAAACGTAAAATTAATTTCAGTACTGATACAGAATAGCTCTGGTATCTGATTTCTGGGTAAGAGGAAGGAAAACTTGGATAAATTTAAAAAACATCCTTTACGTTAGCGGCGGTTACACAAAATTAAAGCGGTCATATTTTTAGAATGAAGTGCGAGACTTCGTATTGTTTTCTGGGGGGAAGATTTCTAAGTTGACGTTGATTTCTAAGTATATTTCAAACGAAATTTGCGGAATAAAAAAATTATAATACAGGCAGCTTACAGTGAGATCTCAAAAGAGGGTTGCACATAATAAACAGTAGAACCCCAATTATTTAGACAACGGTTAATCCATACACAGCCAGAAGTCCAAAATTTTTGGAAAAATTGGCATAGCAAAAAAATTACTTTTTTCTCCTGAAAAATGGAAAAAAACACATATTTAACTTTAGTTAAAATCGAGGATCTAAAGGTTCTAGTCACCATGTTTGCCAATTATAATAAATTTAAAAAATAAATTATAGAAATTATTTTTTTTTAATGAGTTGATTTCTTCTTTTAGAATTCAAAATGTTGCTCTGGAGTTAGAGGTAAAAGACTTGGGATTCGAAGATCGTCCTTTAGTAAATTTGAAATATAATATTTTTTATGAGCTTGGTTTTTTTAGTTTGCTTTTATTTTGAAATTTTTTTAAGAAACACTTTCAATATTTATTTTTTTAGATAATTGATAATTTGTTTTTTGTCATAACTTCATCACTGAAAGATTTAGTTTCTTTTTGTCATTTTAAATAAAAATATATTTACTTTTTGATAATTTTTCTAATTTGAGATTTGATTTAATAAAATTAATATATTTTCATACTCAATGAAGTTTTTCCAGCAAAAAATATCTGGAAACATTTTATTTTTATTTCAAATATCTGCAATTTTTTCCAATTCTTATTAAAAAGTTAAAAATTAAGTTTCCAAATTATTAAATCTCCATTGAATAACGAAACAAATAAAACATTTTACTTCAAAATTGAAAGATAAATTGGTTATATACAAACGTTAGGTGATGGACAATTTTGGAAAAACTTCGCCTTTAAAAAATTGGAAGGCTAACAACAACAGTTTTTTCATTATTTTAATAACTGTATTATTTAAATTAGTATGAAAATACAGTAATTTTACCATTCTTTCATCAATTTTTTTCTGTCATCTATCCAGTTATCCAAAATATTCATTAATTTGGTCTGGACTCATTCCTGACGATTGATGTTCCACAATACGTGAAAAATATAAATTTTGTTTCATAATTAACTGACAGATACAATCACGTGAGCCTTTTACTTTTCACAAAATTCAATTTCCTTCGTTCTTTACGTGAGCATAGAAAACATCCGCAAACAACATTATCAAAATATGACCATCTGAATTTTCTGCAACCGCCACTGGTTTGTGTTTTTGTATTAACCAATTTTGAGGTGCAGTAGGATATTCGCAGTATATGATTACTTCATTTTTGTAAAAATTTACGCATACTTAACAGCGTTTATCGAAATTTCGATGCGCTTTACTTCGATTCGATTAAAATTCCGGCTGTTCTGATTGGAAACACACAAACACTGATCAAAACCAAAAAAATTAAAAAAATAATACTCGAACAACATTCTTAGTAAATGTAAAATGCACATGAAACAATCTTAAGAAGCTCTGATAAAAAAAAAACAAAAAACTGGAAAAAATCCACACCGAAACAGGTTCTCACCAGTGGCTGAGGTTCATAGTTTTCCTGACAGAGGGAGGGAAGTGTGCGCATGATTTCGGAGGGGGTCAGTACCCGGATCTGTTGATCCGTCGCGGACGTACTACTTTGCTGGGCGACTAACCTGGGATGAGGGATGGGGATGCTATCGCCGCTGGGCTGGTAGTGGGGGTTTACCGTGACGTTGGGCGCGGGCCCCACGTGGTCGCCGGGGCCGGCGAAGTGCCCGTGGACGGTAAACTGCTGGTGGGTGGACGGGGAGGGGGCTTTGGGGGGAGGGGAGACAGACACAGAGCTAGTGGAAGCCGGTGTTAGTGTTGGCGCAGGCCTCGTTTGAGTGCACACCTCTGACACTGGAGCTGGGGGGGCCGGAGGAGGCACCGCTTGGGTGGTCGCAAGGCTGGTGACCAGGGCCGGAACAACGGGAGGTGGCTTGGCCGCCGCGCTCGAGGAGGTGGCGGTGTTGTCCTTGGTGGTCTGTGACTAAAGGGGGTGACACACATAAACATACTGGTGGTAGTAGGTTCAAGCGGTACATGCCTTGGGGCGGAGGCAGACAAGTAACACTCAATGCACGGTGTTAGTGACAACCCGCTAGCCGGTTGAAGCTCGTCATGAGCATGCTTTACCCAATTTGTTAACATGATCAAGTCGGATTCGGGTTGGGGGTCTCAAGTCTTGTGAACAATTTTTTTGTTTCTGACATACCTTCCAATGGGCTATGAAAAGGCACAAAGTTAAAGGGAAGTTTCCTCGGGTAAAAGTGAGCAAAAATGTTTCCGAGACCCTGAAGAACTTTATTGAAACAGTATACTTTTAGAGTAAATTGCATAATGATGGTGCTCTTTCATTTTGTTTAATAAAAACCAATCAATAAATCTAAACAATATTGATACCAAAGAAAGATAATAACAAATAAACATAAACATAAAGAAATATGTAAACATGGTTTAATAATTTTTAACTAATATTGTGGAAAACAATTAATCTGCGGGCTACATCCAACATTGAATTACACCCACAATATCCAGTAAACAGCTAGGATCGTTCATCAGCAGAATCGCCAGATACTGTTGTAGTAATAAAGTATAGATATTAAAAAAAAAAAATTAAATATACGGGACATTTCACGTCAAACCGATCGCCCAACCTACACAAAAATTGATTTGACCGATTTATTCATATAAGGTCTTAAAATGTCCGTCTATTAAGAGACTTTCAAAAGAAAAGTGGCGTTTTCAAAAGTTTAATATATTGGACCAAATATGGCGCGTACAAAATCACTCTCCATGGTAAATTTAGGAAAAATCATTGATAAAATTTTCAAAAATGGAGGAATATCCCCAATACATATTTTAGACTGCTGATTATAAATCTATTATCGGAAATACGAACCTCCAAATGACAGATCCAATATGGCAGACATAAAACTGATAACAAATTTGCCAATGGTGTTTTGAAATTCAAAATGGCAGAACCATTATGGTGGAAGAGAACCCCAACTATCCTTCTTTGTGGCAAAAAACGATTATATCTCACATAAGGTAATGAGTCTGGAAGTTTTTAGGAATTGCGATTACAAATTTACTATTGAAGTTTTAAAATTCAAAATGGCGGATCCAATATGGCGTACAAAAAACCCCGAATCTTCTCCTTATCGGCAAAAAACGATTACAGATCACTTAGATCATTGAGAGGAAATAGTCTGGGGGCTCTTAGGAAGTCTGATTACAAATTTGCCATACCTACCCTAACCTAACCTAATCCATAGTTGCAGAACATGTCCGCCATTTTGAATTTTTGAAAATCCAATGGCAAATTTGTAATCAGACTTCCTGAGAACTTCCAGACCGTTTTCTTTGAGTTATCTAAGTGATCTCTAATCGTTATTTGCCGACAAGGAGAAGATTCGGAGGTCTTCCTACGCCATGTTGTATCCGCCATTTTGAATTTTAAAAGTTCAATCGTAATTTGTAGTCGCAATAAAAACACCAGACATTATGTGAGATGTAACCATTTTTTGACGCAAAAAAAGATAGTTGGAGTTCCTCATCTGCCATATTGGTTCCGCCATTTTGAATTTCAAAACTTCAATGGCAAATTTGTTATCAGAGAATCCAAAAGTCCCTGGACTCTAACCTTCAAGTGACTTGAAATCGTTACGGTACTATTATATGAGTTTTATGTTTGCCATATTGGATCCGCCATTTTCAATTTTGTATTTCTGATTCGTATTCAGCAGACCCAAAAACAGTTTAATATATGCATTGGGGATATATTCCCCTATTTTTGAGAATGTTATCAATGTTTTTTTCTAAATTTACCATGAAGAGTCAATTTTGTAGCCGCCATAGTTGATCCACCATATTGAATTTCTCAAAACGCCACTTTTCTTTTGAAGGCCTCTTAACAGATGAACATTTTAAGACCCTATACGTCTAAATCGGTCAAATCAGTTTGTGGGTACACATGTTCGCAAGTGACCCATTTTTAAGCATTAAGTCAAGAGCGCCAGCCGGACGCCGCCGGACGCACCAGTGTTCCAGAAAGGGTCTACGGCGGACTGGAGCTGGTGACCAGATGCTTATTCATATACCTACAACCGACTCCACACACAGGGACTCTCCAGCAAACGCTCGAACCGACAATACGTCTTTTTCCACAAACTTAGTTTTTAATAAAAAATACTTTATTTTTACCGTTGAGAGAGCATTTTATTTTTGCTGTACAGCGAAAGCAGCCCTCAAGTTTTTGTGTAGGTGCTCGGTTTGATGTGAAATGTCCCATATATATTTTTTTGTTTATTTTTACCTGAGAAACTTTCCATTACAGTCTGTGCACTTCTTCATGGGACACCCTATATATATATTATTACTAGATGTTTCTCAAAAGAATTTTTTTTCATTATCATTATTTACTTCATTTGAACGTTTGAACGTAAAAAAGTTAAGAAAAAGGAATTATTTTTCAATTTTAAGTGTTTTTCTTTTTTTCATCACATAAAAAAATACAGATTAAATTTGTTCACAAAACTTCACTCTTCTTATAAACTATTCTTTAAAAAAAAAAAAATTACATCGATTCATGAATAAAACTTTAACGTGGAGAAAGGAGCAATCGACGATATTTCCGTTATCTCGCGATATATAGATCTTTCGAATAGAGTATTCACAAAGCCCCCAAAGACGAACGTAAACACTTACCTGCTGCGCCTTCTTCATCCTCAGCTGACTCCTGTTGTCCCTCGCCTGCTGAAGGAACGGCGCCTTCTGCTCCTGGCTCAACGTCCTCCACTTCTTGATTATCTGCTTGTACCTGTCCGACCAATTAGGGTACTCCGTCTTCCACTCCGGGTGGTTCATGTTGGCGTACAGCACGGCGGATATGGTGGCGCCGTTACCCAGGCCCTCGTCCGCTCTCATCTTCTCCGAGGAACGCTGGTTGTAAGTCGAGGGCACACCGACGTTGGTGCTGTCGATGTCGGGGTGTTCGTTCACGTTCACCCACGGGCTGGGCGGCTCCGAGAAGGCCGGGCTGAACTGGGGGCTACTGAGAAATGAATGATCCGATAAGTGGTCGTGTGGTCAACTTATTTCCCTAAATGAGGTGTCTCAAAAAAAGCCAGACCTCCCTATAGCCTTTTAAGATTGAATCCTTACGAACAAAATTTCAGATAAAAGTTGTAGGATGCTAAAAAACCAATGGGATTGGATTTGCCCTTGACGTTAAGTTTCAAGGTCAACCCAAGGTCATCTGGAATGTGTTATATGGAACATCCTATTTTTTATGCTTGCAATCGATAGGGTGCTAAATTTTACGTCCAATCAAGAAGTCACAAAAATTTTCTTGATGTATCCTTCCACGTCATTTGGAGGTCAGTCATTTTTCTCTGATAAGTCGGCAAGATCGAATTAAAACAAAATTTGTAGAATTTTTAGTAACAAATTTGATAGTGACCTTGGTGGTGTGATTTGACCTTGACCTTAAATGTCAAGGTCAAACCAAGGTCAACTTTTAAATATTGAATGGAACACTCTTTTTATGTCAGAAATCGATAGGGCTCCAAATTGGAAGTCCGAGTATGCGGCCAGAAAATATTTTCGGTGTATCCTTGCAGGACATTTGGACGACAAACTCACTTTTCTTTCAACAACTGATAAAATTCAATTGTGAAGAAAAATGGAATAAAAATTTGAATGACAAATTTGATGGTGGTCTTGGACTTGACCTTCACCTCAATTTGCAAGGTCAGACCAAGATTTACTTGAAAATATAACATTGAACACATCATTTTTGCGCACTTGGAATCTTCCATTGTTACAAACACCTATTTCTATATTTGTGGACAAAGACACACTACTGAAGCTGCGTGGTCAAGCTCAAGCATGTCGGTGCTTGTCATAAGCGTAAAAGTGGGATTTTCACATTTCAATTATTCCAGTATGTGTTGTTAAAAAAGAGAAAAATAAACCTGGAAAACCAAAACAGCAAACAAAACCGCCCCAAAGGTGTTCCACAGGTTAGCCAACCTATAAAGATGACTAGAAAGGAAGACATTGTTTACCTCCCATTAGATATACCAGATACCATATAGACACGTGTAAATTTGTATTGAAAAATTTTTGGAACCCTCTAAAATGGTACGCCTATGGAATCGTGTTCTTTGTGCACCTTACATGTTAAGAATTAGTCACTGCCGACTGAACCTGGAATTTAGATCAAATAACTTACTTGCTATATTCGGAGTGGTAAGGGGATGGAGGCGGGAAGCTGACCGGAGAATTCAGGTTGCTCTGGTTGATGCCCGACAAAGTGGTCGGCCGAACGGGCGGCGTGACGATCGGATGTTGCGCGACCGGTTGCTGCGCATTGGCATTGGAAAACATGCTGTTAGCCGACATGGGAAAGGCGTTACTCTCCTGGGATTCTTGAGATTCGTCGGTCAAGACGCCCTGAAATTTAAAAAAAAAATTATGCTGAAAATTGGCAAGATTCTGTAAAATTATGTTGCCGATTTTTATAACACAACAGATTCGGAAAAGAGATCGATATGTCAAATAATATTTTAATGGTTTAAATCAGGAGAGTGTGGCGGTCACTAACCTTGAACATATCCTCCACGTCCTTACTATTAATATTCGGTATGTACTCTAAATTAAAGTGTGGTCCTAAAATATCACTCAATTCATCTTTGGTATCCTTTGAATTTCCAGAACTGCCCAAAGTATCCGCTAGTTCATTATCGTCGGGCAGATTCGAATCTAAAAGAAAAAAACAATAATTTCCGCATATTTTGCAAGGCCTATTTAAATCCTTACCTAAAGCTTCCAGGGATTCAGTATTCTTAGTTAACTCATCGTCGTCCTCATTGATGATGCTGTTCACTAATTCCGTATCGAGCAAATCGCCAGGTAAGGCGAGGACATCTTTGAGGTCCTCCGTATTGTCATCATCCTCTTCTTTAGGGACAAGATTGGCTAGTTTTTGATCTTTCGTGCCGTCTTTGGTTTCTGTGGAAATTCCGCCAAGTTTTTCTTGTTTAGCGGTAACTGCCGCCACAGCCATCAGTTCGTCCTGAAATTAATCAATAATTATTACACGAAACTTAGACAGACTCTGTATCACCCCACTTAATTAACTGCTCAACTGCTTATGCAGTAACTAAATCAATTTCAATGTATTTATTTCTTGTACACAAATACAGACATGTCTTGCTTGCTCTCGTTGACTGTAGATAGATTTACATTGTTTTATTTCAAAGTGCATTTATCAAAACAAGCATTAACAGATATGGTGTTAATGTACAGAGAGAGCGAATATAATTTAAATATGACGTCATTTGTACACAAATCATTACCCCCAAAGATAAATTTCACGAATATTAAACTCAAATATGAACTTACCTGCGACAATTTTATAGACTTATACTTGTCACCCTTCTCATCATCGCTGCTGCAACTATCTACTTCTTTTTTCGATTCGATACCATCCAAAAGCTCTTTACCGAAGAACGCCTCCTGAAGATACGCGGGAAACGTCTCCGCCAACTTACTCTTCGGCTTCCTCCGTATAGGCTTCCTCCTGGGTTTCTCCCCGTCCGCCGGAAGAGGCGTCGCTAACTCTCCGCCTTGCGGGTTCGACTGTCCGGGCAAAGTGTCGATATCGTCGTTGTCCTGACCGGTCCTGATGCCCCTCATGCGGACCAGGAACCCGCCGATTCCGAGCTTCTGCAAGTTGCGCTGACGTTTGCGGCGGAGGACGGATATTCCGCTCTCCATGGTGAACACGGTGAAGCCTTCCGGTGGCGGACCGTCCTCTTTCGTCCATATCATGCCTTCCTTGTACATCTCTTGCGGCTCCTCTTTCACGTCTACCAGCTCTAATTTTGCGCTCTCTTCCAACGCGTTATCTGTGGAAAATTCAATCCAGACATTTGTTACTACTTCGTTTATTTAAAAAGTGTAACTTTAAAAGGGGGGGTACGTTTTTTTAGGAGTGCTCCTCAGACTACTAATCTGAAATTAATTTTTATTAAACCAAAAGGTAATCGAGTTATAATTAGTTTTTTAAACTCTTGTCTATGCCGTCACTGGGCAGCATCCGAAAATTTCAAATGTTTTTAAAAAATTTACGTCTTTTTTCAAGTTTTATTAAATATTAACACATATTGGTATAGGCACATGTTACTAATTGTAAGAAAAATACTTTATGTTTTAAAACAATCATTTTTCCTTCAAATCAAACAAAAATAAATAAACAAATGTTTTTGATTAAAAAATATTTGTTACTATTTTTAAAGCACTGTGTTTAGTTCGTGAATCTTAGTGTTAATGACCTTATTTATTTCACTGTTCAGTGATGGTATGGTATGTTTGTGTGACTTTATTGTTAAATTTGTGTCATATTACGACTTGTCCAGCAGCAGGGGATGAAAACATGTTAAAAAAGTACAGTTTTCAGGGTGAACTTTGGGAAAACAAATAAGGGTAATAGTTTTTTTTTTTTGGAAAATCTCCATCTAGTGTTCTCATCCAAAAGTTTGAACAATTGTCTAACTATGAACAAAGGATCTCAAAATTTAAATTAATTGATTTTTTTTTTATTGAATTATTACCTGTGTTTCCACCAGCCACGACAGACTCGATAGTGGCCATAATCCCAGCCTCTTTGTCCTGGATGGTTGGAATCTTCTTCCGCTTCTTCCTCGTCCCGTGGTATTCCATAGACAAAGACTTAATGAGACTATGCCCCATTTCGCTCAAACAAATCCCGTCGATAACGAAATTAGTGTTCTTACTCATCTCCGGACTCTTTGTTGGCGTCGGAGGCTTGGGCGCAGCAGGCGACGGCACCAGATGTGGCGGAGGCACATCCCTAGGCCTACAAAGGATACAATTATACCCTTCTTCAGCGCACTTCTCCGCGTCTTCTTCCGTCTTTATGAAATCGCAGGTGCCGTGCAACCACCGTTCGCACTGAACGCACTGGATGATCAAGTCTCCCTCGCTGTAAGGTTCGTTGCAACTCGGGCAGTTGACGTGGGAGGCGCAAGGGCCGCATTCCGTCCAACTGTTCATCCAGGTGCAGTTGAAGCCCGGATCGGAGGCGCCGCAGTTTTGACAGATGGCACACCACTTGCACTTCCAGTTGCCGTGGGGAACATAGTCCAGGGGCGGATCCATGCAATAAATGTGATAGGAGACATCACAGTCGTCGCACAGGATCAGACGGCCTTCGTCGTTTCGTTGGCCACAGCCCTCGCAGACCGTGCAGTCTAGGCATCTACGGAAGAAATGTTATAATAGCCGAAAGTAATTGGTAATGGCGTGTTTAGCCAACTTTTCAGATATTGAGAGAATTTATTTATGATGTATTTTTATGAAGATAGTTTACTACATATTTCAAATGTATTGATTGGCCTCTAGCTTTGGCCGTTCAGCAGAAAAACTAAACATTGTTATTAAATTATCTTTGATGTGTCAATTATTTGAATTGTTCTGTATTGTACTGAAATTCTATAAATATAGATATTACAGTATTCGAATTTTGCCATTTTCGATATAATGATAATTACAAATTAATTTCCCTAAAGCTAACAAGTAAAATGACAAATTTAATAAAGTAGACCTTTCTCAAATGATAGTCCTCAATGTGTAGATCAAAAAAGTCCATGGGACCTAGGTCTGAAAAACTACTGTTCTGAAGCTACAGCCTTTTGAAGTTATAGAATCCACGTGCTCGATGACCATCAAGTCAAGTTTTCTGAAGGTGCTTCAGATATTTTCTGAAGACTGAGGGATGCTGCAGATAAGCTGATGACAGATAAGTGTTCAGCATGCGTAAATGCACAAGATGTCGCTCAAGCAGTACGTGTCGCTATCGCTGTTCTTCAGTAGGTGCTTCACCAATTTTCTGAAGACTGAAGGATGATACAGCTATTTTGACCACGGATTTGCATTCAGCAATGAAAATACATCAAGAAACAGCCAGCTTGGTCACTTTATAAAGAAATATTTGCTTTTACTCGCCCGTAAATCATTGATGGATTCGATAACTTCAGAAGGCTGTAGCTTCAGAACAGTAGTTTTTCAGACCTACTATCGAAATAAATGAAATAGACCCCTGAGTTTGGAAATCGATATTAAGAAAATTTAGGGGCGAAAAAATTTTAAATTTGGACCATATATAGCCTTAGTATTACTCTATTATGTGCTAAAATTTCAGTTAGTTTTTAGTTATTAATGAAAATGTTGAAAAAATCACGGTTTTCTGCCTACTTTAACTCGTCCTTTGGAATTTTTTTGTTAGTAGATAAAAAAATTCTAAATTTTTACAGACGATAAGTCGAACTATTATTATCTTTAGTACTGTGAAGGTCATTTGTCTCAAAAGCCTTCTTTTTTTTATTTTTAAGCAAAACAGAAGGGAGTGCTATCTCCATAAATATTGCGTTCTTTAAAAAAACAAATAAAACTGACATAGACAGTAAATAACTGTAAACAACAATCTGAAAAAATTTGTTAAAATAATACAGTTATAAATATGATATTATTAAAAACAGTATCGGAATGGTCAATTACGTTCACGGTCCGATGCAGGGTATAAAGTATAGCCTTTATAACTCTATTATTTTAACAAATTTTTTCAGATTGTTGTTTACAATTATTTACTACTTGAGTCAGTTTTTTTCTTTATTTAAAGAATGCAATATTTACGGAGACAGAAAAATGACCACAGTACTAAAGACAATAGTTCGACTTATCGTTGGTAAAAATTTGGAATTTTTTTAACAATTAACAAAAAAATTACGACGAGTTAAAGTGAAAGGTATCAATTTTGTAGGCAAAAAACCGTGATTTTTTCAACATTTTCATTAATAACTAAAAAATGGGATAATGAAAATAACTGAAATTTTAACACACAATAGAGTAATAGTCAGGCTACGGTCCAAATTTCAAATTTTTTTGCCCCTACGTTTACTCAATATCGGTTTCCAAACTCAGGGGTCTGTTACATTTATTTTGATAGTAGGTCCCACAGACTTTTTTGATCGGCACATTGAGGACTATCATTCGGCAAAGTTACGTACCATTCGACCGGGACCGGTTTTCTATAAGGATAGTTGTGGGGTCCTTTGGTATGGGAGAGTTTTTGGGGCAGCTAAATATGAATATGTGCTTATTTTTTACTTAAACACATAAGTCACTAGAAACACTATGAACAATTTAGTTATTTTGCCATCCTTCTTTTGTTTCTATTTATTTTGAGAAAAAAAAGAGGTGTTGATGAAACCTCACTTTATTAGTTGTAAAAAAAATATACTTCTATGTCAGTAAAACGCACCGTTTCGGAGAAACATTGATTCAATGTAATAAAAATAAACTTTGCTCTTTTGCTAAACTTACATCTAAATTAAAATGAATTCTATTTAGACAAACATATCTCTATTAAAAACTCAGTGTTTACAGAGATATAGGTTTTTGAATGTCATACCACAAAATTAAATTCCTATTAAAGTGTTGAGTTTTGAATGACGGTAAATTGGTCTGATTTATATTGGATTACCTTAAAAACTACCGTGCGTCAAATTTTGTTGAAAATCTAAAAAATAATAATCTATCCCTAAAAAAAAGTTATTTAAAGGCCTGCAACTTATCAGGAAAGTAAAACTGTACGAAGATAACTCGATCTAAATCGGTTTATTTTCACACAACAAAGCTTCCCTTAAAGAATGGCTGATTCGCTTTTGGGCACCCTGTATATGATTATTCGCATCCACTTTAAGAGACTATTATTTAAAAAATGTGCTCTAGTACATAAATAAATAAACACAACATATAAAATAAACATTGCACAGTAAATAATCACTGTATTCAAAAATGACTATTGTATTTAAAAAATAAAGGAAATATGAAGAGAAGTATGCAGCCGAATAAAGATAATTTAATGATATTGTGACATTGCAGGTTAAAAAAATTAAACAAAGTGTCTTACCTATTGTACGAAAAAATATATCATCACCACTGTACATATCAACCGATCAATACGTGCAATTCATAAAAATAAACTTTGCATCATAAAAATAGGTAAGAATTTAAAACAATAGTAAATGATAAATTTACATAGGTATATTCATCATCTACATCACTTATACTATTCCCATAAAACAATTTCTTTTTTTTTTTTAATTAAATTATTATTTTTGTAATATTTTTTAGTAATTTTCACAAATACATTTAAAAAATAACTATAATCCTGTCTTATTTATTACAACACACAGAATGGGCCTAACTACTCTTTTCTTATTTTTTTATGAAAACAGTAGGCATTATCTACAGCCCAAGTTTTGTTCGAGTATTTTTATAATTGTCAAAATTATGTTAATTTACATATTATGGTCATCAAAAAAATTTTTTGCCTCACTTTTTTATAATTCACGTTCAAATAAGGCGTCGATAATTTTGAAACATACCGCAGCTAATTATTAATGCACATTTATGAACAAAAATAGGTTATAAAAAGGTCAAGGTGGAAAAAAATAATAGTTCTCATTGTAATTGAACCGCATAGAACTAGTTTTATATTTGAAAAATTAATAAATTAACGATAAAAAAATTATAATTTTTTTCGATTTTCAATATACTGGTGTTACTTTAAGTGGGGTAGGAATAACAGTACCTACATATTCCCAAGAATACAAATCTGAAATATACTTTTTTTTTAAATCAAATAATATAATAATAATAATCTTTAATTCGTAAAAACATTAACATTTACAATGACAATGTAAGAGCGAAATAGTCGAGAAGCAACTATTAAACTTGGTTGTATGTGTGTAATTATCACTGTTGCTCATTAAAGCAACTGTAAAAAAACTATGACTTGCAGAAATTGCTTTTGTACGACTGCGACGTGTTATTTTGAAGTAAGCATATTTTTCTGATAATGAAGGTGAAAAGCCAAACGAAAAAAAAACCCAAGAATTTAAAAAGATGTATTTTCGCATGATTTATGCTAACTATTAATTGTAATTAAAATGAATTTGTTTTAAATTAATTGTTTTTTTGCTATTTTATAAAAAAAAATGAATAGAAATACTTACTAAACTGATTCTTTTTAATAAAAAATTACTAAATTTATTAGTATTTTCTCAAAGCACTGCGTTTAGTTTATGAATCTCAGTGTCAATGACTTCTGACATTAACCTAATTCAGGTGAGTTACATAATAATCCACCCGATGAGATATGACAACAGGGCGGTAGGCATAACACAAACGCCCAAACGATAATGGCCAAATATGTTATCGCTTCATTTTAGGATATTTATTTTAATTTTCAGTTTAACGTTTTACGAGAAGATGTTTATAATATAGTGGGTCTTTAGTTTAGCACAATTTAATGAATTTCTGCAAAAAGTACTAGTTTTTACCCAAATTGAAATAAAATTTGTATAGTGTAGTGTTGTATTTCGTTAATTTTATAATAAAATTAACAGTGCTATTTAGTAGAGGTTTGAGCAATACAAGTGTGTGAACTTATAGTTATTTATTTCAATATTTAGTAACCGTATGGTGTGTTTGTGTGTCTCTATTGTGAAATTTTAGAGTGATAGAAAAAAACATAAGATTTAAAAACATTGTGACTATAGGCCAACAATACGGCGAAAAAAGAGGCTGTTTTTACACTTAAATATTACAGCAAATTTCATATATTTCCTTTTGAAAAATACTTAGTAAATGAAAACCCAAGTGATTTCCTCACCAAAGTCGTGAACAATTTTTTTAAACAAAAACTGCAAAAAAATTACATTTTTTTTTTGTTTTTTTTTATAATATCTCGAAAAATAATGATGAAATTGTCTTATTCGCAATAACTTTTGTAGAGAATAAAAAAATCTATAAAATGGTTTTTTGTGCAACCCGATCGGTTCATTTTTTACAGAGAAAATCCGGAAAAACCTCTAAAATAGACCTTTTTTCAAAAATTCATAACTCCGTCAAATTTGAAGCTGGAAAAACAATCTTGCGGAAAATGACAGATAATAATATGTGGTGTAGTCGTGCATAAAATGGTTTCTGTCCGATGCATAGTTTTTGCACAATTGCATTATAAACAAAATAGGGCTTTTTTTGCACAGTGTGGCGATTTATCAAAAATGGTCCGATTTAAATTCTGAAAACGGCGTAGAAAGTAGACAACAAAAAAAATCTCCAATTTGTATATCTCGGTTTTTTGATTACTTTCAAATGCCGTTTTCAGAATTTAAATCGGACCATTTTTGATAAATCGCCACGGTGTGCAAAAAAAGACCCTATTTTGTTTATAATGCAATTGAGCAAAAATTATGCGTCGGACAGAAACCATCTTGCGCACAATTAAACTACATATTATTATCTGTCATTTTCCGCAAGATTGTTTTTCCAGCTTCAAATTTGACTGTTATGAATTTTTGAAAAAAAGGTCTATTTTAGAGGTTTTTCTGGATTTTCTCTGTAAAAAATGAACCGATCGGGTCGCACAAAAAAACGTTTTAAAGGTTTTTTTTTATTCTCTACAAAAGTCCTATTGAGAATAAGACGATTACATAATTATTTTTCGATATAAAAAAAAAATTATTTTGCAGTTTTTATTGTTCAAAAAAAAAAATGTTCACGACTTTCCTGGGGAAATCACTTGGGTTTTCATTTAGTAAGTATTTTCCAAAAGGTAATACATGAAATTTGCTGTAATATTTAAGTGTGCCAAAAAATCTCTATTGATCGGCCTACTAGCTCGTTCAGCGGCTGGATGTGGAAAGTACGCAAAAAAATTTAAAAAATTGAGTTTTCACCACGGAATAAGATAAAACAATCTTATGTCTTTCTAAAGATCAATGGTAGTCCTTCTACTAAATATGACTCCCGTTCAAAGTAACACCCTGTAGATAATTAAAATAAAATAAAGTAAAACCACAATAACGTAAATACAAAACAAAAAATTTAATGGAATATAAAAGTTTTGGAAAAAATAATAAATAAAAAAGATCGTTACCTCCACCCCTTCTGCAAGATGACCTTGGTGACCTTAACGTTGACGCAGTACGGATGATAACACTGCCCGCACTGAACGCAAGCAATCAAACACCCCTCCTGGTCGGTCCCCAGAGCGCCGCACATCACGCAAATATCCTGCGTCAAAACGAACTTGTCCTTCGCCGAACACAACACTAGACGGTTCTCGACGCCCGGCTCCTCGTCGTTCTTCCCGTCGGAGACCGGCCTCTGTAACCCGACACCGGGCACTCCAAAAACCCCCCTCATCTTAGCTTTGGGGCCCCGTTTGCGGCCGAACTCGGTGAGACGGGCGCGCTTCATGAACCCCACTTTACCCGGCAACGCTTTACCCGTTCCTTTGGGTCTTCCGGGCATGCCCGTGGAGAACCCTAATCGCTTCTTGGCTATTTTACTGGCACTGTAAGGTTTGCCCTTGCCCAGGCCCATGTTACGGGCGAATTCGTCCGGCGAAGGCAGGTCGAATTCTGAAGTGTCATCGTAGAGAGATTCTTGGGACACGGACAGCTCCGATGGATCGTCAGTACCTACAAAAAAGAATTAATAATGTAATAAACAAATTACTAAAAATGGTAAAAAAATATATAAATGAGAGTAATAGAATATTTTTTCTTACTTGATCGTTTTGAAGTTAATTGCCGTCCAGACTGGGTTAGATTTTTGCAATACGAACACACATATTCGTAATCTGGATGAGCTTCTCTTCTTTGATGATATGTCACTAAGTCAGCTTCTGGGTCACAAGTCCCGTGGACAAATCTTTAAAGCACAGACAACATTTTTAATATCAACCTGTAAAAGTTTCTACAAAGCAGTGTTTGCATATATCAGCTAAATATCCTAAAGAAAAAAGGAATGTCTTTTTTTTACCACTTTTTTCTACAATCACGAATTTTTTGCAATTTCATCTCTTAGCACAAAAAATTTTGATAAGATTTCACTTTACTGATTAATTTTATCAAGTCTTGAATTCGAACATGAATTTTAATGGGTTTGTACAATGGTTTAAAAACAAAGTACACATAAATTCTATATCTCACTGTTAAATTTTAAATTTATGTTAATATTTTCATATTTAAAGGATCCATCGGTATTAATTATGAATTTCTGTTTGGTATGTCAAAATTTAAGATACCATACCAATAAAAATTGAATGGAGTAGTTCAAATGTAGTAGTTGCAAATTAGCAAATTGGTAATATTGAATTAAAGAACATTAAAATTTCTATATTCCTTGGTAGAAATATATTTCTTAGCTTCAAATTAATCTTTATTTTTCACTAAAACGGTTAATATTTTTATAACATTTATTTCGTCATGTCAATTAAATTTCCCTTTAAAAAATCTTGCTGCTACGAAATGGTTTATGTCTATAAAGGACGGCCCGGGTATGGTTATAATGAAATGGTGGAATCCTCGTTTTTGAGGAAAAAGTTCCTATGAATTTATATCCTTTTTGAGATACAAGTATATGGTGTTAAAGTTATTGAAAAATATTACATCTATAATATATAGGCAAATATTTCTGGAGATGTTTGATATAAAATAATGAAACTTGGTCTGGCGACTCCATTAAATAGATAAAATTTTACCAAATTTGTATTTGATTGATTATACAACCACACAAAAAAAAAGTTGTATGTACTTTTCATGCGACATATATTATCCGTAGTATTTTTGCCTCCTGATCACGAATCACATCACAGGAATTTCCTAACTTCAAAAAACAGGTCAAAAATAGCAAAAATTCACGAGTGCTAGGAAAAATACAAAAATTTTTTTTCTATATTCAAATGTTCATTTATTTGGCTAAGATCCCGCCGAACATGAATCCATGGTCGGAATTGATGGTCCTTTTTCTAACCTAAAAAACGGGTCAATTATCACGAATTTTCAAAAAATAACTGATTCGCGCCAAATTTGGTATACGGGGGTTTTCGGGGTCGCTGATCACGAATCCGAGATCAGATTTATAAAATTCGTTTTTAAAAATTTAATCAGTTACCTATGTACTTTAAGAAGGTTTATAACATGATTGGGTACTCGGGTTATAAAGTAAACAAAAATATTACAAAATTAATTTCGTAATTCTGACCTTGAATTAGTAATCAGCGACCCCGAAAACCCTCGTATACCAAATTTGACGCGAATGTGTTATTTTTTTAAAATTTGGTCAGCCACCTTGGATTCGCTATCTTGAAATTTGCAAAATTAACCTCGGATTCGTGATCAGCGACCCCGAAAACCCCCATATACCAAATTTAGCACAAATGGGTTATTTTTTGAAAATTTGTGCGGCCATCTTGGATCCACCACCTTGAATTTTGCAAAATTGAGTTCGGATCCGTGATCAGCGATCCCGAAAACCCCCGTACACCAAATTTGGCGCGAATCTGTTATTTTTTGAAAATTCGTGATATCTCACCTTAATCGACCTTAAAAAAAAAGAGTCATCTATTTTGACCATCTACTACGGATAACATATGTAGCATGAAAATTTATTAAGAACCTCAGAATTTGAACGTTAGTAAGTATTTTAGAATTTCGATAAGTTCATTTGATTTGAAATTGTCTTTTACAAAGAAAAAAGTATCTCTTACATTTTATTTGACGTTATTTTCTAAATAATTTTTTTAAACTTCACATAATGAATAAATCAAAAATATGTAATTCTAAAACCGTTTGCTTGACCAAAAAAAAATTTCTTTCTTGCAAATGAAATTTTAAATATTACATATTTGAGAGTTTGAAAAAATAAGTGACAAAAAATTTGACCTTTCCTTTCACTCAAAAAAATTAATATTTCTATGCCAATAACTTTTTTGAATTTCTAATTATTGTATATTTTGGATGGATATAGCAATAAAAATTCCTATATTTTTTTGTGAAACAGCGTTAATTATATTCAATTTATTAAAATGTGTGGCAATGTATTTCAGATTAAAAAAATATGTCTTGGAAATTACTCATTTTAGAACAATGAATTTTAGCGACTGTCAAAATTTTAGTAGTCTATTAAAATTTAACTGCACGAATCACAATTGTCCCATAAATTTGCTACCGGAAGTAACGTACAAGACTTCACCTGTGGAAGAATAGAAGTTTTTCTATTTAATGAAGTTGAATATTCCGGTATTAATTATTACCAAAAATTGCCACAAATTTATTTTACCAAATATATGAATTATATTTCATGCAATCTTAAAATGAAAACATGCAAGACTTAAAAAGTAATTCAAATTTTCCATTGTCCGACTCAAAAAATCCTTAGAACTGGAGGAAAAACCTGAAATTTGGCAACACTGTGTAGTTGTGCTCGGGCATACGTGTATACTATACAAATATGTTCATTTGCAGTTATAAAACGAGTACTAACAAAAATATTTAAAACAATATTCCTAATTACATATTTCATGTAAAAAAAATGCTGTGAAGAACATTAAAATGATTAAGTATAATGTGAAGATTAAAAAAAATCAGAAGAGAATAAAGAAAATCATTTTTTTTTTCTATATATACAATTATTTGAAAATAAACAAATAAATTTGGTAATCCTGCAAAAGATTAGAGTTTAAAGTTTTATTGCTAGCAGATAATTTAAAAGAAAATCACTTACTTTCTGCACATCGTGCATTGCACCATCTCCCGATGGGCATGGGCGCGGTAGGCTCGATGGCACAAAGGACAGGAGAATCCCTTGTTCCTCTGCTGGTAACAGGAATCACACACGGTGTAGTGAGCGTGCCACCGCGACGAGAGACCCGCTCCTGGGGTGCGTGAACCGCAATCACCGCAGACCCTGCAACACTGGAAGCACAAACGACCTTCGATACGCTTTCGTTTCAGTTAAATATACAAAGAATTAAGTTGATAATTAATTTATATTCTAAAGATCAAAATTTAAAGTAACCGTTAACGAGATAATGATGTGATGTTAAAAATCTGTTGGAGTAGTTCAAACGTCTTAGTTTTGGTGATATTGAATATGTGAACAAAATTTTTCTGTAGATATATATACAACGTTCTGATAAGCAAATTTCCATTTTGTAATAAAAATCAAATTGGAAAACCTTTTTCTAACTTAAAAACTGTGAATATTTACCTTAAAAGTAAGTTATTTCATAATTGTAAAAATTCTTCTCGTCAATTTAAAAATTTTAAAAAATATCCTTCAGTTTGATATTCCGGGTATAACTTTAAGTGAGGGGGGAGAGGGACAATATATATTTTTTAAATCAAATAAATAGCCTAGTTCTTTTTTTTAACCGCACTTAAACTGTTGTCTACGCCATCACTGGGCAGCTCGTAAACTCAATTTGTTTGTGCTCCCTTACTAATATTGCCAGATTGCTTTTTCATAGGTACCAACGAAATATTATTTAAAAATTACCATATTTTTTAAAATTAATTTTGGTGTCAAACTGCCAAACGTTAAAAAAATTTACAAGTGTTTTAAAAAAAATGCTTGATTGATATGATTTATTAAATATTGACTAATATTGGTATGTGGATAAGCACATGTTACTGTAAGTAAAATATTTCAAGATCCTAATGAAGGTATTTTTTGTTGATATTTATTTAAAGCACTTTGTTTAGTTTGTGATGTTCAATGTTAATGACCACTGACATTGACCTAGTTCAGGAGAACTACATATCAATCCACCTGATGAGATACGACAACAGCGGCTGGATATGAACGATACAAAGAAGTTTTAAAAAAAATCAGTTTTTACCACGGAACTTGAAAAAACAAACCTCTTATGAATTTCTAAAGATCAAAACTATGTCTTTTAAATTTTTAAATGAAACAAATTGCAAAATATCAATTAAATTTTAAGACTGTCAAAATTAAAAGGTCCGAAAACTTACCCGACATTTCCATCCATATTTCGGAATAGAAGTAACGACCGGCCGTTGGCAGCTGGCATGGTACACTTTATCACACTGTTCGCAAGACATCAACTTGGTTTCGTCGCCCGTTACTCGACAGACCTGACAACAGCGGCACTTCCTACATTGCCAGCCTGCCCGGACACCTAAAACATTGTTTCCGTCAGCTTTTAAAGTAAAACGTAATCCGATTATGTCTTCACCTGGCAGTTGGGCCAAACCGACGCAAATTCCATGATAATGAGTGCTGCAGATCGAGCAAAACATTAAATTCGCTATGTCCCCCAAGGTTTTACAGGTGTAACAAACAGACGCTGAAATGGAATATATAATCAAGCACAAATGTATAATCTAGTAAGGCACATGTATTGGTAATCGTCGGGTTAAGAAACCAATTTTCTCTTAATGATTTACAATTTTTTATCGGTTCTAATTTCGTAATTGTTGCATTTTGTACCAGTAATGATAAAAAAAAATTATTTGTATGGATGATCGTCACATTAAATGATATTGAGAATAAATCGAAATAGGTACTAATCTAACAGATTTGAAATATTGTTTAAAACCACTTTAAATTTTTAATAAAAAGCACGTTTTACTATTTTTTAAAGCACTGTTTAGTTTATGAATCCCAGTGCCAATGGCATTAAACTATATAATATCAATCCACCTGATGTGATATGACAACAGGGCAATAGGCAGTTAAATAGCCAATGTTAATTGGCCCACTTCATTCTATCTGTACTTTTTAAATGAATATTGAAATTTTAATATTCAATTCAATATTATCAACAATTTTGTAACTGAGACGTTTGAACTACTCCATCAGATTTTTTTTTAACATTCTGCTAAATTTAATTATCATTAACGGTAGCCTTAAATTTTGACATGCAGAATAAAAAATCACGTAATTGATATTTAACGGATCTATTAAATACAAAAATTTCCACTAAGACATTTGAACTACTCTAGATTTTTTAATATCCTTCTAAAATTAAGTTGTTATTAAAGATCGCCAGAAATTTTGTTATACAGAATAGAGAATCATAAGTAACACTCAACAGATTTGTTAGAGATAAAAATGTTAACTAAGATGGTTGAACTATTGCAGTTTTTTGAAAATCCTACTAAAATTATTTTGCCATTAAAGGTCGCCTTAAATTTTGTCATACAGATTAGATTAGAAATCCATAATTAATATTTATGGGATCTGTTATAGATTAAAATTTTAGCTAAGACAGTTGAACTACTAAACCAGTTTTTTTTAAATCTTGCCAAAACTATTTTATTGAAATGACAGATTAGAAATTCATAATTCATATTTACGGGACATGTTATAGATCAAAATCTTAACTAATACATTTGAACTACTCCTTCAGATTTAATATCCTGCTAAAATTATGATTTTGACGGTGCACAATAGGCAACAGTGCAAATATGGCTGTTAATATTCAAACGTTAGACGTTGTTAAACCATCACTGCTAATGCAAACACGAGCAATAAAATGTAATTAATATTTAGTTGATTCATCACCAGATATCTGAATATACTTAATATTAAAAGAAATGTGTTAAAAGCGACAAACACTGGGTCATGAACGATTACCGGTACATATACCTTTTTTATTTGTTTGTTCATAGAAACTGTTAAGAACTTACATTCGCAGAGCATTGCAACTTGTCCGAGATGGCTACTGCAGAAAGTGGTCAGGGAAATCAATTCTTGAAAGGCACCAGAGGCTGTAGCACAAGGGAAATGATAAATTTTGGTGCAACCTTCCATATTACACATCAAGCTCGCACCGTAATGGTTGCAGAATGAACACTTCTTGGAAGAACTTTGTAGAACCACGGGACCCACGTTTAACAAAGCAGTATTTTCTAAAACAAAACAAAGTTACACAGATAAACAAAAAAACAACAATTTATAAATAAATACCTGCTCTAGTGACCCCGTGAGACCACAGGGCGCAGTTCCTGTGCGCGTAAAATTGCCCACCCGGTTCAAAAATTACAGACACGTCTGGTATTTCATTATAACCGATAATAGTCAGTTCGTCGACGTATTCGCTGGTCATAGATGGATGCCGACATTTATTGAAGCTCTTCTGCCTCCTGCAAGTTACGGGACCCCTGGGGCTCTTATCCCCGGAATCCCTTTCTGGAGCTTGCATCGGGCTTACCGTTACCTGCTCTGATGCCATTTTCTGAGGAGAAAAATTCTCAGGACAGTTCAATCGCAACATATCGCCTTGTCCCAACTGACTTCTTTCACCTAAAAATATAAAAACCTGTAACAAAGTGCATTAGCGTTTACGAAATATCTTTACCTAAATTACAGAAGGCACAAACTTTCCCAGGCCATTGTTCTGGGAAGTAAGGTGGTTCCTCTAAGGAGGGAAGCGGTCTTTCACGCTCCTGGAAAATCAGGGAACCCGTTTCTGGGTCCAACATCGTCATTTCATCGCTGGGAGAGGGAGTGAACAAAGACATATCAAATTCAGTGCGATCGGGTTGCCTGAAACTTCTACCCCCTCCTCTCCTGGAAAAACCAGGCGGACGAGGACGACGCATACGTGTAGTGCCGGTTCCTCCCCCTCGAGATGTTCTCGGTATAGGTTTACCTGAATTCAAATGAACCTAATTAGAAATCTCCTATTTCATTTTTTTTTATACTTAGGTTCCTACATGATTGACGTGTAAAAAGTTATGTATGTGTATGTGTTTTAAAGTTAGCCACATTAAACATTCACAATTACTAAACAAAATTTTCTTATTTCACTGTAATCATTATTACAAAAAATAGGACCAACTTACCCCCCTCCCTTCTAGGCCTCCCGCGGCCCCTCTTGATATTGAGTGGTTTTCCTGTAAAATTAAATGGTGTAGGGAAATCATCGGTGTTAGATGGTGAAGAAGCAACAGAGGTGGCTGTGGAGCCAGGGCCAGAAGAAAGCAGTTGAAATGGGGATGGAACTGGATCATCAATTATCTCCTCTTCATCTTCCTCAAGATCAGAGCCCTCGGGCTCATCCAGATCCATCATTTCATCGGGATCAAGTCCCGATGTTATCTCATCCATTGTGCAAGAACTAAAACACCAAAGCACCTAGTGAAGCTCATATCAAGGTTATAACTATGGGATATTATTAACAGCTGCTGGCGGCACAAATAGCATCAGTGTCTTTATAAATTTTCAAAATTACAAGCAAATTTTGAATTCGCACCACACTATCCACGTTTAGAAGGCCTACAATAATTTTTCAAAGCCATCTTCGAAAATTTCATAATTAACTACACAACAGCGCCATGTCAAGTTTGTTGGTGATGCCGATGCAAAGCGCTCGCACAAATTAAATTAATTCCCAGGCAAAGGATTCAAACTATTTCGGTAAAATCACAAGAAAATTTTTAGACTTACATTAAATATAATTTTTACATGATATATTTGTATACAATATGAATTAACACAAAAAAGTCACTAGCTAAAAAAAGGGAGAGACCACACTCGGGACACCAACGAAACAACCCGATCGGCCATGACACACGTCAATTTTAACCAACAAAAAAATATTGAAAAATAAATTCGTTTGAATTGTTATCCGATTTAGTGAATAAAATATGAAACTAGAATTACTATGTTGTATTTTTTTATACAAATATACAAAATAAATTTTAACAACGCATCTATAAACGGGAAAAATATCTTCAATTTTATGTTATCATGTTGCCTCTACTGTGAAGGTAGCTACGAAGGGGTTGCTTCTGATAGAACAGTGAATTAAAAAATGTTTGTCGTTTCTTAAATATTATTTAAATTAATTCTTTTTTGCTATTTTTTGTATTATGTATTTAAACTGAAAATATAACTAGTACTATAATTTATATGTGTAAAATTGATATAGAAAATTAAAATCATTGATTATTTACCTAAGATCCGCGTCAGATTATTAAATTTCCATTAATTTTTTTTTAAATAAAATTTGATGACATCAAAACTAACTTTCATACCATGAAATTATTTTGACTGATATATACTTACAGTAATCCACCTATATGAAAATAATATAAGTACCTATTTATGTGTCATTCATTCGTGGATTATTTCCAGGGGATTTAAATTTCAACTATTTAGAGCCACTGACTTCATATTTTAATTGAGAAGCTGAAGAAGAAACGGTGACTCAAAACAAACTTGTTTTGATCGAACGTTACTATTTGTATAATATCTACAAAATAAACATTTTTTTAAGTCTATTTGATAATAAATCGAAATGTTCAATAGTGTGGTTGTAATTTTATCGGGAATTTTAATAGCTTTGATAGGCCACAGTAAGTGATGCTGCTATTTAAATATTTATTGTGGGCGTGGCAATTATGCTATACTTTTTACACAAATTATTTATTTATAAATTAAAAAATATATTCTAGGCTCTGCACTTTGGTGCTACCAGTGTGTATCCACGCAACCAGGATGTGGAACACCCTTCAACTGGTTGTGGCATTGGACAAAAGTCTGCCCGGAAAATGATGACGTTTGTGTTAAAATTATAGAAGAAAAAGACGGTAGGTGCCTAATTCAATATAAAATGCATGTCGAGTAAAGATATTTTTTAGGGACAAGGATATAGCAAGAGATATGATTCATATTATGTAAATTATAGTTATATAAAGTTTTTTTTAGGTTTGCAAGTGATTACTAGGGACTGTTTGAGCAGTATGCAGGGACTCCGCACCGACATACCTGCAGATCACTATGAAGGTTGTAGACCAGCAGCTGTAGATGTTAAACTAGCAAACTACGTCAACAACAGCATCAAAGAACTAGATATTTATAGGTAAATAAATACTTTGTTCTATCGTTGGTTAGACTATTCACTAGTTGCTATTTCATTTAACCGATATGCCTTTTTCAGAAATCATTACGATAAAACAACGTGGTGTTTCTGTTTCTTGGACCACAGATGCAACAATGCGATCACTAGCCATCCATCGTTTTATATTTTAATTTTAGGAACGATAATTGCATATCGTTTGTGATAATTTTTGTTTTTATCTTCAAACTAACATATTTAGATCTGAATTGAGAATCATTATACAGGGTGTCCCAAAAAAGAAGACTAATTAGGTAAGTCTTCAGGTACACACAATTTCTTTGTTATAGCTCCAAAATTTTTCATTTAATGCAGTTTTTGAGATAAGTGCCACTTTTTAAAAGACTAAGTAATTGACTATGACTTGTAATTTGTGACTTGAAAATCTCGGGCGGCTGTGGTTACCAGGTTACTTTTTTGGACACCCTGTAGTTTTAAGATTTGACCTAAGTTAAATATTAACATGACAAAGTTGATATTAGTGGGGCATTCCAGGCTAAATCGACAACTTTTAAACCTGACCCCTTTCGATTTGACTGAAACTTTTTTATTCTTTTCTACTCCATTGAAAATCTCTGAGAATTTTGTCAATGTTTTCTCCCCTCAAAAAAATTTTTGAAGCTTTTTTTAAAAAATAACCGTCTAAAAAATTGTTGATGTTTTTTTTCAAAATTTTTGTTTTTAAATACTTTTTGAGAAAAAATAGATGAAAATTATCTGGGCCTATCGCAACTGTTTTTTTAATTTCCAAAAAAACAAACGAAAATTTCTCGATTACCATTTTTGAAAAAAAAAATTTTCTTATAAAAAATTGACAGTTTTTATAAATTTTCAAACTTTTTTAGTGGTGTTTTTTCGTTTTCTATTTTTTTCTTTTTTATTTGAAAAAAATTTAGTTTTTCAAATTTAGCTTATTTCACACCATTTTGAAAACGTATAATCCCCAAATTGAAAAAATTTATTCTATGCAGCGATTGATGACAATTTCAAAAAGTCAAACGAGGATGGTTTCAAAATGATTCGAGTTCAAATGCGTTGCATGTCCTTTTTTAAAACCCACTGTTTGTCCAAAAATGGACCAAATAACAACTTTTTTTTTCATATTTGTTTTTGGATGTTCTCGAAAAAAAAATACCAAAAAATTATTCAAAATGAACAATTTTTTTCTTTTTTAAAAATATCGAAATATTTTTCATGTTTACCACTTTCAATTATTTCTTTCATATATTTTTTCAATTTTGAGATTCTATATATTTTCAAAAATCTTCAAAATGGTGAAATAAGCTAAATTTAAAAAAAAATAAAATTCAATCGATATAAAAAGTAGAAAACAAATAAGCACCACTGAAAAAATTAGAGGATTTATAAAAAATTTCAGTTTTTTTATAAAAATAAAAAAAAATTTCAAAAATGGTAATCATCGAAAAATTTTCGTTTTTGTTCGAAAATTAAAACAAAAAACAGTGAAAATAAGTCCAGATAATTTTGATCCATTTTTTTTTCAGAAAGTACATTTAAATACAAAAATTTTGAAAAAAAAAAGTCCTGATGTCAATTTTTGAAAAAGATTAAAAAATTTTTTCCAATCAATAAAAAAAAAGTAGAAAACGAATAAACACCACTGAAAAAATTTGAAGATTTATAAAAAATGTTTTTATAAAAAAAATAAATCAAAAATTTTCGTTTTTGTTCGAAAATTGAAAAAAAAAACAGTGAAGATAAGTCCAGATAATTTTTATCCATTTTTTTCATACACATAGTACATTTAAAAACAAAAATTTTGAAAAAAAAAAACCTCCCGATAACTCAATTTTTGAAAAAGTTATGGTTATTAAAAAAAAGCTAATTTTGCTATTTATTTAAAAAATTCATAACTTTTTTTGAGTTGGGTGAAAAAATTTGAAAAAATTCTCGAGGTTTTCAATGGGGTAGAAAACAATAAAAAAGTTTCAGCCAAATCGAAAGGGGTCAGGGTTAAAAGGGGTCGATTGGGCGTGGAATGCCCCTAATATATTTCATTCTTGATACCATTATTATTTTTATATTGAATATATGCCGTCCATTTACGATTAAGGCTGGAAGAAATCTCATTCCAACATATCGTTGACTATTATGTAGTGTTTATTCTTGTTAATATTCAGTTTTATATTAAATATAATTGCCAAAGCGTAAATTGTACACTTGAGCTGATATTCTTTAAGAAGTTATGTTTTTCTCGATAGGGAAATGTGCACGCTAAAAATAAGATTTTTTTAATAATATTTTCGATATTTACAAGTTTTTGATCTTTTTTTTTATAAAATGCATTAGTAATAATACAAGCGTTAACATTATAGGTTTTTTATACAGTACAAAATAAAGTATTCATTAAAAAAACCGTTTCATTTCACTACACCAAACCCTGTTGAAATAAATTTATTTGGTATTAAAATATATATTAATATATAATTAAATTGTACTCGTAAAAGCATTCGCAAACAATCACATATTTGGCTTAAAATCAGTTAGTCATAAGTAATATATTGCAATCATCACATACTCTCACTGGTTTGGGGAAAGAAGGCAGAGGCATCGTGTTTTCGGAACATGCAGCGCAGAAAATCTCCCCGCAGTTTCGGCAATGGTGCTAAAATAGAGAAATATGTAAAGGAAATATTTCCAAACATCACGTACGACCAACCTTTCTCCTCGTCAAATTAAACTCTTTTTTACACGCTTTACAGTTAGAGGCTGAGTTGTCTTTGACCCAAGAACCTTCGGGCCGATTTTTATTGATCTCTTCTTTCAAATCTGAGATCTGGAGCTTGGAGTCTCTCAGTTGGCAACCTAATTCTTCGAGAGTATGTTCCTGCTCTAGGCAGTGGTCTTTCAACGTGTAGTAGTCCTCTTGGAGTTGGCCGTATTTCTAGACAATGCGCATATTAAATTCGACACTATGTATTGTCACTTTGTAAAACTGATACACCACAAAAAATGGGCCGCTAATGGCTAATCTACTTTTGAAGATCATTTTTTTAATTAGAGGTTTGCTTATTCTTCAGAAATTAGTGAGGTTGAAATTTTTATTGAAATTTCATTTTTCAGCAGAGTTCAATGACCTCTGACATTGACCTTAGTTTAGGTGAACTATATACAGGGTGTATACTAATCTGGAAAACCTAGGATTATTGGGGAATTTTATAAACTTGGAAATATAAGAGGATTTCTCAAGTTTACTTGATTTTATTCCAATTTTAGTGAACTGGTCTTTATTTATGAGATGCCACTACTGAATCGATTAATATATACAGGATGCCTCATAAGCACATGATCAAAAAGGTACATTCTTTGACTCAAAAGAAGACAATCTGACCTAACTTCCATTAAGAAAAAATGTCTAGCTCCTCTGCTATTGACTGTCAAAGTTCTTGAAAAAAATTATGTTTTTTTGTAATATCTGGAGAATGTTACTACGGATTTTAATGAAACTTGCTGTGGACTTGTTCCTAAGTAAGACTCATATTTTGCTGAAGCAACCGCGTCCATCCGCCTTGGGAATTGGTAAATTCTTGAGTGTCTTCTTACAAGAATTACCAGAACTTTTTTATTGGTCGCTGGAATCAATTCATTTTTTTTTTGTTGATGCATCAGTCCTTTTTCGAGATTTCTATGCTCTTAGTGAACTATTGTAGCATTCATAGATTTTACACAAAAAAATATTTTCTGTTTCGTTGTGACTTAACAATTTTAGACGTATCGCAGTAAATCTGTCCTTTCACAAGAAGCGGCATTCTCTAATAATTATGCCAATTCTTTTACCTAGGAATCAATATTGAAAGTAAAATGAATTCCGTCATGATGACGGATTGAATATCATTTTATTTCATTAGATTTATTTTTTGTTAATGCGCAAAAAATGTAAAGACGTACTTAGGAAAGACATAATTTTCTTTATTGAAACTGGATGACAGTTACAAAGATACGATAGATGAATTAAAAGACATGCCCGCCATTTTCTTGGATGCATAAGTGGATCCTTCGATTAAAATTCAATTGAGCCCTCCTCAACATTTCTGGATCATTCCGTATTAAGTCCGCCTCGTTTTGAATTCTCCATAATAATTCTTCCTGGGATTCCACAGAAGTAGCGTAAACTTTGGGGGGGGGTCATTCGACAGGAACATCTCTCCCTCTTCTTCCGATCCGCTTGTGTGGAAAAGTATTATTTAAATGTGCAGTTACATTTGCACTAAAGTGCGGAGGAGCATCATCGTGCAAAAACTACATCTGAGCACGAAGATCGAGAGGGACATCTTCCATTAGAACCGGAAAGGTATTCGTCAGAAAATTTAAATAATTTTCGCTATTCAAGCGGCGTGGCATGACATAAGGACCCAGAAGGATGTCACCGATGATCCCGGCCCAAACATTTATTGGAAATTTCAACTGAGTGGTGAATACGCCTCACATGACGGATTTGTTCTGCGTAATGGTGGAAATTACGTGAATTAAAAATACCACTTCTGGTAAAACCAGCTTCATCAGTGAATAAAATTCGGCTGGTGAAATTTGGATCATGTGCCCGCGCTCCTTAAATAAAAGGGCAAAATTGAAGTCTTCTCTCAAAATGGTGTGGTAAAAGCTCCTGAATAGACGTCGCATGATAAGGATAGAGGAGCTGCTGTCTTATGATTCGATTAATTGTACTTTTTGGTACACTAAATTCCACTGCCAGACGGCGAGTACTGATATTTGGATCTTCAGCGACCCTATTTAAAACGTCTTCCTCAACGGCTGCCACTTGAGGACGACCTACACGGTCAACGGTCTGAACACCAAATTGCCCAGTCTACCGCAAACTCCTTTCAATCCGTGCAAATGTCCGATAATCTGGAACCCGTCGATTTGGGTATTGCTCCGCATAGACGCGTACACTCCCACGCAAATTGTCTTCCTAAGACTTTGACTATGTCGGTCATCTCTTCGTTAGAAAACGCCATTCGAAACAAATGTGTCGGACTGTCCGACCAACGTCAAAAGTTTGACAATTCATTTATTATAAGATGACATCATCGATTACTACGATAGTAGTGGTTGTAGTGAGTAGTTGTTGTACTTGAGTAGTAGTAATAATGAATGTCTAAAATTGAAAACATTTTTTTGCGTAAAAACTATGAATACTACAAGATTTTACCAAGAGCACGAAAATCTCGAAAAAAAAATGAATTGATTCCAGCGACCAATAAAAAAATCTTACATTATTGATTAATAACAGATACAAAGACGTGAATCAAAAAAACTTTGATTAAAAAAAAATGGAAATACAGTTTGATTTTAAGTAGAAACTAATAGACACACTGAAAACTGAAATTTCAATAAAAGTTTATTTGTCAACACGATGATTACTGAGGAATGAACCTATAAATCAAAAACAGATCAATAAAGTCAGACCAGTTGTCTATGAGAAAACTAACTTTAAAATTGGTTCCCAATTTTAGTGGCGCATTAATTTCACTACAAAGTATATATTAGGCAATCTTTCCAACCACTGTTATTTTTTTCAAAGAAAAAACAAATACGCCCTCATTTTTCTCGTATATTACCTGAGCGATAATCTTTAACTGGCCGATCTCGGTCTGCAACTTCGATATCCGTTCTCGGTCTTGCTGCATGGTGTCCTGGAGCGACATCCTCCACTCCCTCTCCACCTTCAAATCTCCCTCGAAATTATTGGCCTGCTCCTCCACTTGAGCAGCTTGCATGTCCACTTCCCTTTTCATCTGTTCTACGGTAACGCGGCTCGACTCGCTTTCCCTATACCTTTAAAAACGTGTATCGGTCGTGTAAAAATGTTAATTTGGCCCCGTGTGTAGCTTTCAAGGTCATCTAAATTAAAATACGTGCACAAGAACTGGGAAGGAAATATAAAGTGGTGCAAAATAACAGAAAGGTAAAATCATACTAAGAAAATATTTATAAAGGAAAATAATGGCAAACCTAGACTACAAACTAAAGAAAAAGTTAGAATGGGGAAGAACACATGTGAAATAAAACCCACACTTACGATTTAATTTTATTTAATGTAAGCAAAAAATCGACAAAAACAATGGTAAACTATAATAAGTCACAATTTGCGCAATTGCAGTTGAAGATATTTTATCTTAATATTTATAGACACAGACAATATCTGCAGATGGTCAACGCACACCATTAATCAGTTACAAGAATATAACACTTAGTTAAATTTATCTAAGATGTACAGTTACGTCTGTATGTAGTTCTACGGCTGCTGTAGTGAAGGTTTGCCAACATTTCCAGTATAAATACACACATATACATGTAAAACTACTAGGTAATACTTAATAGTGGCTTTCGATCCCACTCAATATTCCCGTGGTCTTGAGTAAGATAAAAAATACGCCAAGCTCGCTTGAAGCTCGAAACAGCGTTATTCATATGCGTCTTACATTTTTAATTTTAATACTGGGGCTGGTACCCCACCTTTATAGATCAAAATAGTGTTTCAAGGTACATTACATATTTTATTTGATGACCTCATCTAGCTACATCACTATATATCTATAGTTAGAGATAAAATATTTTATTCCAATCATTTTGCAAGGAAATTTTACGTTTGGTATTTTAATAGGAAATTTGCACCATTAAACATCTCAATTGAATTGCATAGTCAATAATTTTAGCTCAAAAAACAAATTTCCTACCGAGCACAACCATTTTTGTCAAATAATGGTAATTACTCAGAAGAATGGCTCAGCTTCAGGTTCTGATAAATTTTTTTTAAACGACTGCTGAAAAATCGCAGAACTTTGATACAAATATGTCCCGTGTTAGGACAACCTAACCTAACTTAACCTATTATGTTCGAATTATTTACGATAATACAAATTTTGATAATTCGGGCTGTGTATCACAATTTTAACCTGGAAACATCATTCTAAAGGAGTCATTTTCAAAAGAAAGGCACATTTAGAATGCAGTTGTTTCTTTTCAAACAAGAAAATTAGGTTATGTTAGGTTAGGAAGTCACCTCAGATGTCAAAATTGTTACTAGTTCGTTGGCAGGTAGGCCTTAAGAAGAAAATTAGGTTATGTTAGGTTAGGAAGTCACCTCAGATGTCAAAATTGTTACTAGTTCGCTGGCAGGTAAACCTTAAGAAGAAAATTAGGTTATGTTAGGTTAGGAAGTCACCTCAGATGTCAAAATTGTTACTAGTTCACTGAAAAACGCTACTCGACTGTTACAAAGCAATTTTAGAGATAAGACCTGAATCTATGCCATTCCTCTATATAATAACAAAGCAGAAGGTCTAATTCTTTTCAAGCACAATTTCTTAGATTTTATTAATTGAAACTACTACGCTTCAAAGAAAAAAATGAAAAAAAAAATAATAGTACCTACTTATTTTCGAGAGTTTGTATCGTTTCTGTCATTGATTGCGCCTTAGCCTCTAACTTGGATATTAACTCGGTTTTATGTTTTAAAGATGCCTCGCATTCCTAAAATAAGCCAAAGCTGCATTTCTCAGTCTTCGATACAGTCGCCATTCCATTATAAAAAATTCACGGTAAAAAATAAATTCAAAAGTGTCCAATCTCTCAGTTAGGAATTTTTTGTATATTCAGCACCACTCTAAAGTCTCAATCGTTATCAAATCGTTTCAGGTCCAACGCTTTACAGTTAGAATATAACAAAAAAAAATGTACCGTGAAACTAAATTAAAAAAAAAATGTGAATTGGACACTTTCTATAAACATAGCATCTGTTTTTTGTACAAGAATGACTAGAACTAGTGAAGCATGGATAAATTGTGAAAAAACAGTTGTCGAAAAAATTTCCGATATAAAAAATTACTGTTTTTTAGAAGTATCATCAAATTTTCAACGTCACATCCATGTTTCTACTCTTTGGCTTCCTCCGATTTCAAGTCTAGGTCGAGCTTAACAAAAGAATCAGTAGAATCCGAGGACATCGGTTCTTTGTGCTCCGATTCGGTACTGCTACAGCTCTCTCTGCCGATGCTGCTATCAACGGGAACATTTTTGGGAATGTTCTCTTTGTTAGCAGCTTTGGCAATGGAATTGGAAGCCTGTCTTTTGTCAGGCGGTTTCCTGTCCAACTGTTTTTTGTCGTCTTTCAACAAGTGATTGTACTTTTCGAGATTATTGAGTATTTTGCCGATTTGTCCAGCCTTGGCCTGGAGACGACTCACCATTTCTCCCTTCTGCGTCAGCTCCATTTCGCACTCCTATAATCAGCCAATAACTAAGCACCCCGTTAAGCGACAAAAGAGATGGGAGGGAATACCGAAAAAGTTCGCTCACCCCCAATCAGGTTATAAGTTTTAAACAATTTGTATTATAAAATAGAACACGTCTGATAGGGAGTATGTACGAACTGCGGGAAATAAATGAATGAATATCGAATGGATGAAAAGCACGGGAGAACGTAATGGTGGAAAAAATGCGGTTGTTAATGTGCTGCTAAAAATATCCTGCAATAAAAAATGATTACCTGAAGCTTTTTGTACATTTCTAGGTTGATCAGTTTGATATCGTCGAGTTGTCTCCTTAACGAAATTATAGTGTCTTGCTTCTCGTGAATGTCTTTTTCTAATAGCTTCATGGCAACTTCCATTTCAGCTTTCAAACACATCTGGTATAAAATAAAGAAAATATATTCTTCCGTTTATCCAGTTGTATTTTAGGCAATTTCAAATTCCGAAAATGTATTAGTCAAACTTAGATTTTAAAATACTAGATGGCGATTCTCCTATAAAATTCCTGGCATCCTTATTTATATAGTGGTTACGATATCAGTTCTCTACTCTACGGAATACTGGTTCGATATGAACAAATAATAATATACCACGCCAAGCACTGATCTCCACTGCACTGACAAAGCCAAGTGAACTGCGTTTGACACCAAACTAATTATAGAATACCATGCAAAAAATTATTTACGACCTAGTGGACCAATACAGGTTTGCTTTGACGACCAGCGCGGTGCCGTCGATTCTACATCAGGCAGACTGGTCTACCAATACCGGACTCGCCCAATAACTATTCGGGTATTAATTACGAGACACATTATGGCAAAGCATAGGAAGAAATTTCAAGAGAAGTGCAGACGGTCCTGTGCTTTAAGATTCACAGGTTCCAATTGTTATCGTAACAACTATACTACAAACAAGACGGACATGGGTTTTATGAGAGTTGCCATCAGTATTTTTTATTCCCTAATTTCACTGGTTACACAGTGTGCAACTTTAAATGGGGGTTAGTTTTTTAGGGGTAGGTGTTCCCCACAATACTAACTGATTTTTTTAGTTATAATTCGTTTTTAAAACTATATTTAAACTCTTGTCTACGCCGTTACTGGGCAGCTCCCAAACTCGGTTGTATGTGTGCACTTATCAGTGTTTCCTTTTTAAATGAACTGTATGAAACAAATGGAGTGGCAGAGAGAGAATAAATAAAATAAGAAAATAATCTCTTAGCAGCAGATCTTTTTTATGTCAATGCTGATGAACATTAAAAAAATTAAAAATTTCCTCCCCATTCACATTTATTCTTTGTCTTCCTACATGCCTTCGATGATGTTCAACAGTTTTTCTAGCAAGTCGAACAACATCAATAAAACTTCTGAAGTTGGGTTCGACGCGGAGAGTGGTCTCCGTTTAAGCGAGAAGCAGCATCCACATTTTGATGACACTCTCCGTAAATAAGCAGCACATCTACTAGCTCATTATAATCATGACCATAAGACATTTTCATTTAACAAACAATAATATAAATTTCGCGACACATTAACACAACTATTTAACAACAAACTGACAGGCAGAAAAAAGTTGACATACAAAAAAACGACAAAAAAAAAACTAGACGTATGCATAGAGCGGAAACCTATCACAACCAAATTATTGTAATTCCTATTAATTTTTTTTCTCCCTTATATTTAAGAATCTCAAAAAAAGTTATATGGAAAGGTTGTCTAATATAATGGGTAGAATATAGGTACATGGTTTAAATTTATAGTCAACTTGCCAATATGTACTTACTAATCGGATAGATTTGAAATTTTTTAAAAACATTTGCAGTTTTTAATAAAAAATTTTTAAGCACTGTGTTTAGTTATGACAACTAAGCAGGCAGAAAACAAATGGCCAAAGCTAATTTGTTTTAGTTTTCAGTTTACAAGGTGTTTGCGTTTGTTTTTAATGGAATTAAAATAGAATTTATATAGTGCAGATTTGTGTTTTATTAAATTTAATTTTATATTAAAATTGAATGTGATATTTAATTATCTTGTATAATGTAAGTATATAACATTATAAAGGTACTTATTTAACTGTTTAGTGACGGTACGGTGTGTTTGTGTGTCTTCATTGCAAAAATTTCTGAGATATAATGAAAAAAACATGTATATGAATCAAGAAAGCTGAAATTTGACAGAAATGCATGCCAGAGCTCCTAATTGAGTATGTGTTCACTGCTACTGCACGCGGATGTTTGAAGTTCGAATGATGAGTTATGAAAATTATATAATCTTTTTTTTTAATTAATTTTTCATAACGGAATTGGAAAAAAACTTATGATATATGATATTTGACCCCATTCAAATTTACACCCTGTGTATGAACAATCCTACCTATTACACAGATTTTTTTTCTAAAAGACTTACCTGTATTTCTAATTCATTATCAGCCTCTTGCCGCAACTTCCTCTCTTCGTCCAGCCGTTGCTTGAGCTCCTCCACCTCCACCGCTACCACTTTATTTACACTGCCCCCATCCCCATCCGTCATGACCTGCATCCCACTCGTGCTCATGATATAATTAGAGACATCTTTCCCACACTCTTGCCTGAGCTTTTTGTTTTCTTCGTACAGCGCGAAGATATTGTTTTTGGCTATGGCGAGATCTTCCTTCATGAGGGCGTTGGTTGTCGTCAAGGATTCCACTTTAGCTTGTAAATTCGTCACGGTAGCACTAAAGCGTTATAAAAATGAAGAGAAAAAGATCGATACGGGTTCATACTTACTTTAAATGTCGGTTCAGCTCTTCAATGTAATTCTTTTGATCCAAAACGGTCGTCATCGGATCGCCCTGCTCGTCATCGTTGCTCGAATCGCTGGATACGTGACTAGACGACCTGAGGTATAGAGAAAAGTCGATAACGCCTTGCGGGCAATCCAAATCTTCTTCCTAGAAAATGTATATTATCTGACGAAGGAATTCTTTAATATTTCATGTTTGACGTAAAATCTTACCTTGACGCACAGATTGCAATCAATAACGTTAAGCCCAACCAGTAGGCCTATTATCACAATCGCCTCATCACTCAGCATTAAAGCGTCTGGTTCAAAATATTCCGCCAGAGCTTCATCCCTGTGGTCGATTAATACTTTCAAATAGTCTGCAAGTTTCTTCTGCATCAAGGCCAGTCTTAACCATGCTCTAGCTCTCCCCATGTGAGTCCTGGAATAATTATTACACATAGCACAAATGTAAAGCGAAACGCGTTACAGTTAAAACCGACCTTACTGTAGGCAAATCCCTGACGCTAGCAGTGATATCCTGCGCTTCGGGGGCGTACTTCTCCACCATTTGTAAGATATCCCATAATTCTTTCTTAGGTCCCAATAAGCCCTGAAAATTTCGATGCAGTGACTTACGTTAGATTTTTACCGTAGGTGCCTGTTACCTTTTTTGGGCGTAAGCCATGCCTCAGGACATGTTCCAGAACGATAAAAAAATGCTGTAAAGGCATATGGTCAGAATCAAGCATTCGACCGTACCGTAGAGATTGTTCGATTAACTCTTTAACGACCAGTTTGCTGATGTTCACCAGGTTGCTCCTTTCTATTACTACCGGATCCCGACCTAGGTTAAAATTATGCTGTAGCAGTTATTTATTAACTTAACATTAATACGTAATCATCAAACAATAATAGACATAACAAGTTGTAGTATTTGTTGGCAACAACTACTCTGGAAGCTGTATGCCTCATTCAGCATTGAACTACACCTCCACTACCTAGCAAGAAGCTAAGATCATTCTTCAGGAGAATCACCAGACATTGATTGGTTTAGATTTTATTAGTTCTCATCAGAATGTCATAGATGAGAAGACCGAGGAACAATTTAATTATTTGGATGTCTTATCTACCAAAATGTTTTGACAGTGGGTGACATATAACCTATAAATGTATTTACTAGATATTGGGGGTGTAGTTCAATGCTCGATGGGTTTATAGCCTGTGGAGTAGTGCTTTCATAATATCTACAATCACGCACTAGTAGGCATTGAGTAACAATGACGATTAAGATATGGCATATGTTTTATAGGTTACATTGCACCTATAAGATTGTAGTAGCAAAGTATAACAAACCAAAAAGGACATACACTTTTTTATGAATAGGATTTTAGGGGGATAAAGAATTGTGACCTTGAACAAGTCATCCATATTGAAAAGGAGTAGATTCATCTCAGTTCTTATTTGCAACTTTTCATGCAAAATAGATTTATTATTTTACCTCAAATAAAACTGAAAACTACTTCACTAATACAGATAAAAATGATCAACAAAACCCAGAATATAGACATAAACAAACACAGCCATGTTGTAAGTTGATTAAAAAATTGTTATTGGCAACCATAGTTGTATGTCCTTACTGATTTCTATTATATTGTGGTAGTAAGTACTAAATTTTAAGATACGACTTCTATCTAAACAAAAGCTTTAGAGGGCAAATTATAAACTACAAAAAGAAGAAACATTATATACATAAGATATCATGTGTATTAATAGTATATTTCAGTTAATATTAACATAACCGGTAAAAGTGAAGCATTAAATAAAAAAAGTTTTCCAAAAAATGTAACGGAAAAAAAAGACTAAATAAAAAGTGTTTATGAACTTGGAGATTTATTAATGGGTGGTCTGACAAAAGAAGTTGATTGCTAGAAATGTCAGTTTATAGAACGTAATCAGGCATTTGTAAAATTTATAATAACAATATACAGGATTCTCAGTCAACAATGGACCAAGTAAATATGGGGTGTTGAAATTGAAAAAATTTAAATTATTTTCAGTCATATCTCAGAAACCCATTAAATAATGTTTTGTTAATTTGATATGGAGAGTATTAACGCGGTATAATTAAAAAACCATTGGCATGCAAGTTGCATTCTTGCAGCTGAAAAATAAATGTTACGCCTCTGTGTAAAGTAGTAATAATGACATATTTCAAATTTTCAGTCTTTTTTTGCTGCTAAAATACATCTTTCCTGACTATTTGGGGGCAGGTATTCGAATTTAATTAAACTTCACTTTTTATACTGAATTCGTAACTAAAATAAATTTTATTATGATTTAGATAGACTTATTTCTATGAATAATATCTGAATAGAAGTGAATACACCCAAATATTCTATTGTCCTCAATTGCAGTTGAACATTTTTCTCTAGAACTATGTTTTAGAGAATATGCAACAAATAAAACTTGTATACCGAAAAGTAATTAAAAAGTTGAAATATATTATTATTTCTACTTTATACAGAGGCGCAACATTTATTTTTCAAAAAAGGGCTCCAAGAATGAAGTTTCAACTCCACTGATTTTTTGTATTTACATCAAATTGTATCTCATGTGAAAGGCCTGTGTTACGCCTGAAAATAATTTTTATTTCTTCAAATTTAACTCCCTACATATCAGAAAGGAAACGTTTTTTGACGAAATATTATACAAAATACCAATACCCCCTTTTTGACCCATTAGTAATTGAACGCCCTGTATATTAGTGATTTTAATATTATACAACCAGAATGTGCAAAAATACGCAATTTAAAAGGAGCACAATTTTTAACATTTTAACAAATAAGTCCTTATGTATGAAAGACATGTTTGCCCATTTACTTTTTTATGCTTTGTGTCCTACAAACTTGAGGAAAAAATACTTGCGAGCAATATTAAAAACTGTACAGTCGCAGCGCAATATATTAGGATTAGTCTGGCAGAGCAATGCAACAAAAAAACTACAGTGAGTCATACCGAAAGGGTGTATCGGAGCGTCTGGGGAAGGAGAAGACAGGGGCTTAGTTACTGATTCCTGCATGTTGAACTCGACATCCTGCAACTCCTTCAAACAGAGCCATTCCCCGTCGACAGACACCCTAAAATTACACAAGTAAATAGTGTCTTGGGCCCCTGCCATTTCTTGTTCCATGGCATTTCCGCCTCCTTCCTGTATCTCTTGTACTTTCATTGGCGGCTCTTCTGTCACTCTCACTCTACCAAACAATTCAATCACATTACGTAAACTAGCTCAGTTTTTCTGCAACTGTATTGTTTTGCCCAATAACTGCACCACTAGCAACATGTCTTCATACAGACGAATGTCATTGATTTTTGTGGAGGGTTGACTTTGAGCATGAACATTTTGCAGGGAAATCAATAACCTGCCCAGGGTGGGCCATCTAGCTGGCTCTGGAGGAATCAGGAGTGGGATGAGGGGTGGAATAACAGGGTTGTTATAAATATCTGTTAACTTATTTATAAACTTCACGTAGGTATATATAGTGTGCAATTTTTATCCGGTGATATTGCTACAAGCAAGATTAATTATGTATTTTATTAAATCTCATGATTTGAACAAAATGTAGTTCTATGGTCCCACCTGCTTGTAAAACTATGATACATTGAAAATTGTTTTCAAAACAATATTCAACGGCGTTCAAATTATTTATAGAATTAAAAAAAAAACAAAATATGAGGTTATTTTGAGGTGTCTAGATATGCACCAGTTTATCAAAGTTCAATCTCTGTTTTTTAAACGCTACATAAATATTAATACAGGTCAAATTCAATCAATTAAAATTCTAAGCAAAATTGTAGTTAATAAAAGTGAGAGTTAATATCGAGAACCTTTTAAATAAATACCGAAAAGAAAAAAGATAAAATCTGTTTACCTACCCTTACATTTCCTAGAGTATCTCTTTTTCTCTGGTCTTGACACCAACAAACTTGGCCATTGGAAATCCTTCACCGATCCGATGGATGGGGATCTTGAAACGGTCCTTTCGGAATTAAAAGAACTGGTGGATGGTGTTAAAGGAGTTGTTGGCGAACCTTCACTTCCAGCAGCAGCCATTTTTGAGTCAGGTCAGGTTGTTTATTTCTTTTGAGAGCTGTCATTTTCAGCTGGCCCGTTGCATATGCAACCATCAAACCTTTGGAGCAGAAGCAGAGCATATCCTTTTTGGGGATATAATTGTAATAATTATTATTATAACTCTATAATAGCATTCTTTTTTCTACTAAAGTACGAACTACATTATTTACTTCAAAAACATATCTGCGATATTAAGAAATTGAATAATTACAAATTACAATAAAATTTGTATTACATACTTAGTTCGTTTCAACAAAAAGTGATCTGGGTAGGTAGGTATTACAAAGATTTTCACACTTCTTCTACCTAATGGCTACAACTTTCAAAAATTAGAAATTTAAGAGATAAAAATGAAGATTTTCTTGAAAATGGTTTTGCATTAAAATGGATTCTAAATATTGTAGGTATTGTTTTTTTGTTCTAGTTAATGGCGTATCATTTATTTAAAAATAGGCCTCCTGTAGATACAACATTTGCAAACCATTGAATTTTCCAAACTATGCGTATTAATACATACAATTCTTCTAATTTCAACCCCGTGTAAATTAGAAAATTCTATGAACATATACGAAACTTACGAAAAAAATTTATCGACACTGGGATTTCTAAAAGGGTTACATTACACATGTACAAAGCGTATGTGCAAAGCGTAAAATATGTTTTTCATAATCAATTTATAAATACAGACTTTCTTTGGATTCCAACATATTTTTCAAACTTCATCAAAACATTGTAGGTAACTATAAAATGAAAATTTTTTGGAAAATAAGAAAACAACTTTAGGTGCCTATATCTATTAGCTGATTACGAAAAAAAAATAGTTTACAAATACGGGAAAGCCTATTCCAGGTCTTAGCGTCGGCAACCTCTAATTTAAATTTTTATTTTGCAAATTTCTTTCGAATTTGTTTCGTCACGAAAGTTATTTGTGTGTGGTTAAAAATTATACCTAAAAAATTGTTATGCCCCATCCTTTATTATCAATATATGACCCAGCCCATTTAGTCTATGCAGTATTCATAAATACAGAAATCATTTCTCTTTGTGTCCAGATAGCTTTCGAAAATTGCTAAAACGCAATAAACATATATGCGCAAGATACTCTGGTATTTAAAATATAGCCCTGTATTTCAATGGGTTGTCCTGCGCATAATAATTCGCCCTAAAACCAGCAGGGGGGTTGTTCGCGCCACAAGTAGTCAGTTTTTAAGCTTTAAACAGCATAGTGCAATCAAGTGAGACCCATTATAGGTATTACAAGCTAAAATGAACGATTTTGACGTAAGTGAGAGAGTGTGATTATTTTATAAACATTACGTGAATTCACTACTAACTTACCCCTAAAAAGGTAATTGAAATATTTTTTCTTCAGCTTGGCGTTGCACAATAAGCTTAAAACTATATTGCCGTCCATACATATTTTTTATATACCTATCTATCTACTTCAATAATTCAACAATTTAAAAAATATATTTTTGCAGATAATTTTGATATTTTTTGATTTATAACTAAATTCTTAAAAATATATATCTTTTTTGGTTATCTAACTTCAAACAAATAAATGAAATATGAGTTTTCATATTTGATTTGGTTTGGTAGATAAATAAAATAAAATCTATTTAGGTATTTGACAATACAATTTTATAACATAAAAAGGAATATGAATCTAAAACAAAATCTCATCCAATTTTATTTCGACGAAAACAAATATTAATACCTATTTGCAATCTATGGAGTGTCTAACACTCCTATTGTAATAATTCATTTCCAAACACTGCCAAACAGTATTTTGATAGTTGTCAAATTTCAAAATTTTAACAATGACCAGCAACAATCAGATTTTAAAATAGTAGGCACAGTTCGCAAAGCAGGCGTCTGTCAAATTAAGTAGAATTGTTCGTCTTAGTATTTTTCTTATTCCTACCGCTTTTATCGCTTAGGTATATTTTAACCAATTTATCTCCGAAAAAGTGAACAGTTTCTCAATGCGTTACCCCAAGGTCCATTTTTAAGTAAAAACAGCACGACGCTAGTTAAGATACAATGAATAACAGTAATTTGATAGTCCGAAATAGCGTGGATCAAAAACCCATCAAATTCGAATATTACGAACCGTCCATAAAAATTGAATACCACAACCCGTTGGATAGCGGAAGAATCGTTTCCCAAACCTTTCTGCACCCATCTGGCCAGCCGCCGACGAAAATTCGCAAAATAAATTGTAATGTTGCCACTAGTTTTCCCCAGATTGCAATCAAAAAGGAAGAAAATTTCGAAAATGAAAGCGGCACGGAGGTATGTTGAAACGTAAAACAGTATTTGAAATTTCAAGAGCAAAAAGTGGGCTCAGCCGGGATTTGAACCCGGGACCTCTCGCACCCAAAGCGAGAATCATACCCCTAGACCACTGAGCCTCAATACAAATCTTGTTCGTTTAATGACTGAAAAAAATAGTTGTAGCAAATTTTTTGATAGATAAAATGTACTTACAGGTTCTTCTGGTCAATGGCTGTTGGGATACGTCCAATAAAATCCCCAATATTATAGCCGAAATGCATAATGTGAACACCGAGGAATTCACACAAAGTTCCATTTTCAAGCATGATCTAAACCTACACGAATCTCGAGACTTCGTGAGTCCAAGTCCTAGAGGCTCTGATAGTGGAATCGAATCTGACTGTACAGATGGGAACCTTTCCTGGCTGTTAAATTACAAAATTCATGAGCTGCCTCCAGTTCCAGGTTGGTCATTTTTTTTATATTTGAAATACCTACCTTGTATCTTCTGATTTAATTCGAATAGGTGTAGAGAACACTGTAGTTTTTTCACATTTTAAATATTCAGCTAACGTATTTCTAAAGTAATTATTATAAAACACACAAAAGGGAAAATTAAGACACGTTGAATTTGTTTACTGTTTATTTTATCAATTTTTATCAACTGTTGACTTGTTCACCTGTTTTTGTCAATAATATCGCCTAGAAATACCACTCTCATTTTTTAAATATGCTCGACAAAACGGCAAAGCTTCGCGACATAAGATAGATGGATGCGTTTTAACAAAAATTGCAGATATTTGATATTATAAATAAATAAAATCATGTTAACACCTCTGAAACAGTGTAAATACAGGGTGATTCGGATAAAGAATTCATTATAGTTATTCCAGGTCCAAAATAGTACGCAGTGACTCATTGTCATCATGTAGGCCGCGCGGCGGGGTAAGACGTGTGGGGAATGCTATTCCATGGGCGTATCACTTAGAGAATTACGTAAATTATTAAATATATAGGGTGTTAATTAAAAGTTTGTCCAAATGTCACTTACGTTTCTTTTGACGAAAATAATTGAGGTTTGTCATATATTTTTTTTTATTTCACGAAAACAGGTAATGTAATAAAACTTGGAGGTAATATTTTTTTAATATAGACTATTTTTGCGTGGATTAAGTATTCGTAAAATCATTAATTACTGTTGTTGCTATCACTATCACTAACGCGATTCTGCTGCTTCTAATGGTTCGACAGTGATTAAATTGTAACTTCAACATTTGTATTGTTGGTCTTCTTTTTTAACGTGCATAAGACACTTATTCCATGTTTTCACAATTACCCGATAAATCGCCTCCTGCAGACTTAACAATTTCATCCATTACATATTTTATGTACTTTTTCTTTTTGCGTAATTGCTAATAATTGTACTTTTAACATCATGTCTTTGTATACAATATGTTCACATTCAACCATTCCATGATTTCTCCTTTTCTCCATGAGACGTTAGCAATTTTTGTAGTCATCGACTATGGTAAGGCGTATTATCTATGGCAATCACTAGATCTGGTACGATATGAGGCAAAATAGCTGCAAACCACTTTTCCAAATGCTTCCCTTGTTCTCATAATAATCTCCTGTCCGTCGCAACTCGAACAAATGTAAATCATTATCCAAAAATCCGCATTCACTTTCAACATGTGTAATTACTAATCGCCGTTATTTCCCAGAGAGCTCACGTTAAACACTTCTAACAAACACTGCACATTTCCACACTTACTTACCGAAATGTCTCAGTTTCGCGTAGGGGATAATCTAAGGAATATTACCACTCTCATATCCTTTCGAGTTTATTAATTTTAAATGTTCATGTACTGTACTCAAAGTACATAGTCCTTGTTTTATTTCAATAAATTTATGTTATTTATTCATTTATTTATTTATTAACCTTGTAGAGGACCGGCATTTAACAAGTATTCATGAAATTTCAATTTCATAGTACTTCAAGCAATTAAATTTTGCAACTGCCCTTTTTAACTTTTAGAACTAATTTTTTTTAAGTACTGCCTTTTCGGTTATAACTAACCCTTAGATTATGCCCTGGTTTCGCGCTCAAATTCTTTTATAGGGATTGTTGTTTTTGGTCTGTTAAATGTGATCGTTTACTACTATTTTCAGATTGGTCACTAACACCCTCACACAATTCCATTTTAACTACGATTATTAGAATAATTAAAATGGGAAAATAATAACATGAATTTCCCACTTATACGCTTATGAGACGCACTATAGTCTGTTTAGAAATGAAAGAGAGTAATAAAAGCTTATTATGTATGCAAATCGTAAATAAATGTAGTACTGGTGCTTATATTCAATATTTTTATATTATGTATTTTCCGTATAGATGAGGTCTACTTTTAACAAAACTTTGTGCGATCGGACTGTACTAAATTGTAGCAGGTAGCTAAAATTTAATCCCCGACAATCCGTCTTTGTCTATGCCCCTTCAATTTCTCGGTCCATTTCTCTTATAAGTAAACAATATAAAAACAGCATTTCAAAACATGAGGCTACTTTAAGCATCATA